CCTAATGCTAACAGTCTCCCTCTGGCCTGATGCTCGCTCTCACAGTTGCTGCTGTTGCAATAACACTTCAAACGTTCAAGAATCAGACTTTATTTAAATCGCCAGAACACACACACACACGCACGCAAGCCCCGGTCGCTATGTTCGTACGCCACATCTTTCACGCTCTCTCACGCTCGTTATTCCAAAGCGCACTCCCGTGTCCGTGGCGCTCACACACTCGTGTCCCACTGAGCCGCTGCACTTTGGGGAAAGACACGTCTCACACATTGCTCTCATTGCTCTGATACAAACAACGTGTTCCCCGCTGTCCGTTAGCTACAGTAGCTGCTACAGTAGCTGCTACAGTACCTGTTAGCTACAGCATCAGAATGTAAACAGGAAGCTCGCACAATGCGGGAGTCACTGAAGTTAGTATTAGCGCCACCAGCTGGACCGAGCGTTGTACTACAGCACAGTTACTCAGGCACAGTTGAAAGAACAAGCATGAAAACCCGAGGAGGCTTTTGGAAAAGACTGTCTGTTACAACATTTCTATTTTGAGTAATCAGTTTTAAAAATGTGATATTTCATGTAAATAATGCATGTGTTTAATAGGATTGATATATTTGCGATGGGCCTTGTTTGTGTGATTTAAGTTATTTTGAAGGTGCATAGTGTCATTGTAAGTGAAGTTATTATAAAACTGTTAAGCTACATTTTCACTGTTTACAATGGCAGAGCCATCTCGTTTACAAGCATGTTTTAAGGCTTAATTCCTGTTACACTTATGCTCCATGGGGATTTAGATTGAACTGCATAAAGGAAAATCTCTTTCTTTGTCAGTTGTAGTTTGTTTTTAAATAGAAAAAAATAAATCGATTAAAATCGAAAATCGGATTTGGTGTGAAAAAATCGGAGATTTTTTTTTTTTGCCATATCGCCCAGCCCTACTGCATAGTGACCACTGCATAGCAACGCTGTCTCCCGCCTTTCACTTAATGCTTCTAATTCCCTCTGATTAGTGCAGTGGGTGATTGTGTGTTGAGACAAAAAAAAAAAGATTTATATAAGATAAAAACCTCTTCAGTGTCCTCCCATGATCGCAGTTATCAACACCTTCCACAGCTTTTCCAAACTTTTTCCATTTAATTCAAAACACAAACTTGATCAAATTCACCTTCTGACAGGTTGTACTATTCCCTTCAAGTAACGATTAGTGTAATATCAGTAATTAGTCATGTGCTGTGTGTTTGTCAGGGCTTGTGCTCTTTAATGACTACATAGGGGACCACACTGAGAGGGTGGTTTGTCATCTCCTAAATGTTTCTCCATGATTATGATGCATCGATCCCACAGCGGCCGAACACACCATCACAGCTCATTAGTGCAAACGTGAGAGGAGAGAGTGCGGCATCTATTTGAAGTAGCTGTAGAAACTTGGATGTGGCTATACGCGAGTTTCAGCTGATTTTGTGTGCTCTGCACAATAGATTCATTTGAAGTGTATTTCAAAGGGACAGAACAAAACACATGGCTACATTTGAAGAAACGATGCCATGTCCACAGGCCATTGATTTGTTGACCTGGTCCCCGACACAAAACAGACAATAACAGGAGACACAAAGACACCAAACATTAGACCAGTACAATATACTTTTTACAGATATTTCAAAACAGAGGCTTCAGTGTTCACAAGCTTCCCCTCTCAAGATCCCTGGCCTGAGATTGGACAACGACTGGCCCTCCCACCTTCCAGAAGTCTGTGACTCAGTTTCTGATTGGAGGAGCAGCGGTGCAGCTGGCCAATCAAGCGCTCACACCTGGAGTCACTCTCGACTTAAGGCCACACTCACACCTGTTTGGGGCTACAGCCTGTGTGTGGCTGGTATGCCATTTGGTCCTCATGAAAATGTCTCTACCGTTTGACAATGATTTATGAGAGGTAGTTTGTATAGCTTTTATTTGGTCTGTCTCTTTTTAGTTGTCACTTTCAGGTTTTGTTTTTGTGACAATTCGCTTTTGTTGAGAAAGTAGTAAGATAAGTGTTTAGTTTCTGTGTGAATTAATGTAAAGGTTTAGTCTGGGTTTTGTTTTGGTAACGTGGAGTTACCCCCTTATGTCCTGTATTGTGTCCTTCTGATTGATGCCCACTTATCATTTACATTCCTGTTATTAAAATACTTGCTTTGCCATTTAACATTGTTTATTTTTTGTTTCCTCGATTACCCTAGCTGAGCTGGGTCGTAACAACTTTTTAAGCAGCTCAAGTGGTGTATAAGTTTCTCCATAGCCTCGCACCAAAGTATATCTGAGACATGTAGTTCATATGAACCAAGTCAGACTCTGAGGAGCACAGGGACTGACCTCCGCCTGGGAATCTGAGGAGCACAGGGACGGACCTCCTGCTGGTGCCCAAACTCGCAACTAAACATGGAGAGGCAGGGTTTCAGATTTACGCAGCTAAATTTTGGAACAGTCTTCCTGAAAATGTGGGGCTTCTACTCTGACAATGTTCAACTCCAGGTTAAGGCAGTTTTAATTCACTTTGAGATTATTTGTAATTATCATGTTTCTTTTCTTGTCTTGGTAAGCACTTCGAGTTGCCTTGTGTATGAACTGTGCTATACACCTATACTTACCTTGACTTGCCTTACTACATTGTATCATGGAACAACAATGACTGAAGAAATAGTTGTATATCATTGTCTGTAAGGCCTATAGGATTATCTGTTTAACCGATCGTTAAACTAAAACCTGATTCTACAATATTCCCAGTTTCGGCACAGGTATCTGATACTTTTTTTGTATTGGTGCATTCTTAGTTACAGGTACTCTGCTTCCAATAACCAATCCATGATCATCTTTCAAACTTTGTGAGCGGTGTTTGCATGTTCTCCCTCTGTCGTAGGCTTCATATGGGTCCTTTGGTTTCTATTACCAATAAAAGCATGTACAATAGGTAAAATCCTCCAGCTCTGGTACATCTGACCAAGCCAAGCAACAAATCTCCCTATATGGTGACAAAGTAAACCTTACCTTATTTATCATAGTTGGCTAAGTTGGGTTTGAAATCTCTCAGATCCAATGAATGTTGATTTTCCTACTGACTTTATTTTATAGTGTGTTCATGGGTTTGTTGATGTACTTCATACCTTCATACCCTCAGCTTATAGTTAGTTTGTATTTCATGACCTTGAATGTCTCTGTAGTCACTGGTCCGGGCGCCAGATCAGGCAGACTTAATGCAAAGATAGCGCTGCTGTTTGGGGCTAGAGCTCTAAAAGTTTTGGCAGGTGGATGGAGCTGTCTGTCAAGGCAAGTCGTGATGCGTGATGGTGATGACTCACTCTGTCGTTAATGGAAATGTTCAAAAAGGCTTTAGGACGGAGACTCAGCTGCTGTCCTTGTTGTTTCATCTTTTGTGGGACTGCTTGGATCCAGTTTTTACCATGAATGTATTAAGTTACAGCTCTGTCACTCTCAAGCAGTTTCCCCAATGAGTGCAATCTTAAGCATGTAGGAATCTCCATGTGTTGTAAAATGTATGTGGTTATGGATCAATAACAAAATGCTATCTGTCCTAACTTTCAATAGACATACAGTACACTCATTAAGCTACCACACACTGTCAATATTTTCCTTTTTTAATATGTATCAGCTTTGTCCTTGGTCCATTATTGGTCTGTTTTAAAGTGGAAACAGACGGCAATTTATTTTACCTCAAAAACAACTCGCAATCCATGTTGCGAGTTGGCTACGGTGGTTCATTTTGTCACATAGAAGGAAAAAACAATTCAACTGTACTTGGTAGTATATAATAACATTTTCATGACTTTACAGAACATAAAAATTATGATGGTGATGAGATGGATAATAATGATATTTTTTTATACAGTTTGCTAAAACAAAGTTTTCTTAGCTTTCAATTCAAGAGATTGTATACAAGAATATATATTGAATCATATATATAGGGCGGCAGTAGCTCAGTTGGTAGAGCGTTGGCCTTTGAGCCAGAAGGTCGTGGGTTCAAGCCCCGCTCAAGACTTTCACTATTGACTCCCACTGACTACTGTCGTTGTGTCCTTGGCAAGACACTTAACCTCTGGGAACACCAGCCACAGTGGGGCGGCTGCGGCTGTAAAGTGCCAAACTGCCGTTGTGTCCTTAGGCAAGACACTTCACCCCCATTGCCTAGAATGAGTCTGGTGTGTGTATGAATGGTTGGTGGTGGTCGGAGGGGCCGATGGCGCATACTGGTTGCCTTGCTTCTGTCAGTGTGCCCCAGGGCAGCTGTGGCTACAGTAGTAGTTTATCAACACCGTGTATGGAGTGAATGAATAATGACACATGTGAAGCGTCTTTGAGTGTCCAAAAAAGCGCTATATAAAACCGATGCATTATTATTATTATTATTATATAAACTCTATGAATAACTGGATGAGTTTTGTATAAAATTGTGTATATGTTTTGTATGTAATTGGGGGATACTGTGCGAGAGGAGAGGAAATCAGAAGAAAATCATCAATATTATGTTGAAAAGGGATAGAGAAATATAAGAATTGTTTTCTTATGTTCAATCTAATTTTCGGTTTAATACGAATTTGATCAGGGTCAAATACTGTAAATGTTCAGGACAGCTGTTGATTTTGATTTCCTCCTAAAGCAAGTTTTAAAGCTGGAGTACCTGCATATTTACTTTGAAATAAAATCCATGTGACTTGATCCTAGCTCTCAATAAGTACCAGCCCTCTCTCCAGCCAATCTGCTTTCAGTTAAGACATCATGTTTTCCATCAAGATGAAGGCTATGTGTTGTGCCACTGAAAGAAGCAGCTCTCCACAGCCATAGTTGCTCTATAAATGTATGCATTAATTCATACACGGACACGCCCTGTGCATCAAAAACAAACTGGAGTTGAAGTTGGAAAAATGGACCAAAAGCTGCTGATAATATTCTTATTATCTGCAGCTTTTGGTTCACTTTTCTTAGTGCTAAATCTCTCCCCTTTTGTTCCACAGACATCAACATGGCGGGCGAGCCGAAGCCGTACCGACCAAAGCTGGCCTCAAAAAGACCTTTGTCCTCTCTCTACAGGTCTGCGTTTACTCTGAGTAGCTTTTAACAGGTGGAGATAGGTTTTCTGACCTAGTTTTTCTTTCAATTTCTGTTGTTCATTGAAAATCCATGTTTACAGCAGTTACTTTTGACCTTGCCGCTTGTTCATTGGGGGTTTCAAATTTTATCTTGCAGCAATTTTTACAATAGCAAAAAAATCTGGCCATCTTTCAGTGAGTAAACATTATTGATATCAGTTAGAGATCTTGCCTCTTAAGAAGACTCTGGGTCGGACTCTAAAGCACAATAAACAAGAACAGCGCCTGAGGTGATAGTGGCTCAGTTGGTAGAGCATGGGTTGAGGGTTTGAGCCCATTGTAAAACCTTATCCACTGGCTCCCACTGACGTCTGCCTTTGTTGTGACCTTGGGCAAGACACTTTACCCCACTTTGGCTATAAGGAGCGCGGAAGTAAGCGTACGCTGCATGCCTTGATGTGTATATGTATATGTGTATCCATTGAACTGAAATTTCCCTACTGTGGGACGACGAGGCCAGACCGGACAGGTTCTGCATTTCAACAGGACTAATAAAGTATAACTGAATTATTCTCCTTAAAGTGGTTCTCACCCCCGCTCCTCGGAGCTTACGTCACTCACATTTCCTGTTGAAATCTTCCTCTAAATGGGCGTAGCCTGGAGGACTAAAGGGGGCGTGAACGAGACTGGGCCGTTTACATTGCTCTGGGCGGGGGGCCGCTGACGTCAGGTCTTGCTTCAGACGTCAGGTCTTGCTGCCGCGCCAGTGTTGGCGCCAGATTCAAAATTCAAATGTAGTATTACAGGTCGCCAGCAGATGGCGCCTCACAGACGGTTTTAGGCAGAAAGTTTAACTTTCAACTAATTTGCACCAAAGTGACAAAAATATGACCAGGATATGTACACAACACTATTGGACACTCATTTATACAGTTTATCAGCAAAAAAAAGTGGATTTGAGGGTGAGTTGTCCTTTAACTTCTTACCACCCACACAGGTCAATACAATAACCTGTAGAATGAATACTGGGGAATACTGTGATGGGAGACCTCTAGTGCGACAGTGGGTGCTGCAGCTGCAAAGTGCAATTTTTCTTTTTTTTTTATATTTTAAGTTTACTTGATTAAACTTGATTCACTTAATTTAACATGATGCTGAAAAATATACTTTTAAAAGTAACTTTCAAAATGCTGTAAGATAACGGTTCGTGCACTTGGGTGTGAGTTGCTATGGTGACCACTCAGACGACACGAAATGGAACGCATGATTTACCTTGAGGTTTAAACGGTATCAATCAACAGTGTATTGCATTGAAGTCCTCACTGACCATGGTATAAAGCCAGTTGAGTCAGTGAACCACAAGCCAATACAATAAACGAAAAATATGACATTATGAGTATTAGTAGTCCTAGAGTTTATACCTGCAGACATTGTTTAGTTTGGAATTGTTTTGTTCGGTCTTTATTTGAAAGACACATATGTTCTACACCAGATTAAGCTAAATTAGTAAAACATCCAATAACATGCAATCAAATTACAACATGGCACAGTCAGCGGTTAGCATTCTCACTTCTCAGCAAGACAGTCCTGGGTTCGAATCCCAGTCAAAACAGGGTCTTTCTGAGTGGAGTTTGCATATTCGGGTGCTCCGGTTTCCCCTACCACCAAAAACTCGCAGAATAGGTCACATATAGCAGCGTTACAGGATGGGACAAATGCAGAGAACAAATTGCCCAACAGGGATAGATAAAATTGTATCACTACCTCCCTACATTAAAAAGTTAATTGAGCATAATCAGCTGCTGACACATTTCTTATTTGCACATGTTCATCAAACAAAGCAGGGCTATCTCTCTCCCGCACGTATCGTCTAAAATGTCTTTCTTCCCTGCAGTGGATACGAGTTTGACTACGATTACTACAGGGATGACTTCTATACAAGGTGTGTACCATTCACTTGCCACAATCTCCCCATATATCACCTCCAGATCACAAAATATAACAGGTTTGGCTTGCGTTCCTCCGTATCCTGCAGCACGTAAAATCATCTCCCTCCTATCTCTCGTGTCCTGCTGTTTCTGAGAGCTGTTATGAAGCCGCATAGAATGGTCTCATTTCAAAACGTATTATCACAGACATATTAAGCGTCATTTTCAGTAGACTTTATCCTTCTCTGTGTGGGCTCTAATGATGCTCTTATCGTGGCGGTAATGTCACATAGTCCTGCGGCTGGTCATTTGGGAAGAATTCTACTCGAATGTGTCTTCTCCTTGACAGTTTCATAGGTTTGTTTACTTTCCCCTGTCAGTTTTCTCCAGAAATTAAATCTTTCTCCTTTCAATCAATAGATGTCTTTATTGGAATTTGGACATTCATTAAAAAAAAGTTGGAAAACGAGTTCTGTTTGCGAAGAATTGTTTTAAACTCGACCAAAGCAAACAGCCAATTATGAAGCTTCATAACTGGTGCCACTGGCTTTTGTATTCCTGACTAAGAATTTTTAAAACAAATCTGTAGCCATGAAATGCAGACACACACACAGAGGATAAAAACATCTATTTTTTCCTGCATTTGAAATATTATTTACAGCGAAATGAATATTTAGCATGTTTTGCAACCCATTTCAACATGCTGCTTGCTGAAAAATAGACCTTTAAAAGTTCACACTGTTTGTGCTCATCGGTGTGTGTGTTACTATGGTGACCACTCAGACGGAGTGTTGTGTTTATCTTGAGGTTTGAACAGTATCAATCTACAGTAAGTTGCATTGGAATCATAACGCCAGTTGAGAGTCAGTAAAAACACAAGCCAATTCAGTAAAAAAACATTCACAACCACCTGGATATGAGTATTAGTCGTCCTAGTGTTCACTGCTCCAATCTTCTGAAGGTTTGCCAGAATAGAATCTGTAATCCGGATCATCCCAAAGACACTCACAGATTTCTTTGTGTTATCCCTTTGCCATTCTACTTTCACTCAGACTTTAAATCTATTTTGTTAATCAACTTGACTGTCGCCGTTGTATATTCATCAATCAATTATATCTTTCTCAGACTGTTTGAGTACCATGGTCGGGTGGTGCCTCCCTCCAGAGCTGTGATCCCCATCAAACGGTCTCGAGTGGTAGTCCCGTCGCGCAGACCCAAGTCCACGTTTTCCCTCAGATCCTGCTCCTCCACTTCCTCCTCTTGCTCCTCCTCTCGACAGTTCAACAACATCTCTACCAACGGAAACAGGCGTATGTCCTTCCCTTATGGCTCATCATTGACCAGTAATGTTATAGCATCATAGCGTGAGAGACACATTTCACAGAGAACACATACACAACTTTATTATACCTCCCAGAGCAGTCAATTTGAGGGCTTTCAGTTTTGGAAATGTTATTACTCGGCTCATTGGTGGTCTTCATAACGTTGTGACTTTTTCTGTTTCCATATATAGTATATTTCTTTGCCTTTTTTAATATAAATTATCTTTCCTTTTTAAGTGTCACACAAATGTACTCCTTTTTTGTCGCTTGGCAACCAACATTCTATGGCAGATAAAGCCCCTTGTTTCAAGGTGCTGGTCCTGAACTGGTCTTGAACTGGTCCTTGTTCTGGGCTGATTCTACTTGTTTGGTTCATGACAATAGCAAAGCACTGCAGTAGTTGGCATTCAGCCTGTATTTCAAGAACAGTGTTTTAGCACTTATTAAAAGTGAGCAAAGGTAAACCCCTCATAAATGAATTACTTTTAATAAATTACTGGTGGCAGACTATTGGGTTTATTTATTAGTTCTTTTAGTTTCAGAATTCTGGGTTCCTAGTGTTAAATGATGTTTGTTTTTCCAGTGAAGTCCGATCAACTGGTCACAATAAAGAAGGAGCTCTCTCAAATCAAAACCAGGGTGGACTCTCTGCTGGGCCGACTGGAGAGGATCGAGAGGCAGCAGCGCTCTGAAGCCGGTCAGTTTCATTATTATGTCTCACTTTACGCTTCACACATGTATCAGACAGTGAGAGGAAGAGAGGCAGTGTTGGGATGAGATTTCATAGATCACCTCTGTGTCCTGGCTGACCCCTCTGACCAATCCAGTGTGACCGGAGGGTGACATCACGGCTAAGTATATACAGGAGCTGGGATCACCTCATGGGGTCTCTTGGTCTGAGTAGGGTCTGGATCAACATCATGTAAGGGGAAAGGCCTCTGGCAAAGGTCTTTTCAACAATCACTCCTTGGGATCTGATTTTATTTCTGTTATGTCTGTATGTATCCTGCATCTATTTAGTGTCGTTGTAACAGGCAGTAATGTCTGGCTGCCTGTGAGTGCAGAGAATATATTGAAACTACAAAACGAAAATAGTGTTTTATGAATTCCTTTGAACGTGTTATAATGAGGTGCTCTATTGTTCTGATGCCAACCCTTTAAGAATAATGAAATCAGAACATGCATTTATCACTGTGACTGTGCCAAATAATGCCTGCGCTATTTTATTCATAGAATGCTGTTACAAAAACAAGCTCTGGATCTGCTTGAATAATTGCAAAGATGTTATAAATTCAGTAGAAACTATAGTACACAAAGCTACAACTTAAAATTATGTGCTCAGTCTTTCCAGTCGGCCATCTTTTCGTAATGGTGAACTCAATATTTTAACTCTTTTAATTAGCATTCATTTTGTCTTATTATTCCCAGTTACAATTTGGTTTCTTTTTGTCACATAATGAATGAACCTAACCCAGCTCACATGGCAGGACTATTGCGTGATGACCCAATTTTCAATGTTACCTAATGTCTGGCCAATCTGGCGAAAATTAGACCTCTACATTGAAATGTTGAATTAAATGTGGTTGTGCAACTCCTAACTGAAGAGTTTTTTTTTGGTTTTTTTATTGTTCGAATGCACTTTGGTCCTAATAATTCAGTATAGAGGACGTTCAGCAACTATTCTTACAGGAGACACTCAAGTAGGTAATTTTAACTGTGTGTTCCACTATGTATCTGCATAGACCGTATACTACTGGAATGGACGAGTGCTGACATCACTAGCCAAGGTTTCTCACCTTCTCCCACTGGGTTTTAGAGTTGTTCCTTGCCAATGCAGGATGGTTTGTTGGACGCTTGTGAGGGTCTAACAAAAAGGACAGTGGTGATGATCCAGAACACTCAGCAATCAACAACATGTATTGTATGGACATTTATCTATTTATGGACATTGTAATCTGCTCCTTATGGACCACTATCACTGTATGTTTTTATTTGATTCTCTGATCTGTGTTGGCGAATTCAATAGTTTTGTTAAGTCCTCCGTGACACCTACTGTTGTGATTGAGGGCTATACAAGAATAAATTGAATTGAATCACTATACTGTTTTCCGAATGACGAAGAAGCCGATTTAAACATAATATAGCGGGAGCCAATTTCCTTACATGGGCTTTTATGGACAGATGTGTTGCCAAGATGGTTGCTAAGGAAAGCTGGAGTTTACCTTGCAACTTAAGACATTTGATTGGGCAAGCCTTACATGGCTCATATCTGGATTTACTAAGACAGTATCACATTGTAAACCCCAGGATCACAAAGGGAGCTAAACCACAGATTACTTAAGCCCAAAATGGAGAGTGTGACTGGGACTTCTGAGCAAGAGGAGTTTACTATTACTCTTTACTATGCAAGTCAATAGGACCCAGAGCGACTTGGAGAAAAAACTTTGTCCATGAGCACTTCCCTACTGGGCTTCATTGAGCTTACGAGTTAGCATTGTCCATCTAAATACAGTTCTACGTGAACATTAAAAATAATCTTTGCTTGTATATCTGTGTTGTTTTGTTATGGGAAATGGTGTTGAAGACAGAAAACGAAATGAATAAAAGATGTACAGTATATACAAAATTAAGGCAAGGCAAGGCAAGTTTATTTATATAGCACAATTCATACACAAGGCAATTCAAAGTGCTGAACAAAATAAGAAAGCATTAAAATCATAAATAATCACAGAACATTAAAAAGAAAGATAAAAATATAAAATCCCTCAGTTGTATGCACAGCTAAACAGAACTGTCTTTAACCTGGTTTTAAACATTGTCAGAGAGGAGGCCTGTCTCACATCTTCAGGAAGACTGTTCCAGATTTTCTTAATCCCCTAAATTAAGGAGGTTAGCACTGTCTATTTGTATATAGTCTATGAGTATGTGTCAATCTCTCTCTTCTTTAAAACTTTGAAACATATTTGAGGAAATGAGCAGAAGTGATTGATTCTGGAATGTCTATGTTAGTCTATTGTATTATGTTATGAGTGCTAGTCTTATCGTATCTGTGTTTGAAATGAGAACATAATCGCACTAAGGTGATCAGTGTATCGTGCTGTTCACAGAGATGATGCAGAGGAAGCAGGACGAGGTGTGCGAGCGTCTCCATGGCGATATAGAGAAGGGGGAGGAGGCTCAGGGGGACATGACGGACGGAGCAGAGGAAGACTACGATGATGAAGACGGCAACAGAGACATGGTGAGAGTGAGAATACATTATCTACAGGAGGCCTCTTCAACTATCCTTTCACATACAAATATAGGCCTATAAAAAATACAGTTTATCTTTTTAGCATTTGTTTTCAGTACTAAAACTAAAGACACAGAGGTGGTACTCTGTTCACTCTCAATACAAAAGTTTAGTTGATAATAACAAATAACGTAATTCATTTAAAATGGCACTTTTCTGAACACACAAATAAGCTCTGCGCTGTACTGCGGTGGTGGACTACTATTGTAGCCCCAGCTGCCCTGGAGCGACAAAAGTGATATAATCTGTGCCATGGGTGCCTCTCACCATCACCAATCATTCAGTCACACATCAGACTTACACTAGGCAATGCGGTGGAGTGTCTTGCCTAATGACATGATGACAGTTTATGAGTGACATTGCATCATGGTAGCTCAGCGGTTAGCTCATTGGTTAGCTCTCTCTCTCTGCTCAGCAAGCAGGTCCTGGGTTCTAATCCCAGTCGAAACTATGTAGGTTTGTTCCGGGTAAAATTTACCACTGAAAGAAAATGTATATATAACTACCCCAATATATCCTCCAACTAGTCCTCTCAAAGCTTAGCTTTAACATGTGGAGATGGGTCCACTGCTCTGAACAGAGGCCAGAGTGGCAATGAAGGATGATCTAATGCAGGGGAAAATTGACCTATCTACAAGTAAGTAAGTAAGTAAGTAAGTTTTTATTTATATACCGCCTTTTCACTGCAGATCTGAGTCTCAAAGCGGTTTACAATTGTTAATTTTGGGCATTTGTCTCTCACTCCACACAGAGATAACTTAACTAACCTCACAATTTAGCCCTTTATAGCTGCAGCCGCCCCACTGTTGCACTTGGTGCTCTCATCACAGCACTAACCAGGACCTGTCTTGCTTAGCTTCTGAGGTAGGCATATACTGTATGCCTTCTGAGAGAGTAGGGGGATGGTGTGTGCCTGAGGAAACGGCAACAACTGCAAGTGTGCATAGAAGCTCAGAATTGATTTGTGGATGACAAATAGGTCCAATACAAACCAGTCTGTCTGCATAGGCATCTGTACTTTGTGCTGTTCTCAAAGATCTTCTCAGCTCAATAGTGCGTAGACTAAACAGAAAAACCCCAGGAGTCAAGTTTTCAGAGGAGCTTCACTTGTGAACATTATGCAGATTTGACTGTGTGGGCTGGTTTGTGAAGTAGACCACTGGATAAAACAGGCACACATGGTGATGCTAAAAAACTAAAAACTGACGCAACAGTAGTCAACCTCATGTTAATATTCATAGAAGTATAATGGATTATTTACTTTGCCATTTTATATTATAAAATAATGAAATAATATCTTCACTAGAAAATGGTGAAACATGTATCAAGGGATATTGGCCTGACCTATGCCAACCAAGGGCCAAGTGACTCAGGTCTTTGGACCTAATGGTCATGGGTTCAATCCCCCACAACCACAAGTCACTTAGCCCCACTTGAAATCCCTACTGAAAGACCATCGCTGAATTGTCGATGACGAAGAAGCAATCATGTGGACCCACCACCTGCAGGAGGATCAGTGAGGGACTGGTGCTAGGAGCATTTAGTGGCAGCTCTTACCACCCCCACCCAGAAATGGAATAATAAAGGGGAAGACAATGACATGACATGTCAATACCACAAATTTAAATGCAAAAAGTCTTACTTACTGTGCGACAAGTCCTGATTTTGAAATGCAGTTTTCCTCTTAAGTTCTTGACGTCCTCCCATACATCAAACGAGGACTGTAATTGTCGAAAAAATTATTTATTACTAGCTTTAATCATAGTTTGTGCAATCTTAAATGTCACAAGGTCTTACGATTTTGAGGTTCTTTGAGCAGAGAAATAATGAATGAGTGTGCTCATTAAAACTGGCCTGAAGAAAATTATTCTGACAGCTCGTTTGTGCAACACATCCATAATCTATGTGTTGCATAAATGTCTTTCTTTAAACAATCAATATCAGTTTAGTGGCCTTTAATTAATGTCTCTCTAATGTGTAATAAAGTATTAAATGAGTGTTTTAGTAGTAAGTGCTTTATGTCTGTGTGCAGATTGAAAACCACATATCAGACATCGACAACTGAGAGAGGTCAGTATTCAATGGTGTTTTTCATTTTCTAATAATTTCTATTTAAATTTTAATAACTGGTCCAGATAAGTAATTGCCAACTCTCTTCAAAAGTGTTTAAAACTGTATGATGATTACATTATAGTTCTGTAGAATTCTGTAGAGCAAAGATGGGGCCATCTCATCTTAGGTCCAACCATTTCCAAATCTACTTTCAAGCTTCAAGACTTAATTTGCCACTGGACTTTGCTAAAGCTGTTTTTCTGTCTGGATGTTGTTAAAGCTTGTAGTATTATTATATATTTAAATATATGTTACACAGTTCTCCTTATCAGTGCTTCTTGTTTTGGGAACAGTGTGTAATTGTTGAAAAACGTTATTTTCCCATTAGCTTGAGAATTGTGATACTGATATACACTGGATTATCATTCTGGTTCCCAGGCTCATGTTTACACCCTAGTACAGAGGGTCAAACTCATTTGGTCCTGGACAAATTTAAAAGGTATTAAAGGTATTAGCTGAGCAAGGTTCAAAGGGTAAAAGTGTTTTCGTAGTTTCTTTTTTTTTTTTTACTTTTTCTTACATTCTGAATTTGAGTTTGGATCTTATTTTATTCATTTACTGTTTGTTTAGATTGCAGGCATGTCAGAATCAAATAAAACAAACACATTATTTGTCTCTGTAATTAGTTTTCACATTTTGGAGTACATTAAATCATATGGCTGTTTTCTTCAGACCATTCATGCCATGGAAGCCATATTACCATATTGCCATAAATGCGGAAAGTTAATCATAACTAACTAATAGTGTTTTCAAATGTCTTGAGCCTCCACAGTCATTGCTTGAGCTTCTCCCAGATTTAGCTTGAGTTACTTATGGTTAAATAGTTTAGTTTAGGTTTGCAACATTGAAGCTCTAGTTTGTAACTTTGTTGTCAATAAGATCACTAGTCAATAAGGCCTTATAATTTATCATTTGGGATTTTTTGTACTTCTACCAATTCGCCCAGGCTAGGTTTTAGTTACATGCACCATTTTGAGGACTTTTTCACCTTTCACATTAACATTTGGTTTTATATTGTAAATCTCTCCAACAATGGTTTTAAGGTTTTCAATATGCCAGACCAATCTCCTCGTGCCTGTCAATCTAGATGCAGTACATGTAATACAGTCCTCTTGGAGCTGACATATACTTTGGTTTCAGGGAGAGAAGAGAATAAGAAGACACCAGCAAAGACTTCTGTTTGGAGCCGCCGCAGAGAAATCCTGTCCTCTTGTAACTACGCACTCCTGATGTGGACAGTCTGAAAACGCTGGCCAAATCACGTTCACTTTTCCTGCAAAACGCAATGATAAATTCTCAGATTACAAGGACTTTTGTGTGGTAATATAATCCATGATGATCTGTAAACAGTTGTGATGAAATGTAAGACAACCATGACATTTGTCATTGTAAATGTATTTTATTATTCTTCTGCGTTTACTACTATGAAAAGAAGTCACTCAATGAATGTAGTGTTTACATTTTTATTTTACCCTTTAATTATTTTGAAAAGTTATTTATTCCCAAATTGTGTTGTCACATGTTGAGTTGAAGCCACACAACAAAGACTGTTGAAAAGCAATTTCAACTGCAAATTATTATAACAATACTATAAATATTATAAATATTGCATAGTAATACTTAAGTCAAACAACAGCCTTCTATTATGCCTTCTTTTACTCAACCTTAAGCAGTTTTACATTTCCATATAGTCAAATATAAAAGATTTGTGTGTCTTTAGGTTAAATCTCATTCATTCATCTTTCTTTGAAAAATGTTTTTTAAGCATGTGTGAAACCTTTTACTTAATCTTTATTCATTGCATCGAATGTACAGAGTTTTTGAAATAAAGCTGTTTCTTGTCAATTGTTGATTCGTATACACAAGGATGTGAAGCAATTTTTGACTTTATCTTTTTAAAAGTCAAATATAGACGGAGTAGTGGTAAGTAAATAACTTATTCTGAGGTAACCCCAATCAATTCTGTCAGACGCAGTACTGCCGACTCATCCCCCCTCCTCTTGTATTAATTATCGCTTACACCTTTTCTTTTTATAGGTACAAGAATATTCATGAATCCCACTGTGCCCTTGAGAATCAAACGCTCAGGTCAATAAAAAATGCATGTGTTGCACCACTGCAGCGGCACCAAATGGCATCACTGATTCACAGACTCCACCTGCACTAGATCATCATTTTTCCAGGTTAAAGAAGCCACTGGCTGGGTTACAGGGATAATTGGATCTATTACGGCTGTGGGTGCCATGATCAGCCAACCGAACCAACACCTCTAATGTGTACAGTGCTCAAAGTGAGAAGAGTGAAATCCATCAAGAGCCTGTTGTAGAAAGAATTAGTTTAACGGAGGCTAGAGTCTTTAGAATGCATGCTTCATTTTATGCACATTTGACCTAGAACTACTGTAATAACTATTTCCAATCCAATCCAATTTGCTTTATGTATACAGCCCATGCCGTTTCTAAAGTGCTGCACAATAATAACAACAATAAAAGGTATACAACTTACAAAGTGTTAAAAACCAGGGCATACAGGACTTAACAGACTCCACAGAAGGTGCAGTACTAGAACAAGTACTACTGGTTCTATATTATTACTACTACCCCTGGATAACTACTACTTTTAATGTGCATTGTGCAACCAAAATGGGGCCTGCTGCTTGTTGCCAATGTTTGCTTACTTCTTTGCTTGGAATATTGTTTAATATGGTTTAAAACTTACATAGCCTACTACATACTTCATTTATGAATGTTTTTAGTGCTTTAAGAGACATAATTCATTCAGTGAGAAGATTCACCGCTCCACAGATATGACGTGTAACTTAGCCAAGTGAAGTTTTGTCTCCAAAGTATATGGACAACCTGTGACAATACTGTAGAAAATAAGCTGGCAAAACAACAACCTTTAGATGAACCCATGCAGAAAGCTGACCCTTCACATTTGGAGGACAAAATAAACGGATTCCAACTTTATAAAACAGAATGGTTTTAAAATACGTAAGGAATCTTATGTTCTTCCCATAGCCTGTTCTTCCATTTCACGAAGAATGAAAAAAGTAAAAAAACAAATACAGATAAGTGGGCGGAGCTAATTCTACGGAAGTGTGCGTCATGTAAACAGGAAGTAAATGTCTCCGCGGTGTTTTTAAGAAGCTATTCGACAACTGAGGAAAGTAACTCAATAAAGTGAATAAGAAGGCTTCTCCAACGTAGATTTGTCTTCAAAACTAGCGTTAAATTGACTATAAACACGCTTTTACTTGGTCTTTATCGTATATATGTTGAGTAGTCTTTTGCGGTCCATACAAATCTGAAAATGCTAACACCCCTTTTTGCTTCTTGCTTTAAATAACGACAGAAAACAAACTATGCACAATGTAGTCTATTAATGGGCTAACCCGTTTAATGTCCTCGTAATGGTAGTGTGTGTAAGCTATGTTAGCTTTATGTTAGCTTTGGGACGCCTGGATGTGACTGAAAAGTGATCACTCTTCATGGTTGCTATGGGAGACACTGAGCTGTGCCTCATCGACAAGAAGATAAAAAGGTAAAACACATATAGTTTTCTGAACATTACATAGACGTAATAAACATGCTGAGAACAGGTTTTATGTGTTAAGGTTATCACTTGAGCTTTGTTTTTGTGAAATGTATAACAAATCCTATATTCACTGAGCTTTAGGATCTAAACAATGATTAATCAAAAGAAAGTGAGTAACTTACATGTTTAGAAGTTTTCTCCATGTCGTCAAAATATTATAGAATAGGCGACTCATGTTTCTGTTTTAACATTCAGCTACAAGTAAGTCACAACAACCAAACTATTACAAAGATAATTTAACTATACATTTTCATAAATGATTCACATTCATCTAACCAGTTCCTCACTCACAAAACAATTTGTTTATATCACCCCTTTTTCACATGCATGCTTTTTAGGGCCCTGGCTCGCACATCTTTAGACATTTTCACCTGGGAAAGTGAAAAGGTTTAAATCTAAAATAGTTTATCTATTTTTCTCTTTCCCTTTTTCATTTGGGAAAGTGAAAAAGAGCCATCCTGACTCTATTATTATATTTCTGCAGATATTTCTGCCATTCACAAGCCACTTTACCTGTTGATATTATGTCTATTTATTCTGTTCATATGCATATTCCCATATTCTCCGCTGTTAAAGTACATAAACATCTGTAAATACTTTTGAACCAAGTACAATTGTAGCCCAGAGTTTATTTTATTTTATTCTTATCCTAATTTTATTGTCTATTATCTTAAATAATAGACTTATTTGATGTGTGCAATCTGAGTGCTCTTATACTTGTGGGAGTAAACAAGTGTTTCACTTCTTCTCACTCCCTTTCAAGCAAAGAGCATTACTTTATTGTTAAGGAAAAAAAAATATATATAATAATAATAAAAAATAAAAAATAATAATAATGATAATAATAAATAAATAATGTAATCTGTGTTAATATATATTGTTTACTATAACGTTTATGAATTTAAGTTTTGTTATTGTGACATTGTGTCATGCTCATGCTTGCTTGCTTGAAATAAAATTATTCATTCATTCATTTCCTTTCTCTGCTGTAATGTGCGCAACGCTGACACTGAAATTTCTCCACTGTGAGACTAATAAAGGTTCATCTTATCTTATCTCTCATCCCAAAGACTCAGATAGCATCTCATAGACTCATTGTTACAAGTTTGCAATAAAATGTTTTCTAGTCAAGACTGCATGTAATGGTCTGATTATTTATTTGTTTCAATGTATTATTTTTGGGTTATCCCATTTTTAGGCAAAACTCAACAGAACAGATTTTTGACATGAACAAAAGCTCTCAAAATTAATTATTACAAAATATCTGCCTCTTAGCAGTTGGTTGGAAAACAAACACAAAAATGTGATTTTTTTTGAAATACCTTAAAGAGTTTTTTTGTTAGTATGCCTAAAAATATTGAAATATGTTTTATTATTTTTACATAACTTGTTAGAAGTCCCCCTTGAAGGAAAGGCAAGGCAAGGTAAGGCAAGTTTACCTTGCCTTGACTATACTACAGGACAGTGGGCAGGAAGGGGATCGGCTAATACAGAAGTGTGGGATGCCGAGCATTATTCTTATAAAAACTGTACTATGTTCTTGATGAACATACTCGTATGCCTAAAAATATCCCAAAAAATATGTTGTGTTTATTACTCAAGATTCAGTTCATTTGCCATTTTCTGTAAAACCAGATTGGAATAAAAAGTACTCAAGTGTGCACCAGACAGAGCAGATAGTGGCCTCCAGAGCACTTGGCGGCGCCCTGTCTCTACACCATGTTTGATTGATATTTGTCATCCATCAATCAATCAAATTTCCTCCTGTGGACTCACCACCTGCAAGAGGGATCAGTGAGAGGCTGGTGCTATGTGTACTGGCCTGGGTGGCATCTCTGACCACCGCCCCGACCCATAAATCGATTAAGGGGTATAATATGGATGGATGGATGGCAATCAACTTTCATTGGTAGAGCGCCTTTCCTACTCAAGGCAACACAAACCGCCTCACAACCCATATCACATCAAGCATAACACAAATAATAATAAAAAATAATCCAACAGGACATTAAAAACAAACATTAAGATTCACAAGAAACATTAAAAGCATCAAGATAAAATAACAAATAAATAACCACAGTGCATTAAAAAGAGTATAAAAAGAATCATTCAGTTGTATGCATAGCTAAACAGAACTATTTTTAACCTGGATTTGAAAAATGCCTGAGTAGCAGCCTGTTTCACATTTTCAGGAAGACTTCCAGAGTCCAGCTTCCAGAGTTCCAGGGTTTAGCTGCATGAATCTGAAACGCTGCCTCCCCATGTCTAGTCCTCACTGTTATATAGTCTGTCAGTTAAATAGTCTGTCGTTAATACCTGTTTTTGCACACAGTTTACAAGAAGTCCAGTTGGTTTCCACAATAACTTCCCTGAATCTTCACTGTAACAACATCCCAAAGATCGAAGGCTTCACCCACGCTTGGCACCTGCGTCACCTGGACCTCTCCTCCAACAGCATCTCGCACATAGAGGGCCTGAGCGCACTCACTTCTCTGAGGACTTTGAATCTATCCTGCAACTTAATCACCAAGGTTGAAGGTGTGTGTTTTAATTACTTTCTCCGCAGTATGATGGATAGTCTGGTACAGGGGGAGTTCCTCAAGTCATTTATCTCTGTCTTCCATTTGGTGCGAAGTTCTTTGAGTGCTTTATGAAGTGTAAAATCACTCTTTTGTCCCGCCTTTCTCAGGACTGAATGGCCTTGTGAACTTAACAAGATTAAACTTGTCCTATAATCAGATTAATAACCTCACAGGTAAGACTTGTGTATTTTTGATAGCGCCGACGGTAACACGCACTGATGTTGATGGATCTTATTGTCTTTTTGTAATAGGTTTGTTGTATCTCCACGGCCCGCAGTACAAGCTTAACCACCTTAGCCTCCATAGCAACCAGCTGGACAGCATCGATCACCTGCTCCAGTGCCTTCTGGGATTGCACACACTAAAAGAAGTTGTTTTATACAAAGACGGAGCAGACAATCCGCTCTGCAGGTCGCCAGGTAAAAGCTTAATACAAGGATAAAAGGAAGTTGAACATTTCAAATTTAAATTGTGAATTCATACTTTTGTTATTTTCAAATGAATTGTGTGCACTCACTCCAGGGGTGTTAATTATTGTTGATTGTAGCATTTATGTTTCCTTCTACATTTAGTACCAAACATCATCTTTTTTTAGACAAACTGTATGTATTATATTTCAGGGACTAACGTACTCAATTTTTGTCAATATTATCAGTACTTATTTTTTTCTGACTAACAATAATCTGAGTTATGTAAAACCAGATACATGTGATAAAATGTGATTCAGAGGAAACTGGGTGTTAGTGGTTATACATGTAAAAGGGGTGGGGTATAAAAAGTTTGTGTTTTGTCCCATTTGAGATATAAATGTTGTTTTGTGTAGAATACAATAATAATATTATTATTGTATGTATTTCTCAAGGTACAGTAGAACTACTATGTATACTATGTACTACATAGTATACAAGTTTATACTATAGTGTGTCTATGTATGTACTACATAGTATAGCTCAAAGTTATAGGTACAGTAGTGGCGTCACCTGCAATTGAATGCCAGATCCTGCCGGATATCAGAAGCTAAGCATCGCAGTGCCTGGTTAGTACTTTGATGGGAGACTTCAACACCACATGCCACAGTGGCTGCGGCAGTTAAGAAACTGCTGTTGTGTCTGTAGGCAAAACTCTGGCATGCATAGTTGGTCATGGCTGTAGCCAAGGCATTAGTATATCACCACACTGTACAGAGTGATTATTATCATGATTATTTTATATCTATCTATCAAATCTGTAACTTCAATAAAGTTTCACATTATAAGTTTGAATGAGAGTCCATTTGAATGTCCATTTACATGAAGTCAATGAATGATATTCTAATTTTCAGAGTATCGCTTAGGCATTGAGCTTAATATATCCATTCATTCAAAACAAAAGGTGATTGACCATTCTGTGACCTCAGAAAATGTATTCATTCATATGACGACTTCCCCTTGGCTGCAGGTTACCGGGAGATTGTTTTCCAGTCATTGCCTCAGCTTCATGTCCTGGATGGTCTGGACCAGTTAGGAAACCCACGTGAAGCGCGTGTGCATAAACTCGACATTCCTGGTTTGGACGACTATGTGGACCTGTTTCTTTCTTCTGACACCAGTCATAATGATCCTGTAATGTCATTTTTGTATTTATTTCAGAAGCTGCCGAGATCACATATCAGATTAAGGACTTGTATTCTTTTTTTTAGGTTAAAGGCAGTAATATTCATACACCCCGCATTGATGAAGCGCTGAACCAATTTCGTCGGCAAGTTGCATCAGATGTTTTAGCAGATGGCGGCGCGCAATCGGATCAAACGGACGCGGCTCCAGTGGTTCCCAGCGCGTCCAATCCACCGGACCGCCATAACGAAGAGCGCCTCAGGACACTGGAGCGGCAGGTGTCTCTACTCATTCAGAAGGTTATTACTTTTGACTGTACTCTGTGAAGAAAGGTGAACTCGTTAGAATGTGGAAATAATGATCAACCTCTTGCAAAGCGTTTGAGGTGTCTTAAAATGTTAGGTTAGTTCTTTCTTCCTGCTGTTCTATTGAAAGATAGCTGTGTAATTGCTTTGACATGTTTTGACAGTTGTAGAGGTGATTTGTCCTTAACTTAAAACTTAAAACAAATCAAAAGGCCACTCTTGGTGTTGCCACAGTGGAGAGAAATGAAATGTCAAACAAAAAGTACATACTACGCAGTTTATTGGACCTCGCAAATGGCAAACATGCACATCGACGACCTCGAAAAATGTAATAAACAATAATAAACACAAAGCCCTTCTAGATACAGACATTGTAAACTAGCCTTGGCTACAAATGTTTCACATGTTGATTGTGCACACCTGTCCCTGTATTCCTCCTTATGGATAAATATTAAGGCCGGGACTTTAACGCTTTAATTAAGATGAATTAATTGCACAAAAATAGACGCATTTTCATGTATTTATTTTTGCATCGCGGAACGTGTGCATGAATTGGGTTCAGACAACAACAAACCACAGTGGCACAGGGAACATGAACAAAGAAGCTGATGTGACCGCGTTGGTTGGCCCCGTGGATGGGAAAAAAATATACTTCTCACTGTTCTCAGGTCAAATACTTGTAAATCCAGTCCCAGCCCTAATATATATATATATTTAATTAGGCAGTAGACAAGGCATGTTTTTTTGAATAGATCAAGTTAATTGCCCTTTAGGCTGGAGAGTTTTCTTTCAGACATTTGATGTAAAACAGACAAAAAGTAGAGCCTTGAGACTTCATAGCAGGTAAAGGACGACTAAAATCAATAAATGAAATAAATAAAATAAAAATATGTACGAGAAATTTAGGGAAAGGAAACATTTGTGGGAGGCCAGATTCCTGTATTGAAAGGGTAAAGAACTTGTGTTGCTATTCTACTACTTTAGATACTGTAAGCTGCAGTTCCTAACCTTGAGATCCATGTAATTATTTCCTAGCTTCAAAACTGTTTGGTTGTATCACTAGTATTCACTTTGTGTCTGTCACATCTTGTGATCACCTTTTTCAGTAAGTAAATGAGTCATTCTTATTTATATAGGGCATTTTACAGACCAAGGTCACCCAAAGCACCTTTGGTGAAAAAAGACCGCACCAGCCCTCACTCAGTCAATCAGCTGAAATTCAAGTCTTGTCATTTATTAAACAATTATTAACAACTGTGCACTTTACTATTTCCTATGATTTGTAAATGCTTTGTAAAAAGGAACTCCCAGGAAGCTGCCTTCGCTTTTATGCGGGAGCCACAAAACTCAGTATGTCTAACAGGGAATTTACGCAATAGGCGTAACAGCGCGTACGCGTTTACTGCGCGCTCTATGCGCGTAACATTTTTTTGGAGTATCTACACAGGCCGTGCGCGCAGGTCCGCGTCTTCTGATGCTGTCCCTGTGTAGTCTATGGAGCAGTGTAGAGGACAGTACGGGCCAGAGGACTGATGTAGAGCAACACAAATCATGTGTTTGTCCTCATGGTCTCTGTGCGCTGGTTTGGCCAGACGGCAGACTTTATGTAAGAAAAAAAACGATGTCCAGAATCCCTGTAAAACCTGCTGCTCTTCCGACTGATGTTTAGACACAAGTGCTGTGTGTGTGCAGATGCGATCTAGAGCCAAGGACCGCTAGAAAAATCATGTTTTACGTGAGATTTCAATGGGAGACGCGTCGGTGCGCGCACAAAATTAGAAATCCATCCTAAATTAGAGCGCAGCTTCGCGTCATACGTCCGTCATACACACGTATAACGCTAGAAGTGTAAATATCATCATAGGTTAACATGGAAAAAAGTTACGCGCGTCTGCTGCGCGTATAACGCGTACGTGCTGTAACGCGTGATGTGTAAATTAGCAGTAAGACAAAATCTCTCTGAATAAGATAAAAACATGTTGTGTCTGAATTGTTCACAAAATGCTTCATACACAACACTCTTCCTGTTGAGACAAACAAAATGCATTTATGAAACAAAAAGGTTGGTACTCCAGCTTTTAATGTTAAAAGAATAAATAGCAATATAAATCTATGTGTGCATTAAACATGTATTCTCACACTGTCACACTTGTCCTGGCAGGGCCCCACACTGGACAAACCCCGGAGCTTCAGCACACCTCCTGTAGTGATGCTACGGCTTCCAAAGAGGGACACGGATCGTACGTCGGAGAGCGAGTGTGACAGTGGGAAAGAAAACAAGAAGCGCTCACGAATCCCCAAACAGAGAAGCAGCTCAGGAACCAGGAGCAAAGACGCAAAAACGAGAAGATCCGACAGGTATTGTATCCATTCTGTTTTTGCATTTAGGAAAATACACAGCATATGTATTTGTTACTATTAATTTAAAAGAAACAAAGACATAGAGGATAAAAAACAGACAGGCCCAGAACCGAAAAGGAAAGAAACACATAGAATATTCAATCAGAACAGGAATATAAAGGTCACAAAGTAGCAGAAGGTCCATAGCAGACTTTGATGGGGCTCTCCTCAGCACTGTGGATACATGAGTAAAGAAATTACACTGTGGCTATTTATGATTGTAATCCCATGTGTGATTCATGATTTTATTTTTTATGTTGTTAATATTTCTTGTTTCTTTTAATCATATGTTTATGTAGATTGTAATGTTTATAGGTTTATGCTTGCTGTGAAATGGGTGGTGAGGCGGCGCTCCACAAATTAAAGTTGACATGGAGAGCTCCAAATAGGCAACATATCATGGCCCACCGTTGGCGTGACAGCGGGTGAGGGGGCTTCCATCTTGTAGCCACCACCTGCTAAAAAAAGAACCCTTTGTGGGAGTGGTCATAATACACACCATCTTTAGAAGAAGTATTATGCTGGGAAAAATATCTCCTAGACATGATTTGAGTTTCCTCTTTAAGATTTTAATGTGTAGGAAAGACGCTCAGCAAATAAAAGTTGATTGATAGAATGGAGGAAGTTTGATTTGTAAATAACAACACATTGTCAGATCTAATTTACAATCAATAAAGTTATTCAGAACACAATAAAAAATATGCTGGTTGTCTAAATAATTACAAGAGGTATTAAAATGATGATGTTAATTGATTTGTCATCTTTCAGACTATTGTTTTCTAAAATGGTGTTTTGACAGAATAGCTGGAAATGTGACTCACCAAAATTACTTTACTTTATACTGTCCAACTTTTTATCCAGTTCTATACTCTGGTCCAAGCATTGTCTTCTGCAAGGTGAACTGTATATAGTTTGAAACCCCCCTCAGTGTCACAGTTTCTAACTTTGTTTACTCATAAAACCAAGAATTACATCCATCTCCTTTGACCTTCATCGCCGCCTTAGCTCCGGGGTTGGTAATAATCAGGTTTTACAGCTTGCACGATGCCTGTGATTTGTTTTATGTGCAGTGATCAGGAGAATCGTAAAACTACATCTTCAAAGTCGTCTGTGGATACCAGAAAGAAATGTGTCATCGCAGCAGGACTGGAGACAGCAGGGACCATGCGGAGGCACCCTTTGAAATCTACTGAAGCTTCTGGGCCTGTGAAAACAAGGTCCACCAACGAAGAGGAGACCTACAGGGTAAAGACAATCACCATGTCCCCGGGATAGTTGGGATATCAAAATTCTGTGGTAACTTTTCTAGGAAGATGTTAAAAGTTAATTCTGTTGTTTATGTTTAAGCCTTAAATAGTTATTTTAATAAGACAAAGTGTCTTTGTGTAAAGGAGATGGTACTGCTTAAAGTGATTGTCTGGAGTTTGTCAGAAAGAGAAACAGAGAGGTACTTGATTTGAAAAAAAACGACACAAGCTCCCTCCCCCTTCCTTTCTGATTGGTCTACGCCTACGTTTCCGTAACACTTTTAAATGTTAATCAGAGAACACATTATACATATACATTATTAATACACATGCACGGAGGTTTTCAGAATTATTTGTGAAAGTTTTAATGAAAAAAATAATGTTTTTATGCACAAAAAAAGCGATCGCGGCAAACCAGGAAGTGCTATTATCATGAATTGCACATTATAGGTGTAGGGTGAGAAAATGTCGATATCACACATAACTTAAGTTATGTACCTGATATCGGAGAATTGGATCAAAAACAACCATGTAATAAATACAATAATTGATAATAGCTTTATTTAGGGGCACCAGGGAATAACTCCCAACTGATAACGTGCATATGACGTCACAATATCAATTAATTGGCTCATTTATTGATTAAGTAATCTCATGAGTCCTTTCATTATTTAATTAGCTAGTTAGTCCAATTCTCTTCAATAGAATCTGAAGGTAGTGAATTCTTTTACAAATCAGTGACCCAATTTCTGGAGTTAAAAGTACAAATATCACTTTCAGACAAAAATGGTTTTGTAGATTTAATGAAGTATACACAATACAGACTAGATATGAATTATGCAAATTGTCAAGAATAACATGAAGGAAACGTTGATTTCAAGATACATTGTTAAAATGCTAGGCTAAAGTGAGCTAAGCAAGACCTTTGTCTATGAATGGATTGGTATAGGTTGAGGCCTGCATGTGTTCAGCCTTGGTAAGAGAAGTATTCTTTGAAGTATAGGTTTTAATAAAGCCAACAACTGTGTGTAGCAAGAGAGCAGATCATACAACCAGAATACTTTTGGTGAATAGCAGTCCTTGGGTCTTGATGGCGTTGGATGGAGGCTTCTGGTCCCCAGGGCCTGGACCATGCGGCTGCATCATGTGGTCCTCCCACGATCCACAGTCTAGGTGCCAAAACTCAGCAACTTCTTCAGGTTGAAGCTGGAGGCTATTGAAGGGTTGTGGAAGTCCTCTCAAATGTGGAGCTGAGGTTTGAGGCCATCTAAGAGGCCCAAGGCCCCTTGGTTGCCTAAGCAGAGCCCAGGGCAGAGCCCAGGGAGGTCTCGTCACTCCGTGGTTCCAAAGCAGACTGGTTTTTCTTCCCTTGTTGTAGAGTCGTTGGGGGAAGGGTGTTGCCATAGCACTTATCTTAAGACATTCTTGCCCACAATAAAACCTGAATCCACAAGGATTTACACACAGTTGAGACAGAAGTTATAATATGTCTCAATATACAACAAAATGTCTTTGATTGAGGAAAGAGGTCATTTTAATTTATCCTACATAGGACACATCTGCAGAGGATCTGATTATGGATATAGGTTCAGAATATACATAAGTAACTCAGCGCGGATGTTCAGAATTCTTTGTTCAGTTTTCATGTTGTTCCAGAGCCTAATAGAGGCTTGATTCGGAGGCTCCGTGAAAACACAAACACAAACAAACAAACTGCGCGCAGCTGCGAGCATCAGCGCCGATGATTGACAGCCCTTGGCATGACTCGATTGGTTAAGCTCGACGGCACCGTGGATTCTGAACTATAGCTAAGAGCAGGGAAGGCGGGACTTGCCCGTAATATTAGAATTAATAAAATGACTTATTTTATATCAACATTTAAGGCCAGGAGGTCAATTTAGCACATTTCCTAAAATTTGTAATTAATTTAGCGTTACAGACTATCACTTTAATTCCATTTTCAGCTCCCGCATCCAGTAACAGGTGATGGGGAAAACGGGCCTGGAGTTGTTTTTAGATCCATCCATGCTAATATCAGGAACCTCTGACACTAAGGCCCTGTCCACACGAAGTCAAGCTCAGGCCTAAACGCAAAAATACTTTATCAAACCAGTGTATCGTCCATATGAGGCCGGCGTTTTGGGGGGGTGTAAACGAACATTTTTGAAAGTAGGTCCCAGAGTGGAAAGATTTCAAAACTCTGTATATGCCGCTCCGTGGTTTCTGCCTCTCCGCAATGTATCTGAGACGCTTGCGTCATCGCCCTGCCTCTTGTTAAAGCACGCATGCGCCGCACTCAGAAAATAATGACAACAACAATGGCTTGTTGGTTTTGTAATCCAGTGTGACCCGAAGCAACAGTTCAACCTCATCGTCCGTTCATACTAATGTAGTACCAGCTCGCCCACTCGCCATGTTGTCTGTTTACAAAATTCTGCGCATGCCCAGTTCCCGTCACGGAAGTTTGGGCTTGATCCCGTCATTGCGTGACAGCGCCACCAACAGGTCTGGCATAGTTTCACAGCGTTTTCAGGCGTATTGACTACATTCATATGGACGCACACATTTACTGAGCTAACTCCGTGTTTACAGAAAAAGTTTCTGAAATTATAAGCGTTTTGTCTTCGTGTGGATATAGTTTAACATGTAACTCAGCCCCTTCTTTCTGAAAGCTCCTGTCTCAGGCCCCGTTTCTCACAGCCTCTCCCCGGCAAGGAGAGGTTGTGAAGAGGCTGAAAAGCAATTATCAAAAACAACCAGACTCCTTATTCAAGTGCACAGCGTCTACATGACGACGGAAAACAGTGTAGTTCTAGCGCCCGGCTAGTAGTGGGCAGTGGAACGTTAAAGCACGACACGCATGAGCCCCAGCAGTAGAACCATTTCCTCATGTTTATTTTTTTAAATATATAAATAAGTATAAATATATATATATTATTTAATCACAATCAGCCACGTGGAAGCAGAGCCACAGGCAGCAAAACGGTGGCGTCATCCTGGGGGTCACAAGTGTGACTCATTTGGTATTACTACTCAAACTGCGCATGCACAAAGGGAACATTCAGTGCTATGCACAGCCCTCTGACGGGCAGGAGGGATGAAATAGAACTAATTTAACTCCTCCTTGTGGTAGCAAAAGTCTCAAGCATGTCAATAATATTACTCACAATTGTGGTGGAATAATATTTAATAATACTTCAATAAATGGATCAGAGAGAAACGGCTTGTCTTTGTGCGATTTATTAAAAAAGGTGATGAGAATAAACCATACAATAAACTCTGCGGAGTGTCAGAAAAGCACGATGCAATCCAAAGCTTGCTTTGTCCCTCTCTGCCTCGTTCACATTCAACCTTCATTAAAATTATTGTGAGGATGAGAGACAACAAACAGGAGTTTCAAATCGGGAGCAAGATGGGTTGATTCATGCAGGAAGAGAAGGTTGGACCAGGGGGGAAGAAGAGCAAGTCTGACACCTGTCAAAACATTTAATTCAGTCAAACCAAAGGGCAGTTTTGGTTCTGGCCCGTCTCAGGCTAAGGTCATGAGAAAGTGACGTCAGCACAGGAGGCCTTTGTCCAAATGTTCCCTATGGATTTTGATGCAATATTACTCAAATATTCCACTTAATAAACATTAATTGGCAGTCTCATTATCATTGTAATGGTCAAAAATAATGCATAACATTTCTTATGAATAAAGACATTTTTGCCTGGGGATTGATGAATTGCAATGGGATGGATCCAAATTGTGATTTCTGAATCATTACACGTCCCACCTCCTCTTTGGCTTGTAATACTTTTGTGTCCTAACTAGCCTATAAATATTGTTTTGATTGGATAGCAATATTCAGGTATATTCAGGATAGCAATAAAGGTAATTAATCACGATTGAAAGTGATTCTTCCTATTAAATACACTAGTTAACTCGGAAAAGGTGACCTTTTTTATAGTTCAAGCTCTCTGTAGAGTTAAGCTGTAAAGTATTAAACCTTCATGTAGTATTCTCATGTCCTATCCTTATTGTCATTATATTTGTTCATTCAGTAAATATAAATCAAATAGAACATGAGTGAAATGCTTTTTCCAGCTACATAACTATTCAGTATGAAAAGGTGATTTCATTATAATTTTAGGTTCTCAGTGAAGCTAGATTATAAAATATTAAACTTTTTAAGAATAACTGTTAGCCTTTTTTATGACTAAGTGATCATTCCTTTATGAACAAGCCTAGTTTAAGATCTTGAGTCAAGTTGATTCTAAGATAGACCTGTATCCCACCAGACCATATAACAAACGTTAAAGAAGGAGTTTAAGGCATAACATTTTTGTGAATTTAATAAAAGTTCTTACACAGTGACATAATCACAGAAGCACATACAAAGCAAGGCAAGAGTGAACCAAAATCATAGCTACCTGAGACGAGGATGTGTTCATCTAACTTCTCCCTCATACCCCTGTTATAGTAAAGTATGACATGTCACCTTTCGTTTTATTCTCATTATGATCGAAGCTTTTTACTCGTTCCAGATTGTCCCTATACTAAATCTGTCATGCATATTAGGAGTCTTATTTTCTCAGTCCCTGGCCATGTGCTTTATCCAAACTAACCTTTTGGGTCAAACTTCAATTGCCAAGCTTTATGTTGTCTTGTACTGTTCCCATCGTAAACCTGTCCTGTTTCTATCTATTCAAGTTATTTTCGTTATTCTGAACCAGTAGGTTTGACTCTAATTTCCCATAAGTTAATCACCTCTTGTTGTTACAGTTTGTAATCTTTTGTAGGCCTGGCTGTCCCTGGTTCAACTATAGGTGATTCCCAGGCTTCTCTTTCCTTTAGGTCAATCTAAGGTTACTTCTAAGCTTCTGTTCTGAGGCCTTTTATGAATGCAGAGTAGAATACATCAAGATATAAAGTATAAAAAGTAATTTCCCGAAATCATATCATATAACAGGTTGCTGGAAAAGAAGATCTTGGCTTGAAAGTTTGAACACCAATCCATAAACAAATGTGTTTCAACATCCAAACATCTAAACATTGGATCTAATAATGCAGTTAGCAAATCTTACCACGTTTTACGTCAAAAATAAGTGGAAAATACGCACAATTTGAACATCTGGAGTGTTGGTGACTTTTTGAGCATGTGTGTGTTGGTACAGACCATCGTGGAGGAGCGTGACCAAGAGCGGGAGCGGCGCTGGAAGGCTGAGCAGGCCGTGAGGAAGCTGACAGAGGAGATGAAGTGTCTCCAGACAAAAGTCAGCGAGGAGCACGACCTCCAGAGTCTGGCTGTGCACACCACCGACAGGTAACAAGAGCCATGAGAACGCCTTCTGCTCTATTCGCTCCATCCAGGTTCAATTATAGAACGTATCAACCACTCTTAGAAGACCTACGTGCCAAAAAGAGGGGACAGAGAAAACACAATAGATCTCAAATATAAAATAAATTATGTATGGATTTGTCCAAGCTCCGAATGGACAGAAAAGATAATATATAAACCAAAGAAAACAACACAATAAAACAAATTAATGTGATATAAAAATAATAGTAATAATAATAATGATGCATTGGTTTTATATAGCGCTCTTTGGGACACTCAGATGCTTCACATGTCATTATTCATTCACTCCAGTGGTGATAAACTACTACTGTGGCCGCAGCTGCCCTGGGACACACTGACAGAAGCGAGGCAACCAGTAAATCCCACCAGCCCCTCCAATACACCGGACTATGTAGGCGAAGTGTCTTGTCTACAAGTGGCATGTACAGTGTTCCCAGTATCTTTGAACTAAACGAGCCTGAAGCTCTCTTTAATTATTGCACACCCATTTAGTCGAGAAAGGAGCATTAACCCACAGATCCGTCTTCATTATGTGTATTAGGCCAGTGTCCACAATCATCTCTAATTCAATATTCATATCTGCGTCACTGCTCTTTAAAGATCTTTATCTTGAGGAATTTTGGCGCTGCGAGTTTTATGGATATTATGTGTTTATCTCTATTTTCAGGCCTTACAGATCTGATCTTGGACTTGCAAACAACTCTTATAAAAACATTGACACTGAGAATAGAACTAAACTAAGCAACATAAAGTTCATGCTCAAACAAAGACTTCCTTTTCCAGATTATTTATTTAAGGTTATATAGGTACTATCTAAATACAGGTGCAGTCCAGGTACTTATGTGTTAAGAAGACAAATTCAAAAATAGTTAGCCCTTATTGTAGTGTATTGTGTTACTCCAACTGGAATAGTGAAATTTCATAACTTGTGTCTCTATGCAAAGCATTTCTTTCTGGGAGAGCAGACAGATTCTGATGTTGAAAATTATAAGAATTAGGTCATAATTACTTGAATCGAGTCGTTTTGATCATCATTTGAGCACATTCTGAGACACATTCTTTGCCGATTGTAGAAATCCATTTAGTCTTATTATAAGAACTGTTGCTTTATTTTCTCATTCCAAGGTAGACATTACTTGTATCTTTCAAAAACAAGATACGTTTGCTGGTCCCATTGGCAAATCTTGTTTTAAGGCAGTCAAAATGTGCTCAAATGAAGATACATTTTGCCAAATGTTAGCATTTTTTTGGGATTACTTCAATCTCCATCATTTTAGGAAGCATTGGCTGGACGTGGAAAATTTGGATAATTCGTTCAGAAAGGATTTTTAGTATGCTAGCCAGAGGGGCCTTGGGTGTATTTTGCCTTTTCCACATTTTTATGGTCACTGTCTGAGGTCAAAACATTTAAAGAAGGGCTTTTTTATGAAGGTTTTCTTGTGCAGCTTTTTGTTGTTGTCTTTTGTTTTCTCAAAGGCTTTCTCTTTTTTTGAACAAATCAATAACTCTGGTATTCTCAATAAAACTTCTGAGTACTTTCACTTCCATAATTAAAACATGAACTGTTAAAGTAATGAAAGATTGCACGCATTTGAGATATGAGCCTCTTTGGAGGATTTATAAACACATTTTTAATTGGGTATTAACATTTTCACACACACATTTCCCTTAGTTACTTTGACCTACTGGTAATAGTGTTGTGAAACTCTTACAGCATGAAATAGATTAACTGACAATCATCTTTGAGAGCAATAGTCAACTGTCTTTGGTTGACCATCAGTTTGCTGCAGATGGTGCCACTGCGCATCGTTAGACTATTAAAAAAAAGGATTCTACCTGAGATGTTGCTGCAGTACAGTGTTCATGGTTTTGCACTGGTCCAGACCAGAGCAGAGAGGATTGGTCCGAACCAAGCGAATCAGCTGAGAATCCACTGGAGGAATGCAAACGTTTTGAAAAATGCTAATGACTGAGGCATTCAACATTTTACGTTGGACCAGAGCAGAGGAAATAGTCCGAACCAAGCGGCTAGACCATCTCTTCTGCTGTGACCTGAAGTGCTTTTGCTTATTACTACTATATTTAGCTTTTTAGAATGACGATTTATATTTTATTTTTTGCTGCTACTGGACACGTGATTTTCTGCTACGGGGATCAATAAAGTATCTATCTATCTATCTATCTATCTATTCAGCACACTTTACACAAGGAGTTGCTGTATGTAAGGGTAAAAATCCTTTTCTCTGCACACGCCACAAACAGTGCCGCTTGAGGTATGCTAAAGCACATTTGGACAAGCCAGTTTTTGTTTTGGAAGAAGGTTCTGTGGACCGATGAAACTAAAATCCAGTCATTTGGGCTAAACAAATGCCGTTATGCATGGGCAAAAAAAAAAAAAAACATTCCACGAAAAAAATGGGGGCGGTTCCATCACGCTGTGTGTCCAGTGCAGCCACTGGGAATCTTGTTAAAGTTGAGGGGCGCATGGATTCGACTCAATAACCGCAGATTCTGGAGAATAATGTCCAGGAAGTTGAAGTTGCCCCGGAGATGGATCTTTCAACCAGACGACGACCCTAAACACTGCTCAAAATCTACTAAGACGATAATAATATTCAGGTCTGGGACCATTTGTGGTTTAATTTCAAACGGGCTGTCCACGCTCGGAACCCATCAAACCTGACTGGACTAGAGATGATCTGCAAAGAAGAATCCAAAATACCTTTCACCAGAATCCAGACTCTAATTTGAAATTATAGGAAGCGTTTCGAGGCTGTAATTTCTGCAAAAGGAGGTCGATACAAAATGGGGAATATTTCACCCCTGCTCCACTGTTTGAGAACCACTCCCGCATTTACTTTGGACGATTGTGCGTTCTGTTTGTAATTAGAGCCTGCTGTCAGGCGTATGTCAGCAGCGTTATGTGAATCAATTTTCTCTGTCATTTGGTAATGATGCCGCGGCGGCCGGGTCCCGCTCATCAGGAGGCAGATTAATTTTGAAATGTCTTATCATCAACAATTCAAATAACACACAGCAGGAGAACGCATTTTTGGACTAAATTATGGATTCAATTCTTCTTTGTTTCATACGCGGTTAATATCCCAGGACGATGTTGTTTTATTGTTTATCTAATGTCTGTGTTTTGTCTTTGTTGGGTAATTAGTGCCGTTGTCTCTTGGCAATGTTAAAATAAAAGTAAATTGTGTTAAGATTTTGTCAAAGTTCCACTGCTAATTTAGCAGAAACTGAAGGTAACTGCAGCATATCTGTACAAGTAATTATACCTTTTATTATTGCATAGCTTCTCACCAACAGTGGCACATAAATACAAAGCTTTCCTGCAGATGTAGATCCATTTCTGTCTAATGTTAACTTCTGAGATATGCCTTTATTCAGCAGTATATAGTCTAGTAATTTATTCCAAACTTGTACACCAAATGTTGCAGACAGTACATATACTAAAAACTACTTTTCATCCATGTTTTCACAATTCCTGATTTGTTTCTTGATGTGAAATATCTAAGTGTTTTTATAAAATGAGGATTTATGTTGGTTCAATTTCCAAAAAACGTCCGTCAAAGCTTGTTTGTTCCAATTGGACAATAGCAAACCCCCAAATATGCTCTAAAAAGTCTCAGGGCCACAAGGTCCAGGTGTAGGAGACTATCAAAGCTTCAATATGGGTGAAAAAATGCGATCATGGCTGAAAAAGCGGCTACAAAGAATAAGCCCACAGACCTGACTCCGATACATCCGGTCTGTCAGGAGGAGTGGGCCAAACTTCCACCAGTATGTTGTCAGAAGCTTGTGGATGGTTTACCAAAACGTTACCCAAGCCTTCCACAAGTTTAAAGGTTGAATTATACCAAATATTAACCTTGTGTTGTAGGTGTATGTGAACTTCAGTTTTCAGCTGTGTAACAAAACATGACTAATATTGTGGACCTGCATGTGAAAAGCCTGATCCCGTCAGACCTCTGGCAGGGCCTGGTTATTACTATGATGGGAGACCTCTGGGAACACCAGGTGCCACAGTAGGGCGGCTGCGGCTTTAAATTGCCAAACTGTGTCCTTAGACACTTCACCCACATTGCCTAGAATGAGTCTGGTGTGTGTGTGAATGGTTGGTGGTGGTCGGAGAGGCCGATGGCACAGACTGGGGACCTCGCTTCTGTTCTAAATAATGAGTGCAAAACGTTCTTGTTTTTAAAAACTATTCCTCTCATTTGCACCTCATCAAAAACATGTTGGCGTGTAATACATGCTCTCAACATGACCTGATTTCGCAGACTCTCGACACATCCCCCCCTCGCTCTATCCCCCGCTGTCTTGAACATGTTCTTTTCCTCTCTCCAGGCTGAAGGAGCTGTTGCTGAAGGAGCGCTCAGGCCGCTCTGAGCTGCAGCGGCGTGTGGAGGAGCTTGAGGGCCGCTGTCAGTCTCTCACTCAGCAGCTGGAGCAGAGCAGAAGCACAGAGCAAGTGCACAGGGCTGGACTAAGCAAACTGGAGCTGAGCGTCGCCCAAGCGGACAGTCTGAGGGCCTCGCAGAGAGCAGAGGAGGTGAAAAACCACAGCAATATAAATACTTTGTTTTAAATGATGAGGAACAAATTATGATTTACTTATAGATTTTAATTATTGTATGTATTACAGTCGCATCTAGTCAATTTGAATTTAATTTAGTACAGCCTGAAATCACAACAGCAGTCGTCTTTAAGGATTTTACAAACAGATCAGAGAATCAAACGGTTGGAACACAGGAAATGCAATGTGCATAAATGCCTAAATGTCTTGTTGATGGATGTGATTTGGGAAATTGTCTGTTGTTTAACCTTTTACTGAATTGTATATATTAGGCGCAGTGATAATTGATAATGCAACTCACAGAGGCGTAACAGGGTCAAAAGGGCCAAATAATGATAATAATGCATCGGTTTTATATAGGGCTTTTTTGGACACTCAAAGACGCTCCACATATCATTATTCATTTACTCCATACACGGTGGTGATAAACTACGACTGAAGCCACAGCTGCCCTGGGGCACACTGACAGAAGCGAGGCAACCAGTATGTGCCATCGGTCCCTCCGACCACCACCAACCATTCACACACACACACACCAGACTCAGTCTAGGCAATGGGGGTGAAGTGTCTTGCCTAAGGACACAACAGCAGTTTGGCACTTTACAGCCGCAGCCGCCCCACTGTGGCTGGTGTTCCCAGAGGTTAAGTGTCTTGCCAAGGACACAACAACAGCAGACATCAATGGTGAAAGTCTTGAGTTGGCTCAAAGGCCAATGCTCTACCAACTGAGCTACTGTCGCCCACACTCCTCTCTACAAGCCACCTGTGAAAGCGATATAATTCATACTGATACGAGTTTAGTCTGAAAAAAGATAAGAGGTTGGGTCAGAAGAAGAGTCATAAATCCCATAAATGAATTGTTGACACACCTAAAAGGGGGAGACCCCCATCCAAAGCCATAAACTTTGACAAACTGACAGGTGACCCTTAAGGGACCTCTGACCAATAAGGATAAAATGACATAGGACAGACAACCTAAATATCAGACTGATTTAATAAGACCATCTGGTAAACACCAATTATTAGAACAGGTCTAGTCCCCATAAAAGACGACACACAGAATATGCGCTGGGGCCTTGGCTTAAACAGGAGCTATTTGCTTCCATTTTTACACTCTTGCCTTGTTGAAATTGCTTGTATTGTTTTCTATCTGTATAATCTTTTATTAGATCTACAAAATTTGCCTTCACTAAAAGTGATCTGATCCGGTGGGAAACAAGTCTCTTTTAAAGAGCTTCACTTTGTTTTGTAGGACTAAAAGGTTAATCTTTTAGATAACAATACACAAGTACTGTATTGGTTCAGATAATGGAATATTCACCAAATCTGAGAAGGTGTAATACAATACAGTTTAGCTCTACAGAGTTCTGATCTGTAAAAGAGTCACCTTTTCCATGTTAAATAGTGGATTTAATAGGAAGCACTCTGTTTGTGGTTAATTAATCTATAAATATTTCATTCCATCTGAAATGGTATTAATACTGTATTTCATAGTCTCACTTGTCTCACTGTCCTTAAAACCTTGTGCGTCAGCATTGAACATCAAAAAACAGTAGGGGAAAAAGTGAGATACCTCAGGGAGGCATATCCCTAAATTAAGCAATATAAATGTGTTTTCAGATCAAAATGTGATAAATCTTGTGGACAGCTTGTATAATTAACCACTATACTATTGTGGGATGTGATTCAGGAATTTGTCCTTTGATTAACCTTTTACTGGCACTTATACAGTATATTATGTTAGTTATAAATGATAATGCAGCTCACTGAGGGATTAACAGGGTTGTAAGGGCCTAATGCAACACACTGTCCATCTACATGCCACCTGTAAATCAAGTTACTGTCAGGAGTTTAGTCTGGAAAGATGAGAGGTCGAGTTCAGAGCAACAGTTATAAATCCCATAGATGAATTTCTGACAGACCTAGGGTCTGGTGAACATCAATTAACAAAAACAGGCGGGACGACCTATTGTCATAAGGGGGGGCTAAAATTACTATAAAAGAGGACACACAGAGTAAGCTAGTCGGATACGCTGCAGCCTTGGCTTATCAGGTAAGAACAAGAGTTGAGAGTTTACTTGTTGGTTCTGTGTCTGTGTGGTTTGGAAACATCACAGATAAAGAAAAGAGAGCTTTAAACAAGGTGCTCCGCTCTGCAAAGAGGACCGTGGGCTGTGAGCTTCCTGTTCTGGAGGTTCTTTATAAATCCAGACTTTTAAACAAAGCTCTTAGGATTGTCAATGACTCTTCTGGCCACCCTGGGAAAGCCATGTTCCAGCTTCTTCCCTCTGGCAGAAGATATCGCTCTCTGAGATGCAGGACATCTCGTTACGCTAAAAGTTTTTATCCACAAGCTGTTATCAGTGTGAACAGAGCACTTTAATGATTTGCACTTGTTTTGAAACTGTTTTAGTCAATCGATTTCACAGTGACATTTGTTTACTGTTTTATTTGTTTTATTTTTGTCTTTTAATGTTGTTTTATGTCTGTATTTGTCTGTGCACACTGGAGACTTTTGCTAATGTATTCCAATGTGGTGTTTTTACTGCAAATGGAAAATAAACTGAATCTGAATCTGAAAAGAGCACAGGTAAAGTATTGCTTTTTTTCACCACTCTTGCCTTGTTCTAATTGCTTGTATTTTTGTATAATTCTTAATTAAATCCACAACATTCCTACTGCCTACAATATGGTCCCGTTGGTTGTTAGTCTTTGCTATGAGGCTTGCCTTTTAAGAATAAACACTTTCAAATTTAAAAGGTCAACTTATTGTGATACTGTACTGGTTCTTTAAACAGAATAGTTCCCAATCTGTTAAAGGTTTACCGGTAATAAATGACAGTTTAGCTCTACAGAGACTAATCTATAAAAGAGTCACCTTTTTAAGTTGAATAGTAGAGTTAATTGGAAGAAGCACTCTGCTTGTGTTTAATTAGTCTATAAAAATAGCAACGTATCCAAAACGGTATTAATAGACTAGATAGAACACGATCGTATCACAACGCTACTCTTTTTTTAAAGATTTGCAACATGACAATTGAACGACTGCATTGTATGATTGCATATGCATTATTCATAGATTAATGCCTGTAGAGTTCTGCGGTTACTACATTTTATGTGTTGGGGAAACATTTCTGTACACATCTGCAAACATATTAGCATCAGAATACCATTACCTTTAAAAACACATTCTTCTGTAAGAGAATAACTTCTGGAATTTAATATAATGTTAGTTTTGAGGCTCCCTTCTCCCTATAAACTAATTGTGTTTGTTATTGTTTAAACTGTTTGATTATCTGATCTGTTGTTGCCCAATCCACATTTTTGTAAAGTCCTCGGAGACGATTGCTGTTCAGATTAAGGGCGATACACATATAAATGAAATTGAATTAGATTGACCCAGTCACATTTTTTTAATTGTCTTTTTTACATACATTCTGGTGTGTTCAGATGAAGCGGTTCCAGGAGATGGAGAACAAGGTTGTGGTGTTAAAAAGGGAGCTGGATATTCAAAGAGCTTCAGTCCAGCAGCACAAAGACAAACTTCAGCATCTCCACGAACTTCTGGCTGCAAGGGAACAAGAGCACAGGTAAAGTATAGAGTACAGTAGCAGCCACGTATCTGTCTGAAGGTTTATGAGAGCTGTCTGATTTTTTTACTATATGATAAACACAAAAAAGTGTGACTATCTGATTAATTTAAAGGGGCCTCATGTAGAATTTTAGATTTTGTTGGAGCACAAATGTAGGTGAACATGTGCAGTCCTATATCAAATCTACAGAGGAGAGTTTTCCAATGCCTTATAACTCAGTGGGCCTGGTTAAATAAACGTCAACAAACATGTAAAATATTAACTGTATCTAATCATTTTGACTATAAAAGTACTGCCAATAATAAGGAGTATAATCCAAAGTTTACAATCTTGGACCAAAGTCAAATCAAATAAAACTGAAAAAATTACCAATAAACAAACATAGAAGTAGATCCAATAATCTTCAGTGAAATTGCTTTTAGATCTTCTGTACAAATATAAATCAAAAGTCATTGATTGTTTTGTCTTTGTCTCGCAGAAAGCAGCTGGAGATGCGGCTTCAGCCCGGTGGAGCAGATTTTCGGGAGGCGGTGGCTAAAGAAGTGGCGTCAGTCAAAGCAAAACTGTCTCAGAAGGAGCGTGAGCTGCAGAAAAGAATAGCAGAGGGAAGGGGGCAGTACGCCGCGCTGGAGGACGAGTTTCGAATGGCTTTAACTATCGAAGCCACAAGATTCTCTGAGGTTTGTGTCGAGAGAAATAGAAATCTTTGAAGCCTGCAGCTGTTTAAACAAGTGATAAGGCTTTTGTGAACCAGAAAAGAAAGACATCTTCTAGCTTGACATCATTATTTTCTCCACCCTGAAAGTTCATTTTAATTTGTGTTTGATTTATGGTTTAGCCGTTAATATTGATTAGAACTATTGCTGAAATATGGATTTATTCCTATCTCTCCATCCATTTTCTTCCGTTTTACCCATAGCAGGGTTGCGGATTTATTTTAGTCCAAAGATTGCTCACCATGGTGTTATCTTGTCAAATATGTCAATGCAAAGCATACATGGCATATCCTGACTAGGGGTGGGAACCTAAGGGTACCTCACGATACGATACGATACACGATACAAAGCTCACGATAACGATAATATCACGATAACGATATCACGATAACGATTTTATCACGATTCTGACGATTATTAATATATTGGTCAGAAATATACAATATGCCAATTTATGGCATAAATAAAAGAAAAATTACTCTTTATTTCATGATAAATAGAATGGAGATGCGTAACTGTAGCAATATATTAAGTATTGAGACCAATTTTTTTTTTTAATTGTAAAAAAAAATAAAAAAATCTATTTTTATTTTTTTTTTTCAAAATCGATATTGATACTTGGCAAATGCATATCGATAATCGAATCGCGGGAGAAAGTATCGCGATATATCGACAAATCGATATATTGTCACACCCCTAATCCTGACTGCCTTATAGGAAAACAAATATGGTTGTTTATGGAAAAAGAAAAATGCTGGGAAAGACATTTAAATTGAGTTTCACTGAAATGAAACAAGCCGAGATGGAGTGGTACTCTAGGACTGGCCATAATCAGTTACATTCAGAGTGGAAGTTAATACAAATTAATTCCCAGGCTTATTCAAGGCTCCCCTGGACTGCCACCTTAACGTGGTGGGGGAGTTTGAGTACTCGGATGATCCTGGGAGCTATGCTGTCTGGGGCTTCATGCCCCTGGTAGGGCCTCCCATGGCAGACAGGTCTCGGGTGACGAGACGAAGAGCAGTCTGAAGACACCATGGACAGCACAAAAATGAGAACAGTGACGTCGCCCGGCATGGCGCAGCCGGGGCCCCACCCTGGAGCCAGGCCTGGGGTCAGGGGTCGTATGCGAGCGCCTGTTGGCCGGGCCTTAGCCCACGGGGCCCGGCCGGGCTCAGCCCGAATGGACGACGTGGGCAGTCCCTCCTGTGAGCCCACCACCCGCAGAGGGGTCCGTGGTGGCGAAGCGGTGCAGAGAGGACTGGGCAGCGGTCGAAGGCGGAGACCTCGGCGACCCAGTCCGCACACGCAACATTTGGCTCTTGGGACGTGGAACGTCACCTCACTGGGGGGGAAGGAGCCCGAGCTCGTGGGGGAGGTTGAGAGATACAGACTAGAGATAGCCGGCCTCACCTCCACACACAGCTCGGGCTCTGGAACCCAACTCCTTTTGAGGGGTTGGACGCTCCACTTTTCTGGTGTTTCTCGCGGGGAGAGGGCGGCGAGCGGGGGTGGCCATACTCATTGCCCCCCATCTCAGCCTCCACATTTTGGGCAACAAGTCTCTCACTGTTGTGACGGCCTACGGGCCCAACGGCAGTGCAGAGTACCCGGCTTTCTTGGAGTCCTTGGGAGGGGTACTGGACGGTGCACCGACCGGGGACTCCGTTATTCTCCTGGGGGACTTCAACACCCATGTGGGAAATGCCAGTGACACTTGGAGGGGGGTAATTGGGAAGAACGGCCCCCCTGATCTGAACCCGAGCAGTGTTCAGTTGTTGGACTTCTGTGCTAGTCACAGTTTGTCCATCACGAACACCATGTTCGAGCACAAGGGTGTCCACCAGTGCACGTGGCACCAGGACACCCTAGGCCGGAGGTCGATGATCGACTTTGTTGTCGTATCATCTAACCTTTGGCCGCGTGTCTCGGACACTCAAGTGAAGAGAGGGGCGGAGCTGTCAACCGATCACCACCTAGTCGTGAGTTGGATCGGCTGGCAGGGGAGGAAGCCGGTCAGACCTGGCAGACCCAAGCGTGTAGTGAGGGTCTGCTGGGAACGTCTCGCTGAGCCCCCTGTCAGACGGACTTTCAACTCACACCTCCGGGAGAGCTTCTCCCAGGTCCCGGCGGTGGAGGGGAATATCGAGTCTGAGCGGACCATGTTTTCTTCCTCTATCGCCGATGCTGCAGCTCGTAGCTGTGGTTAAAAAGTCTCTGGTGCTGGTCCCGGCGGTAACCCCCGAACCCGGTGGTGGACACCGGCAGTAAGGGATGCCGTCAGGCTGAAGGAGTCCTATCGAGCCATGATGGTTCGGGGGACTCCTGAGGCAGCTGTCCAGTATCGGCTGGCCAAGCGTGCCGCGGCCAGGATGTTGCAGAGGCAAAAACCCGGGACTGGGAGGAGTTTGGAGAGTCCATGGAGCATGACTATTGGTTGGCCTCGAAGAGATTCTGGCAAACCGTCCGGCGCCTCAGGAGGGGGAAGCAGTTCTTTGCCAACACCGTGTATGGTGCGGGTGGAGGGCTGCTGACCTCGACTGGGGATATTGTCGGACGGTGGAAGGAATACTTTGAGGTTCTCCTCACTCCCCCCGTCACGTCCTCCGCCCCGGGGGCAGAGGCTGAGGATGTTGGGGCGGATACTTCCATCTCCCTGGCAGAAGTCACCAGGGTGATTGGCAGCCTCCATGGTGGCAAGGCGCCGGGAGTGGATGAGCTCCGTCCTGACTATTTAAAGTCTCTGGATGTTGTGGGACTGTCTTGGCTGACACGTCTCTGCAACATCGCGTGGCGAACGGGGGCGGTGCCAATGGAGTGGCAGACCGGGGTGGTGGTCCCTCTCTACAAGAAGGGGGACCGGAGGCTGTGTTCCAATTATCGTGGGATCACACTCCTCAGCCTCCCCGGTAAGGTCTACTCCAAGGTACTGGAGAGGAGGCTACGGCCGTTGGTCGAATCTCGGATTCAGGAAGAGCAGTTTGGTTTTCGTCCCGGCCGTGGAACACTGGACCAGCTCTATACTCTCCATCGGATACTCAAGGGTTTATGGGAGTTCGCCCAACCTGTCCACATGTGCTTTGTGGATTTGGAGAAGGCGTTCGACAGTGTTCCCCAGGGTGTCCTTTGGGGGGTCCTCCGGGAGTATGGGGTCCGGGGTCCTCTGTTGAGGGCCGTTCAGTCCCTGTATGACCGGAGTCAGAGCTGCGTTCGCATTGCCGGCAGTAAGTCGGATCTGTTCCCGGTGCATGTTGGCCTCCGCCAGGGCTGCCCTTTGTCACCGGTTCTGTTCACTGTATTCATGGACAGAATTTCTAGGCACAGCCAGGGGCCTCGGGGTCTTGTTCACGAGTGAGGGAAGGATAGAGCGCGAGATTGACAGGCAGATCGGTGCAGCGTGCGCAGTGATGCGGTCGCTGTATCGGACCGTCGTGGGAAAGGCAAAGCTCTCAATTTACCGGTCAATCTTCGTTCCCTCCCTCACCTATGGTCATGAGCTTTGGGTAATGACCGAAAGAACGAGATCGCGGATAGCTTCCTCCGCAGAGTGGCTGGGCGCTCCCTTATAGATAGGGTGAGGAGCTCAGTCACACGGGAGGAGCTCGGAGTAGAGCCGCTGCTTTTTCAAGTGTATGTGTTGTTTGTGCAGGTGAAGGAGGCTTGTGATCACATGAGTGGAGAGTTGACAGATTTGAGGTCGTCCTTGTCGCAGTCGCAGCAGAGAGAGCGGAAGTCTGCCACTCTGGTCCAGGATCTCACAGCGATGGTCAAAGAGCAGAAGAGCCGCATCACAGACCTCATCAACACCAAACGAGAGACCGTCGCGGAGCTCAAGGTTTAAACTCCCCATAATATACTGTAACTTATGGTCTGACACAACATGTACTAATGTCTGCTGGGAGGATTTGTCTTCATAAGATTAACATCTTTATTGAGTGAAAATCAAGTATTTACTCACTTTTGTGTTTAACTTTGACTGAATTGATTTTTTTAATTTGTTTTTTGTTCTTGGATTTTCAGTGATTAACACTAGAAAACCCAACCGAAATTGGCCCCTGTTTTGAGAAGAGGGAGCTAACTTGCTAGGTTGGCTGCTAACATTTGCATGTATTGATTTGCAAATGTAGGTAATGACTTATAACAGCAGGGGGCTGGGGTGGGCTTTGTTTATTCGTGCGGGGGAGGGAGAGCTGCAAGAGAGTACTACAGTAGTCTGTGAGACCACAGATACACATGTGCTGTGTACCCTGCGAATGCGCTGTATATATTTTGTAATCAGTTTTTCTCAGTGTCTTTGGTGCATTTTTCACATAATTCTTCACATTTTAACAACAGTTAGTGCATTTCTCAGAACAATGAGTGCAAACTGCAAAACCTCATGGATAACCTGCTAAAAAGTCACTTTCTCAAAATGAACTTAATTCCTCAAAAGAAAGTCTTCATGTCAATGAAACTGTCTGTGTCTCAAAAGAATAAGTCCTGACATCAGTGTTTATGAACAACAGTCAAATGATTTAGTCATGTTTTCATTGTGACTGTATTTAGTGATACATATGTATGTACTGTATGTTCACATATTTACTGCTTATGCTCTTTGCAATTCTACAGCATTCTGCAACAAAAATAGTACACATACAGTATTTACGTAGAAAAACATACAAAAAATCATTACGGTAGAACCTCCACAACATTGAGTCGTGTGTGACATCATCGCGGCAGTTTCTCCTTTGAACACTTTACAAATGCTTTTGGACATGTATCAGTTACTTTCATACAGTTCTCTGCTGTTTTATAACATTAACATTTGCTTCTGTCTTGTCAATCAGAATGAAACATACTTATCACGACTGAACAGTTTCTATAAAACCAGTAGTCCTCATTTCATCGCTTTGGTCATCACATACAAAACTGTTCAAAACCAAAATCTGTCAAACTAATTTCATACATTACTTTATCTTTTTATATCCAGAAAATCTTTCCTAATTTCGAATTTCAGCTTCACTCATGACGAGGTGTGTGTTTTATTGTTTACATTTGTCACAGTTCTACCATAATGATATTCTGTATGTTTGCTCTATGTATGTGACTGTATTTCTGTTGCACAATGCTGTAGAAAAGAGCATATGCAGTAAATATGTGAAAGACATACAGTACACAGACATACATCGAAACACATACATGCACAAACACGCACACACAGTAAATACATACATGCACAAACACACACACACATACAGTACATACAGTATAAATGTTCTTTTACTCTCACTAAATACAGTTGTGTGTAACTTTACTGTAGTTTTCAGCTGTACAGTGCTCATCAGATCAAGATCAGATTTTTTGCTTTGAAAACACAGAGAGTAAAGTGTCACAATGAAAACGTGACGAAGTCATTTGACTGTGTTGTTCATACTCCATGTTGTTAAGACTTATTATTTTGAGACAGACAGTTTCCTCGACATGAAGACTTGCTTTTGAGGAATAAACTTTTCATTTTGAGAAGGTGATGCACTTTTGCAGGTTATCCCCAAGGTTTTGCAGTTTGTACTAATTGTTCTGATAAAGGCACTAACTGTCGTGCAAATGTGAAGAATTATGTGATAAATGCACCAAAGACACTGAGAAAAACAAGTAGCATATTTATTTTGTAAACAATGTAAATGTATACATTGAATGACGTTGCTCGTTTGTTTTCTTTCAATTCACTTTATTATTTTCATTATTATTTTTTAACTAAAGTCAGCATGACACTAGATTTAACTCATTTTAACAAATCAGATCCTCCCTCTCCCGAAGAAGACAAAGTAAAGTGGTTGAGCAACTTCAGCTCAGCCTGTGATAATGGCCTTATTTACATAACAAAGTTGGCCGTTCACAGGTGATTTAGTTTGTTAGCTAAAATCCTTGGAGTCATTTGGCACCGTGGTGGGCTTTTTAGGTAGAAGTGCCAAATGGCACCTCCATGGGTTTGCTAGTGTTAAGCAGGTTAGTATGTTGTATTATGTCAGTATTTCTTGAATCATATTTAATCAGGTTTTTAAAAAGCCTTTTCCACAAGCGGTGTACATTTAAAAGCTTGATTTGCGACTTTTAATTCAATCAATGTGTTTTGACAAAAACATATTTATATTGTAAATATCTGACATAATGTGATATCAGCAATTTAAAATCTATTTCTTCTATGTATTTCTAATAGTGCGTTAATAACAACGTTAACGCAAACTCATTTTAACAGCGTCAATTTCTTTATTGCGCACATAACTCAAGCACAAAAGCGCGGCTGCTCCGGTCCCTGTAAAGTCTCTGGAGAAGTGTAGAGGACAGTGCAGGCCAGAGGACTGCTGCACCGTGTTTGTCCTCATGGTCTCTGTGTCGAATGACACAAGAAACACAAGAAACAAAACGATGTCCAGAATCACTGTCAAACCTGCGACTCCTTCTGTTGTTGTTTAATGTTTAATACATTCAATGACTTGTGTGTTTGTGTCCAGAGCCGTCTGCAGAGGATGGAGTCGGAGCTGGGGCAGGACCGGCATGTGTCGGTGCAGCTGGAGCTCCTGAAGAAGGACAAGTCCAGACTGTTGTCTCAGCTCACAGCGCAGGAGTCTGTGATTGACGGGCTCCGGGCCGAGAGGAGGATCTGGGGACAGGAACTGGCTCAACAAGGTGAGGAGGAGGAGGAAGGAGTACTGGAGCAGAACTGGTAGAACTGTTTTAGTTTTGTTTGTTTTAGTTTTGGGTGTATCTTTTGATATTTATTTTGATATTATTACTATTATTATTTTTACCTCATTATTATTTTTTTCTCGTGCAAGTGTGTGTTTGCTTTATGATAAAAAAAAAGAATATAAATAAGAATATAAAACAATTGAGTTTTGAAAAGTCTATTAAATGTTTTGATTCTATTCATAAAACAAAAACTGGGTTTTAGTGCTCAAATCAAATATTCATTGATTTAAATGTGATCACAAATGACCACTTATTTTTTAATAGGTTGCATTCAGAATTCTATTTCAGTTGGAGGGCAGGAGCCAATGCAACTCTATGTGAAAGAAAAAATGTGAAAAATAATAGTAAGATAACATTCACCAACCCTCCATATTATTCCTCTGTCTGATGACAAAATGAATGTTGTCACCACTTTTAGACACCTTTTATATGAGAAAATAATGAGATGGACTGAAACAAAAACTGTCACAAATTTCTGCATCATCTTTGTCAGCACACACAAGTGTCTGAAGTCTGATTTTGACAGTTACCATAGTTACCTGGAACGATTGTTCAGCTGCTTTCCAACACATTTTACATGAGGGGCTCTTTGGAATATTGTAATGTCAAATAATAATGAATTGTTCTTTCACAACAAATCATCCTATATATTTTTAAATGTTGCTTTTCATAAATATTCTGTTTTTTATGCAGTTATTCAGCTGTGAGATTTAAAGGAGGAATAAATGATGGAAAGGACAATAAAAACCTGGAATTGCCACAAAGTATCAGGGCGGGTAAAAGAGTCTCTGACCAAAAGACTTAAAGTTGTCATAAAAATCTTTTTGCATGGCAACATTTGAGAAAGTTTGAGAAATGTAAAATGTGAAGACTTTTTTCTTTACTATTCAGGCTTTCAGAAGTCACCTTTTGATTTGGATGAATATCTTCCTGCTGCTGTTTTAAATTTTTGATGCCTCTGTGGTGTCTTTAGGAGCTTCTTTAGCTCAGGATCGTGGCCGTCTCGAGGCAAAGATTGAGGTTCTGTCGGCTGAGCTGGTGACACAGAAAAAACAGAATGAAAGAGACAACGACGCCCTGAAAATTAAAGCCAAAATCGTCGACGACCAGACTGAGACCATACGCAAACTCAAAGAGGTACTTCAGGGGAAATGGCTACTTGCCTATGTCTTATCTTTTATCTGGGATGCATTCAGTCTTTGTTGAAGTATGGGCCTGAAACGGTAAGCAAGTAAGTATGTAAGTAATCTTCATTCATATTGCGCATTTCATAGACCAAGGTCACCCAAAGCGCTTCTCAATCTTCTGTGTGTAACTGTTTGACAGATTAACAACAATGGGCCTCATTCACGAACGGTTCTTAGGAACAGATTTGTACGTAAATCCTACTTACGCGGTTTTTACGAAGAAAGTGGCATTCACGAATATTTCTCGTAACCAGAATTTCACTTGGGCAAGTACAAATCCTACGAGTCCTCAGGAGCACTCGTACGCATTCAGTGCCGACATGTTCACACGCCGGGGTTGTCCTCTTTGGTGAAGTTGAATAAAAATACAACATTCCAGTGATATGTCCGTCATATCGATGTATGTATTTATTTATTTGTAGTAATCTTTATTAGTAATCTTTATTTATATACCGCCTTTTTCACTGCAGATCTGGCCTACTTTTTAATTCATTTTGAAATGAAATGTGCCAACGCTTTATCAAATACATTGGAAATCTTGCCGTGTATTAGTGACCCCTTCCTATTTATAGGGGGCATTTCTTTATCCACGGGCCACAGAACAACGGCATATATACTGCTGCTGCAGGAGGTTACTGGGTCCGCGCTGAGTCTCTGCGCTGGTCTCTCCTATGGATCTATACGGGTCTGCACTGGTCTCTCCCATGGATCTATACGGGTCCGCGCTGGTCTCTCAAGTCTGGTCTATGCGGTCTCTCTTCGGTCCGCGCTGGTCTCTGCGCACCGGTCTCTCCAGTCAGGTGTCTCCAGTCTATGCGGTCTCTCCTGTCCGCGCTGGTTTCTGTGTGCTGGTCACTCCAGTCTCTCCTCGGGTCTGCATTGGTCTCAGCGCTGGTCCGCGCTGGATCTCCTCCCAGGGTCCAAAATATTTTGAGATTAATCTCAAAACATTTTGAGATTCATCTTTAAAATAATACATAATATATTTTTAAATTAAGCTCATAACATTTTGAGATTAATCTCATCATATTCTTAGATTAATCTCATAATTTTGCTAGTTCGACTTTATAATCATAATATTTCGACTTTTAAGTCAACATTTTATAACTTTATTCTCAGTCTGGCAAAAGCCTGCTTTAGGCCTGTTGCTGTTTCCTCTGGCGTCTGCACACGGCCCTGCAGTCCCTTATATGGGCATTAGTGGGCGGTTACTTATGCTAAGTACCTATGGTAATGAAGCACCGGGCACGCGCGCTGTACTTACGAGGAAATGGGATTCATCAATCTGAGAGAACAGCTGCGAACAATTCAGCGGCTTACGAGTGCGTTGATGAATCCCACGTGGGGACTTCTTAGAAATCTACTTAAGGACAACTTGAGAAGAAAGTTGAGTAGTTTCTTACGAAGTTATTCGTGAATGAGGCCCATTGAGTGCTTTGGAAACTTGTTGTGCCCTCTTGTTGAAGCAGCCTTAGAAACAACTTATTTTAAACAATATCATGCATGATTCGTATTTGCATAATCTTTCATTCAACATTTTATTTTGTTGTTTCACCATGAAGGTTCCTGATCGGACGTAATTAATTCAAATCCGACTACTGAGACCTCTCACCTTGGTCTATCAAGCTTACTGTTGAGGGGAGGGACTATTTGAAGTATATTTATTATGACAAATACGGAAAATAGTTGATACTACAGGCTCATGTTGTCGGAAATATATGTTCCTATCAAATTGAAATACAGTTGAAGTTGCAGACATACTGCATGTATGGATAAACATGTGATTAAGAAAAAATCTGCTACAGACATTACATAAAATTTACTTTTAAATCCATACTAGTGTAATTTTAGTGGAGACCAAATTTTTAGGCACTAATTTTCAGTACTTTGAATTGCCTTGTGTATGAATTGTGCTATACAAATAAACTTGCCTTTGCCTTTACCCGCTTTACCTTGTTTTTGATGAGGGAACAATAGTGACGCGGTTAAAAATTCCACTTTGTTGCATATTCATATTAGCAAACTGATCAAAAGTGACTCTTAAAATGAATATTAATTGAATATTAAGTAAAGGAATCTAAAAACATTAGCCTAATTAAGAAAATGTATAAGATTGAATTGAGATTGATTAAATGAATGCCAAAGTAGTTGCACAAATTACAATGTTTTATACAAATTAACTCTTGCTGTGATTCTTACTTTTTATGTTGAATACTTTCTTCCACCAAACCTGCCACTGTTATTTCTCATTCTCTACTTGTTTTGTGCCTTCGGGAAAGTCTTTGCAGGATCGAGAAGAGCAGATTCGGAAGGTGAAGGAGGAGGCTGTCCAGACCCACAACTCCCTCAAAGACACAGAGACGGAGCTCAAAGAACACGTCGACCGCCTCTCTCAGCGCAAAGAAGAGCTGAAGCAGCAGCTGGAGGAAAAGGAAGTGGAGCTGGAGGAAGTCAAGAGGGTTCACAGGCAAGAAACAACATGAATATAACATAAAAAATAGGGCTGTCAAAATTATCGCGTTAACTCACGTTAATTGCATTTTTCATTAACGCGTAAAAAAAAAATTACGCATTAACGCATGTCCCAATGACCCGCCCAGTTATCCATATTATCACTCAGAATGCCGCGTACACATGCCTGTGTGAGATGGCAACAGAGCAGGTCTCTGGGAATTCAAGTTTTAAAAGAATATGCGTGTGGGGCTCGAGGGGTCGAGAGGAACCAGTTGAGGTGGCTCGGGCATCTGTTCAGGATGCCTCCTGGACGCCTTCCTGGGGAGGTGTTCCGGGCACGTCCCACCGGGAGGAGGCCCCGGGGAAGATCCAGGACACGCTGGAGAGACTATGTCTCTCAGCTGGCCTGGGAACGCCTTGGGGTCCCCCCGGACGAGCTGGAGGAAGTGGGTGTGGATAGGGAAGTCTGGGCGTCTCTGCTTAGACTGCTGCCCCCGCGACCCGGCAACGGATAAAGCGGAAGAAAATGGATGGATGGATGGCGTGTGGGGCTACAATCTATGGTATGAACTGAAGTCTGCCTCCCCGGACACACTGGGGCAGCTGCGGCCGCTCTGGTTTTGAGCGGCTGTGAGCCGCTCACAACAACAGGGTGAACGGCACTGCGGTAATGTGGTCAGAAGACCATACACACCACAACCTGTGCGTAACCAAAAAAGATCATTTTGGTTGTGTCCAATAGTAAAAGGTTATGAGCAAATAAAACAGATTTACGTACTGTTGTGGAAATTCTGCACATACCGAGAGTAAAATAATGTAAACAACTCAGAGCTGTAATTCTAAACAAAGTGTGAGTTTATTCATTAGTAAATGTGCACAATTACAATGAATAACAGAACCGATACCAATACCACCGGGCAGCCGTCCGAAATCGACTGCCACGATTGGGGAAATAACTGTACATTAAATAGACCAGAGTAAACAAACACATATCTACTCTAGATATTACATAAATGAAGTCAACATTGATATGTGTTACTCAAGGCTTCTCTTTATGCGTCCTAACGCTGATACAACTCTGATATATGTAACAATCTCTTTTGAACTGAACATATTGTTCTATGACCCAGGTCAAAGACATGATGCAGCACGTCTCCATCTATCACTGACCTGAGCCAACAGAGCATTATGGCCTGTATCTGAATCCAGAGTTCACTGTTAGTTAATAACTTACACTCATAACTATTTGGTGTTAATTCAGGTTGCTTCACTAAAATATTTCTATAACAGTACATTTGGTCTGAATGACAATGTGTTATTATATTTGATAATCTCATTTAACTTCAATTGGAGTGGATTTGAAGTAGAATGTTAAAGATGCGATTAATCGTGAGTTAACTCACCATTACTATGCGATTAATCAACTAAAAAATTTGAATCGTTTGACAGCCCTAATAAAAAGTCAAAATCAGACTAAAGTATGTATGAATTCATCTTATAGTGGTTAGTTTACTTCACTTATGAATATACACGGAGACTGTTACATGACCTAATGTAGAATAGTAAGAATATTGGGCCTCATTCACAAATATCTTCTTAAGAATCTTCCTAAATTTCTTCTCAAGTCGTTCTCAAGTAGATTTCAAAGAAGACCCTACGTGGGATTCATCAACGCGCTCGTAAGCCGCTGAATTGTTCGCAGCTGTTCTCTTAGATTGATGAATGCCAACTCCTCGTAAGTAGAGCTTGCGTGCCAGGTGATTCATTAGCATAGGTAACCGCCCATTAATGAGTTACACGGAGCCAAAGAGTTACCCTTTTTTCTTCTTTTACCAGACTGAGAATATAGTCATAAAATGTTGACTTTAAAGTCGAAATATTATGAGAATAATGTCGAACTAGCAAAATCACGAGATTAATCAAAAAAATATAATGAGATTAAAGACCTTATGACGGGTTTGATTTATTTAGAAATATAGTTTTAATACAATTTTATATTAGAAGAAAACTACTAAAGGTTTCAATATCAGTTGTTGTTTTTTTTGTCTGATCCCCCCAAATTGAAATAACCCCATAGCAACGCCCTTAGAAACGAAAAAACTTCACAGCCCTTGGTGACGTCAGAACGGGTACGTTTCAACGCTGTAAGTTGTTTACAATTTGGTATTCGTTCTTTTTTCGCGGATATTCAAGATGACAAGGCCGTGTACAGCGAGTCTAAGTTAACTACTAGAATGTAACATTTCATTGTTACTGAGATAGTCCAGTGGTTGTGTCGGTCAACTGTCAATCCAGATACTGGGGTTCAAATCCCACCTCGGACACTTTTTCACACTCAAAACGGCCATTTATGTGTAGTGAGCAATTGTCACCTGTAGAGTGCAGTATTGTGTTGGGCACCAGTGGAGAGAAGAGAGAAAAGGCAGTCCTGTGACATAGATCCATGGTTTTCAATGCATGGGCGTAACCCGCTATGACGTCACACACAGGTTAGAGCATAGACAACTTAAATTCATGAAAAACACATTCTTTTTATAAAATATAGGATTTTTTTTGCCGGAATCTCTTTCAAATTGACATTGTCATGCAATTTTGATATCCACTATTTTTTTTTTAAAACCCGTCATAAGGTCTTTAATCTCAAAATGTTATGAGGTTAATTTCTCCACCGACTCCCACTGATGATTGCTGTCGTTGTGTCCTGGGGCAAGACACTTAACCCCACTTTGCCTGAAGCCCCCGCTGAAAGATCTCAGCTCCTGTGGACTCACCACCTGCAGGAGGATCAGTGAGGGGCTGATGCTAAGTGGACTGGGTGCAGCTCTGACTGACACCCCCCCAACCCAGAAATGGATTAAGGGGGAGAAAATGGATGGATGGATGGATATTATAAATTAATTTAAAAATGAATCTCAAAATATTATGAGATTAATTTAAAAACATATTATGTATTAATTTAAAAATGAATCTCAAAATGTTATGAGATTAATCTCAAAACATTTTGGACCCTGGGAGGAGATCCAGCGCTGAGACCAATGCAGACCCAAGGAGAGACCATAGACTGGAAAAACCAGCACATAGAAACCAGCGCGGACCGAGGAGAGACTGTAGACTGGAGAGACCATAGACTGGAGAGACCGGCGCGGTCCTGAAATAGATCCATGGGAGAGACCAGCGCAGAGGGTCAGCGCAGACCCCGCAACCTCCTGCAGCAGCTAAATTACCATAAACAATGAAATAAATAAATAGATACATCAATATGACGGACATATCACTGTAATGTTGTGTTTTATTGAACTTCACAAAAGACAACACCAGCGTGCCAACGTGTGGCACTGAATGTGCTTAAGAGTGCTCCTGAGCACTCGTAGGATTTGTTCTTACCCAAGAGAAAATCTGTTTACGAGAAAATTTTATGAATGCCACAATCTTCGTAAATTCCTCGTAAGTAGGATTTACGCACAAATTTGTTCTTAAGAACGGTTCGTGAATGAGGCCCATTGTTTGTTTGTTGGTTGTCACTGCAGTTTAGATGTTGTTAGATACGTTTTCTTTTTTATTTAGCTAGAAAGCACGGCATCGGAAATTAAAGATGGGGAACCAAACTTTTTTCAATAGATAAATAATACTAAGTTTGTGCCACCAGAAAGAGTGTTGTGAAAGTAACACATTCTCAGAACAGATCAGAACAAAACACGCTGCCTCTCTCTTATTGCCGATGGCTTTGTCTTTTGCATACACGTAAGAAAGAGCCCTGTGACTATTTGACAATTTGGCCTGAGAGTGGCTGAGATTGGTTAGGGTTAGGAGTGAGGGTGGTCCTCTCATTTTGGCTTTTCTGTCTGAAAAATCTGATCTAAAGTCATTAGTAGGTTTAGATTAGGTTTGGACTTGGACATTTTTCATTCATTTTTCTTCAAGGAGGGGAAATGGCTCATTGAAACTTTATTGAGAGGCCTCTGAAACATAATGATACATTAATAATACTATATAAAAAAAATGCTTGATTTGATTGGAGAAATACAACAAAAGTGTGGAGTACTCTGATGATCCAGGGAGCAATGTTGTCTGGGGCTTTATGCCCCTGGTGTAGGGCCTCCCATGGCAAACAGGTCTTGGGTGACGAGTCAGACAAAGCGCAGGTCGAAGCCCACCATGGATAGCACATAGAGAAGATCTGGGACATCTCAGCCGAGGCCACACCCTGGAGCCAGACCTGGGGTTGGGGCTCGTAAGCGGGCGTCTGGTGGCTGGGCGTTTGCCCATGGGCCTGGCAGGGCCCATGGGCTGGGCCCTGCCTGCCTGAAAAGACGACGTGGGCCAGCCCTCCTGTGGACCAACCTCCCACAGAGGGAGCCATGGCGGGATGGTGCAGAGAGGACTGGGAGGCAGTCGAAGGTGGAGACCTTGACGACCCAATGGTTGAGAGACAAGTCTCTCACTATTGTGGCAGCCTACGGGCCAAACAGCAGTGCAGAGTACTCGGCCTTCCTCTTGTCCATAACAAACACCATGTTCAAGCACAAGGGTGTCCACCAGTGCATGTGGCACCAGGACACATGTACCGGTGCACATGGAATCGGCTTTGTTGTCATGTCATCTGGAGCTGTCAACGGATCACCACCTGGTTGTGAGTTGGATCCACTGGCAGGGGTGGAAGCCGGTCAGACCTGGCAGACCCTAGCGTGTAGTGAGGGTTGGGAACGCCTCGCTGAGCCCCCGTGCTAACAGACTTTCAACACACACCTCCGGGAGAGCTTCTTCCAGGTCCCGAGGAGGAGGAGGACATTGATTTGAGTGGACCACGTTCTCCACCTCTATCGCCAATGCGGCAGCTCGTAGCTGTGGTTGCAAGGTCTCTGGTGCTGGTACCGGTGGCTACCCCCGAACCTGGTGGTGGACAACGGTAGTAAGGGATGGCATTAGGCTTTAGAAGGAGTCCTTTATAGTTATCATGGTTTGTGGGACTCCTGAGGAAGTCACGTCCTCCGTCCAGAAGGCAGTGGCTGAGGATGTTGGTGCTGATACGCCCATCTCCCTGGCTGAAGTCACCAAGGTGGTTGGCAGCCCTCTTGGTGGCAAGGCTTCGGGAGTGGATTAAATCTGTCATGACTTAAGTCTGTGTGATGTTGTCTTGGCTGACACATCTCTGCAACATTGAGTGGTTATCGGGGGTAGTGCCAATGGAGTGGCAGACCGGGGTGGTGGTCCCTCTCTACAAGAAAGGGGGCCGGAGGGTGTGTTCCAATTATTGTGGGATCACACTCCTCAGCCTCCCCGGTAAGCAGTGTGGTTTTCGTCCTGGCCGAGGAACACTGGAGCAACTCTATACGATCATGGGAGTTCGCCAAACCTGTCCATAATTTTGCTTTGTGAATTTGGAGAAGGCGTTTTCCAGTATTCCCACCGGGGTGTCCTGTGGGGGGTTCTCTGCTGAGGGCCGCCTGGTCCCTGAATGACCGGAGTCAGAGTTGTGTTTGCATCGCCGGCAGTAAGTCAGACCTGTTCCCGGTGCATGTTGGCCTCCGCCAAGGCTGCGGTTTGTCACCGATTCTGTTCACTGTCTTTATGGACAGAATTTCTAGGCACAGTCAGGGGCCGGAGAGGTCCGGTTAGGAGACCATAGTATTTAATCTTGCTGTTTGCAAGGAAAGAAAAATTCTCTAGTTTGAAAGTGTCTGCGCTACATTCACTGCTCTTTTGTATTTCACAACAAAGAATTGATTTATTCATTCAGTCATTCATTTTCTGCCCCTTTATTAGTCAATTTCTGGGTCGTGGGGGTGAAAATCAGAGCTGCCACCCAATGCTCATAGCACCAGTCCCTCGTTGATCCTCCGGCAGGTGGTGAGTCCACAGGAAGCGTAATAGCTACATAAAAGTATAAAACGTTTTTTTCCACATAAAGGCAGCACTTAAATATAAGGTGCAGCTTTTTAGGTTGTTATTTAATACTTAACTAACAGTTGATGAAGCTACAGTAGGATTAGACCATGGATGACTGTTTTTACTGGACACATGATTTCATGACAAGGTGTTTTAATGCACGGTTTACTCGTGATGATCAAAGCGCTAAATCCAGTCTATTTAAAACAATCCTCCTAAAACTAGATGGTGAACTGGAGTTCAAAGACCAAGTTGTGGCTTGGGCTTCAGCAAGTACTTGGTAAGGCAAATGTTCATACACAAGGCAACTCAAAGGGCTTACAAATGCTACTCGTTCTACGACGACTACAACTACCACTTCCACTTCAAGTTTAGTTGTACTGTAACCCTTGAGAGACCAAAAGCTTTTGAGATCAAACCTGAAAATGTTTTCCAACACATCAGTTATAATTAAACGTGTTCTGTGCTTTCAGTGAATCCAGTAAGAAGTGGCGGGACAAAGCTGAACTTCTGACTCTGCTGGAGACTCAAGTAAAACGAATGAAAGAAAACTTTGATTCAAAAGAGAAGCTGCTGCTGGAAGAATGCAACAAAGCCACGGAAGCACAAAAGTACGGCCAGCGTTCGTTTACAGATGGTGTTTGCTGTTATGTCTAATTTTGATCAAATTGTGTCTGTAACATACTGAGTCCTTGTCGTCTCGCAGAGCGGCTGTGGAGAAACTGCGAAGTATCGATGATGCTTTCAGACAGCAACTGGAATCACTTCAGGTCACGCATCAAAGCGAGCTGTTACAACTGGCCTCGGACAAGCAGAGACTGATAGAGCAGGCCAATCAGAAGGTGGATATTCAGTTAAATTAGAATAAGTTGTACTGTGAATTGCTGTGAATGGATATTTGTATGTTTTTGTGGTTGTCTGCAGGGCAATCCTTTTTTTTCATTGTTTTATATTTTATTTTTTATTTTGGGTTAACCTTAAGAATCCCATTGAGATTTGAAGATCCCTTTCCAGGAGATAGCCGATTAATGGTGTAGTTCTGTGATCCCAAACCTTTTGGAGCCGTGGCACTGTGGTTAGCTCCCTGGTTTCAAATCCCAGTCAGGCCAGAGTCTTTCTGAGTTTGCATGTTTACCCGTGTCTGTGTAGGTTTTCCTCTATCACTAAAAAGATGTACCAACGGGAAAATCTAGTCCTGACAAAGAGCATTGACATCTGGGGATGGGTCACTGGGCGCTGTACTATATGGTCACCACTGCTCCTGGCAGACGCCCTGGTGGCATTGCAGGATATGGGAATAAATAATGTTTACCTTCACCTTTTTCTGTCTGAAAACTGAAACTGATGCAAACATGAAACTCTGCAGCCTTTACTAACAAAGCAAACTCCTTTGCATCAAAGTGTTTTATATAAAGAATCAAACCAGTGCCAGTCTTTCTAATTTTCTCACATTATATTATTTTCTCATTATTGTGACCTGTTTAGGTGGTATTAGGATAAGATAAGAGAGACTTTATTGATCTCACACAGGAGAAATTTACATGTCACATCTGGCATAGATAGAAACACTCAAGAAAAAAAAAATATTGTGCAAGAAAGAAGTGTGCAAACATGTTAAATGCAGGATATAGTACAATAAAAGTGGCAATTAAGAAACAGTGGCAATAGTAGTGCAGGTTTTTATTTATTTTTTATCAGTCCTAGTGCAAGTGACTTAAAGTGACTTATTGTACAGTCTGACAGCAGTGGGGATACGTTTTATTACAGTGTTGTAGGGAGATGTTTGCTTTGCATTTTACCCGTCCTTTCTTGCCACTTGGGCCTGTGTCAAGAGCAGTGGTCACAGTGCAGTACCCGGTAACCCATCTCCAGATGTTGACGCTTGGCTTGGTCAGGACCAGAGCTGGAGGGTTTTACTTCTTGTTCTTATTTTTTGTGGTAGGGGAAACCAGAGCAACTACCCAGACACAGAGAGAATACAAACTCCACTCAGAAAGGCCCTGTTCCGAACGGGATTTAAAGCCAGGACTTTGCTGAGAAAGTGTCTGTTGGAACGTGTTTTAGAAGCTGACCAGTCAATAGCAGCGGACTCCAACCTGTGGCTCGGGAGCTACCAGTAGCTCGCCAGCCCCTTCCAGGTAGCTCCCCAAAGGATTTAGAATTTAACACATCTTGAATGATTCACTTTTGAATAATTACATATCTATTATAAGTATATATATATTATAAATATAGGGTTATAGGGTTATACAGGGTTCTATCATAACTATGCAGACGACACTGAGATCTATGTCTCACTGACTGCAGGAGAACATGGACCAGTAGACTCACTCCTTCACTGTATCCAACAGATCAGTGAGTGGATGCAAAACAACTTCCTTCAGCTAAACGCAGACAAAACTGAAATGATTGTCTTTGGTCCCCAGAAACAAAGAGAGAGCGTCATCTGTCACCTACAGTCTCTCTCCCTAAAACCTTCAAACAAGGTCAGAAATCTAGGGGTAATACTGGACTCAGACTTAAATTTTAATAGCCACATCAAATCAGTAACATCAGCAGCTTTTTACCATCTAAAAAACATTGCCAGGATCAAAAACATAGTGTCTAAAGCAGACCTGGAGATTCTTATCCATGCATTTGTCTCCAGTAGGTTAGACTACTGCAATGGCCTGCTCACAGGTCTCTCCAAACAGGCTGTAAAACAGCTGCAGTACATTCAAAATGCAGCAGCTCGAGTCCTGACAAGAACCAGGAAGTACGACCACATTAGTCCGGTCCTCAGGTCTCTGCACTGGCTTCCTGTGGCTCAGAGAATAAACTTAAAAACAGCTCTGCTTGTGTACAAGTCTCTCCATGGCCTCGCACCAAAATATATTAGTGACATGTTAGTCCCATATGAACCAGCCCGGACTCTGAGGAGCACAGGGACTGGACTCCTGTTAGTGCCCAGAGTCAGAACTAAACATGGGGAGGCAGCTTTTCAGATTCATGCTGCTAAAATCTGGAACAGTCTTCCTGAAGATGTGAGACAGGCCTCCTCTTTGACAATGTTTAAAACCAGGTTAAAGACAGTTCTGTTTAGCTGTGCATACAACTGAGGGATTTTATATTTTTAGCTTTCTTTTTAATGTTGTGTGATTATTTATGATTTTAATGCTTTCTTGTTTTGTTCAGCACTTTGAATTGCCTTGTGTATGAATTGTGCTATATAAATAAACTTGCCTTGCCTTGCCTTGCCTTACAGGTTGGAGACCTATACTTAGTTAATACTTTCCCATTTTGTTTACATTTAAATAACCATACTAAATTGTCGACTAATCGCTGCAATCATATTCAGCCTTTGCATAAGGGGCTGTTGGAAAAGTTTACACTTTTAGGTGTTTTTATCTGTATTTCTATTTTAAAAAGGCATAAAACAAATGAATGTTGAGTCACTTCGGTTGAAATATCCTTCCTCTTGTGTATTGATCAGACTTGCAGACACTTGAGACACTAGAACACAAAAAAGAAAATGTTGTTGGTTCACTTGTCCGCTATTGACTGTTGGGATTCACCTTTCCCCTTTTGTCACGAAATTCAATTCATCCTCTAAAATATGTCATCTTTATAAAAATTGTGTCAATTGTTTCAATTTGGTGTATTTCCATTGGCTCCACACAATAACTTTAACCAAAGATTGTCTGACTCTTGGCACTACAAAAACAATTGTGTTTTTTTTTTAGGTTTATGAAGTGGAGGAAGAGATGCGTCAGCTGCTGGAGGAGACAAGCGCTCAAAAAAAAATGATGGAGGAGAAAATTAAACGACTCAACAGTGTACTGAAGGACTTTAGCTAATGCTGGAAAACGACATGGCTTTTCTACAATAATTAGTGAATATTTTGTTGTCTTAAATTTTTGTATTATGTGCCAATTAAATGAAAAAATGGAAATCATTAATTATTTACATAGCAACTTAGTATGCCGCTGCAATGCTTTTATTTGTTTTGAAGACTTATGATATTCAATCCAATTAAAATGATTACTCGTAATTAATGCTAGTAGTTTTTTTCACAATTGTGAGTTTATATTACCCCTTACTTTTAAACTCAATGTTCCACTTTTTATTCCTTATATTTAAGAGTTCTATGTATTTTCTTTATTGTTCTACTTAGCCAGGTATTGAAACATTTACATACACAAGTGTGTAAGAACTGGATTTATTTCAACACGTGTACCAGAGTATTTATAATTTTACTTGATTTTTTTTGTTTCAGAAATACATGTTATTTTTCCCATGACATTTTCATTTACAAATCAGGCCACAACAAGCTGTCTTTATTTTTTTTTATTAGAAAACATTTTACATTTTACATACTGAGACCTTGATTTACTGAAAACGTTGATCTAAAGGGCCCAATGATGCATGTGAGAGCTTGAGATAGAACCAAACATTACATAGTTACTTTTGTTACTTTATTTACTTTTAAAGTATATTAGCTGGAAGTAGAATAATATGTTGCCACCTCTGCCTGCACAAAATAAGACGATTTCAAAGACATTTGCAAATATTGTGCCATTAGTTCCTGTGATATACTTAACTATATACATCTGGTGGTCATAATCCTTTGCAGGCTGTAATTTGTCCTCTATTCGCAATCCCCACTGCGCCAATTAAAACAAGTAAGGGCTGTCACTCATGTCTAGAGCGAGAGGGGGCGGGGTCTCACTGGGCTCTGTGTGTACGTCGCATTTCTCGACAAATTAGCTACCTTAATCTCTAATCAAACTCTCACTTTGTCCCAAGACGGCGTTGAACCTTATCAAAGAAGCAGAAAGAGAAATATTATAAAGCTGAAATTAAATGTATGTTATATCACTTATTTCTATGTTTGTAGAGGAATCTAGATTTAGAATATACAGGGGATTAGTGATCTGAAATTGGACGCACCCCAGCTTGTAGCGGACCCCTCTGGTTTCCCTGCCAACGGCTCAACGTAACGTGCGTCTGTTTAAAATACCCTCAGGTACTTTCACACCGCTGCTGTCGCTGCTGCTGTTGCTGCCAAAACTTAACAAAACGCGACTCACAGAGAAATGTTTGTCAAGACGAGCTAAAAAAACACTTCATAAAAGGCGGTTTTGCTGAAGAAAATATGGAGTTCGAATCTACGGAGACTGTGCGCTCTACTCCAAGCCGACATGAGAAAAGTTTGGGTCTTCTAACGATGAAGTTTGTGAGTCTGCTGCAGGAGGCGAAGGACGGCGTGTTGGACTTAAAAGTGGTCAGTGGAAACGCTATAAATATCTTTCATTCAAGTGTATATTATAGACATATTTCTGTCCATTCCTCAGAGCGACAGATGTTGAACAAAGGGTTGTCAGCAGCACGGCACAGACTGCAGGTGCACTGGTTTAAGGTGCTTCAGGTGGATTCACGCAGCCGCCATTATTATCAAAGGGCCTGGTTCTGGTTTCAAATGAAAAAGATAAAACTGTCAAGTGCGTTTGAGTATAAAATGTGTAGTTTTGACTTAAAATGTATTCTCAAACTCTTTTGTGGACATTACACTCTCGAATCCCATACTAAGAAAGATGCCAATTCCGAGTATCTTTTGGGCATGAACTGCAGATTAGAATATAATATACAGCTATTTCGTGGTTTTTAATGGTTCCATAAGGGTTTACACTAGGTCTGATGTAAACTAGATCAAAGATGATCAAACACTTGTGTGACAATCTCCCAGTTTGTCCTTTTTGTGTTTTTCAGTATCCTTTTCAAACGTGGTATATATTTTTTATACGAGGGTAGTTAGATTTCTAGATTGATATAATTTTGACACAACCACACTAGACACATGTGCCTCTTGAAGTGACGCAATCTCAAGCATGAGAAGCCGTGTCGGAGTTTATTTTGGATTGGTTAACGGTACGTTTAAATAAGTTTGTATTTATGACAATACACAAAACATTACAATTACATTTCGAAATCATTTTAGTCCTGTCACAGCATCTTATGTTGCCTGCCCCTTTCTTTAACATGTACAAGACAGCACTCCTTCAAACTGGTTTGCATTGATTTATTTTCTCCATATTTTTTATTATTAATTTCCCATGATTCCTTAAACTTGTGGATGTTGCAGAGCTGTTTATTTCATAATCAAGTAGATCCCACAGTTTCACTCTGGCCGCTTCTTTTCCACTGTGTTTCTGGTTCTGGCAAATGGGATAGAGAAGCACTTTAATTTCTAGTACTATATTTTTAAATTCATTGTGATCTTTTTTTATTTTCAACGACCTACTGTAATTCCCTACGGTAATCTTTATGGTGTTTGTAAAGATGATGCATTTGACGTATCCAAAACCCCGGCAGCTCACCTGTGGTCTTTTACCACTGTCCCATTCCTTCACTTTGTTTGTTCCACCCACCACAGTGTGTTTACTCTAAGCTACTATCACCTACTATCACTTGAGCCCAATCCACACAATGAGGAGCTCAACACATTTGACTCTTTCTTGTATCCATAAATAAAATATTTCAAAATACAAATTTATTTCACCTTTACATACTTCATCTATTTGTGTTCACAGTTAAGTGTCAATTGAAGTATCTCGACTTTAAAAGGTTATAACTTAAAAACTAAAATTACTATCATAGATTGGAAAAAAGATTTCAAACACAGACACATCAAAGAGATAGTGTGGATAAAATCAAAAGGAAAGATTGTCAAATATATTTTTGGTGACATTTTAAACGACAAAATCAGCCTCTTTTTTGACCATTCTACTGTGACGCCAGTTACATAGAAAATAAAATGTCCTCAGTCTGAAAAAGCGGCAGATGAAATCCCACAAGATTATTATGGTTAACACAACATCAGGAAATCACTTGATATGAAAAGGAATCGTTAAAAAATAAAAAATAATTGATTAATTAAATGACCCTTGAAAAATGTATAACGGACGTGATGGTTTCCGTCCTCTTTTCTCAAAAATTTTAACTTGAGAAAGAAAAAAATCTCGTCTGGTTTCACATTTAATTGGTTGACTAAATGAAAGTATCACTTTGTTTCTACTCTGTGTAAAAAAAATAGAATCTCTGAATCAATTGTGGACATCTGAAAATACCTATCAAACTTCCGCAAAGCTCATTCCGTCAAATCATCACGTCCGTTAGATAAAATAAACAGGGCCGCTATAGGAAACTTGTCTAATGTATAAAGCAGTTATGTTCTAGCAACTTCTAATGGACAGAGGAGGTGCTTGGAAACATGAAAAACATAAAATATCTTATGGTTATTAAAATCTAATTTCTGGCCTTTTGTCACACTTTTGTGCCCTTTAGTGTGAACAAGCCTCTTGTTTTGCATCATAGGCCAAGGCAAATTATTAGTTTTTGACTTCCTGTTACTTACAATGGTAATGACAATAAATCCAATATCACTCCATGCAACAGGTGTATTCCCATTTTACTATTCGGTGTAGTCTTGTCAGCTGGATCCCCCTGCGGTGCTTTCAAAACTATGCCGGTTGTTATTGACTGATCCCGGACCTCTCTTAACAAAGCCTTTCTCAAGTGAGGAGGATTTTGTAGCCACAGATTTATTTGACTTTAATTGAGTGTCTTTGCTTGGTGCTTTTCCCTCTCTTGTTTGGCGCCAAAGCCTGCTAATGTTTACACAGCAGGTCTCTCCACCTCCTCCTCCTCTCCTTTGTGCCACACTCCTCTGCTGATCTGCTGTTTGTGCTGCTTCATTCACCAAAGCCTCATTTGTTTGCAATCCTCAAGTCTCTCCCTCCACACCTGCCTCCAGACATCACAAAAGAAGGGAATGGGATCTCTATTATAGATTTGGTCATATCCCAGAATTGTGAGATTTCCTCACTAACAAATAACTCTCTGGCATTGACATATTCACTTTTATTTTACTTCTTGAAGAAATTACAAAAATACTTAACCATGTGAACCATCTGCCACAATAAGGATTGTATTCAATTATTGTTCAATAACTGATTTTCTTTTCAAAAATGGACAAATTGGTCCCATATTAAAATATACATATGTTTACTTTATTTTATGAATATGGACAAGACTATTAACATTGGACTAACCAGGATGTTTTAGATGTAGATGGCTCAATAAGACTACTGATTTGATTCTTCTGCTGTTTATTTTCTTGGCAAATGCTTTTTAATGAAAAGGAGAAATTAAATATTTTGCTGGATTTCACTTGCATCAGTAGCATGAAGTAGTTTCAACATTATCATTCATTACAATACATTTCTGAAGTGATATATCTATCTAAATTGGTTATCAATGATGACCAATTTTAATCTTAGTCAGCCGATTTAAGCAGCCATTTGAGATTCTTACTATGTGAATTGTAATTTCGCAGTTTCAGATTTATAATGTTATCAAAATGAAAGGATTTATTAGAGTAATGTTTTTGCTGAAACCTTGTGTTTTTGATGTTATGCTCTTGTGTGCGCAGGCTGCAGACTGTTTAGCGGTAAAGCAGAAAAGGAGGATTTATGACATTACGAATGTGCTGGAGGGAGTGGGGCTCATCGAGAAGAAAAACAAGAACATTATTCAGTGGAGGTCAGTTACAGTCATTCGGTTTTGTGTATTTTATTATTGTGCTTTAATTTTCAGCCATAAAATGTGCTGAACAAACCAACACAAAACTAATCTTCACACCGTGATTCACTGCTGCTCTGGAAACGAGACCTGGAGAGATTAATATCACAGCATGACTTCTAAGAGGAGGCTTATCTTTCCTTTGCACATTTTTGACGCAAATATAGACTTGTATTAGTCAGAAAATAACAATATGAAACTGGATTAAATGTAGAGGTGGAATGAAGGATGAGGTGAGATTTTGACAAACCTGTTAATTATGAATAAAAACACATTGTCGAGGTCTATGCCTTTTGCCCGGTGCATATTACTTACCTTACTTTCTATATTGATACAATGAAAACAAAAGCAACATTATTTTTTTTGGAAACATCTTTGTTTTATGTTAAATATAATATTAGAACTACATAAGTTTGTTTGGCTTCGGACCATGAGTCTGAAATAGGGCTACATATCCAATGCAATATACAATTACTTTATCTGTGTGTCTGTGTGTCTGGTTTCCAGGGGTGAGAACTGCCGCAGTCAGAGCCCGGAGCTGTTGGAGCAGGTGAAGCTGTTGAAGTCTCACGTGTCTGAGCTGGAGACTCAGGAGCAGGAGCTGGACCGACAGAAGGCCTGGATCGAGGAGAGCATCCAGCGGCTTAGCCACGACCCCAGCTCTGCCACATATCCTCCACACACCACAGGGTTACAATCTTTAGTCCATGTCACCTGCACTTTCCTGTATTTCTATTTCTTAGTCAAGACCAAGCATGGTCTGAGACGGATGGTTGACTAAATGAATACATAATTATAATCCGCTCCATGAACCTGACCAAGTACACCCTCAAAATAACCGCCGCAAGCAAGGCACACATACAAAGCAATGGATAAAACTAGTGGTTTATTGCGAAAAGGTTCATCAAGCCTTTCCTTGAACCTCACCCTATTTAAATTGTTTAGAATGTTCTTTTGTCTGCTTAAAACATGCCCATTTGAACGTTTTGTAATTTTACCCCTTCTTTATATGTGACTGAGAAATGAGATCTCATTCGTTTAACATTTGTCTTATTCGATGCTTTATGCTGTAATTACAATGACTGAACAAAGGGAACGGTCGGGTTAATCCTGGGCAGTTTTTCCGGTCTTGTGAGGACCTTAACGCGACTTCACTTACAAGTTTGTGAAACATGAAGACATCTGTGACGCCTTCAGTGGAGACACGCTGCTCGCCGTCATGGCTCCTGCAGGGACACAGCTCGAGGTTCCTCTCCCCGAAATGGTGCGTTCAATTCACACACTCTGACTCCAGTAGAAGTGCGACAAGAGAGGATGCAGATGCAGAGATTGCATAGGTTATAAAGTGAATTGTTCAATCCATTTCTTGATTTTGACTGCTTATCTATGTACATTTCATCACTACATATATTTTATAATTTCAACACTAGCAATGCATTGAGGTTGAGTTTTGTTAAAATGGTGACTCACCTGCAATTAGCATTTGGTCTGATATTTTCATTGAATGTTACGAACCCTTTTAATGCAGGAGCTCTTATACTTTTTCATGATCCTTGCCTTTGCAAGATTTTATATTTTTATCTATTATTTCCATGTTAAAATGGTTTAGTCTTGTCAGCTAAATGAATTGTATTTTTGCAAGTAATTCAAATGTTTCAATTTGATACATTCCTAAACTAAAGCACTCTTCCTGTTTTTTGTCCAGAGCTTGAGTGGTCAGAAGAAGTACCAGGTGAACCTACGCTCTCACTCCGCTCCCATCCAAGTGATGCTCATCAACAGAGACTGTGAGGGCTCGGCTCCGGTGGTCTTCCCTGTGCCCCCCACAGATGAACTGTGTCCCATCCCCACACCCCCACACACCCCTGCCAGCCTTCAGCGATTCCCTTTCTCCTCGCAGGCCTCCTTCTCCTACTGCAGCCAGGACTCTCTCTGCTCTGACCACCAGATGGCGCTCATGGACCATGAAGAGGCCCTGACGCCCTCCTCCACGCCCCCCGACCTGCACATGGGTAAGTGCAGCTGCCAGCTTGGTGCTGTCTATAAGGACTTTAAAATGACTCTCCTCTCAAGGAATAATGTTAAGAATATAAACTTTAAACTGCAGTATTGCAGAAGAGATCCACCTCGACAATTATTCAAAAGCATTTGTCTTTGTCTTTTTGAAAACAGTTTTTCTTTAGTGATCTTTTTTATTTTCATTTTCGACACAGTGACAAAGGGGGATTAATGCAGTCTTCAATGCGTGATGCCATTGATAAACTTCCTCTCTAAATATGTTCGACTCTTGCTGGTTTGATTTTCTTTTGAAAAATGTACCTCTGGCATCCAAAAAACCTTGACAGGAAAAAAAATAGTTTGGTCATCAAAAACTAAATTACACAGTGCATCTTTTTTCTTTTTAAAGCAAACTTCTTATTTTACGTCAAAGCTTTGAAACAGAAAAGTGACTGATCATTCTTCACGTCACATAAAACATCCAATGCTTTGGGGAAAGGGATCAAATGAAAAACAGGAACTCTGAGGGGAAGGAGTAAAGTATTCCATGTGGCTTGACTCTGACTCGGACATCTGGCTTTAACTTGTACTATGTGTTTACTGTCTGTTTGTAATCAAAGCCTTCAGACAAAGCTGAACGTGTGGTCTGAGAAAGGTTAGCGCTTATATATTTCAATTAGTTTATGCAGAGAGACGCCACAGTATTTGTTGTTTGTTTATAATTGGGACCGTGGTTGTACTTTTAAAGCTTTACTCATCCTGTCTGTTTAATTCTGTCCACAAAGGGTTCTTCTGTATTTGGATGACACAGTGGAGCAGTGGTTAGAGCTAGCAAGAAGCTCAAGCAATTTGCAATTTTAGGGTTACTCAAGTTAAGGTCTATCTGAGTGTCTGGTTGTATCATTTAATGGGATGTAATTGGTAGGAAAATATATTAAAATTAATGCTCATCTGAAAAATACCATAAAATGCAAGAAACATGTGTTCAAATAATGTCAACATAACAATTTTTGTGAACAGTCTAAAGATAAACTAAAACGTTATTGAAAAATGAGTATGGCCAAGACTATTTGTCACCGCTAACGGAGCAGCCATCTTTCTGTAGACCCACCACCTGCCGTAGGATCAGCGAGGGACGGGTGCTATGAGCATTGGGTGGCAGCTCTCATTGTCACCCCTCTGACACAGAAATTGAATATTAAAAGGGCAGAAAAGGAATGAATGAATGAGTACACTCGCATCAGAACAAAATAATACTTGCATTTTTTTTCTTATCCTCTTGCCTGTGGCCTGTGCAGAGTACCACACTGAGGCCGCCGTGAGCCTGGCCCAGCAGCACATGGACCTGGTGGGACCTGAGTTTCAGCCTGTGATGGACATGAGCAACCTACTGAAGCTGAGCGGAGCCACCGCCCTCAAGGACGAACGCTCGGGTAAAAGAGAACAGCCAACTAAAGGCTTCACTTTTGGAGCCTTGTTATAGATCGTCTAATGTTTGTTTCTGTTTCTAGAAGCTGTGGACCTCATTGAAGAATTAATGTCATCTGACGGTATGTTTTGTGAATGTAGTAGTGTTGTTTGTAACGACAGTAAACGCTTTACAGATTATTTACGGTAAGTAACCTATGTATAAGTTACCTCAAGAATTATGAGGGAAAACTACAAATGTATACATAACATTAAAATTATAAAAAAAACAATATTTTTATATATACAGTTGAGACCAGAAGTTTGGGCACACTTTCTCATTCAGTTCATGACTATTGACTGTAGATTCACACCCAGGCTGTGTAAGGGCTATTTGACCAATAAGGAGAGGGGCGGGTGCTGGGCCAGATGACCTGGCCTCCACAGTCACCGGACCTGAACCCAATCCAGATGGTTTTGGGGCTGGACCAAAGGTCCAATTGTTGGCCAATAGGGCCAACAATTGCTAAGCATCTATATTTGCTTTGTGTCATGACGTTGGACATAATTCACTGTGTACCCCAGTTTTAATTCAAGATAAAGAAGTAGTCGTGGTATGGATTTCACCACCACAACAGTAATCTGTTATAATACTGATAATCGACTATTAAAATGTGGGCAGTATGTGCAGCTTTGTGGTTTAAATCAACATGACATAATGAAGACATCCTGTTGCTAGATGCCAAGTCTAATCCTCCTCTTATCTGTCTGCACAAAGGCATGGACTACAACTTCAACTTGGACGAGCACCAGGGAGTGTGTGACCTGTTTGACGTCCAGATCCTCAACTACTGAAGCACCACAAATACTCAAGTATTGCTCCTACACACTTGTCTTCAGAGAGCGCTTTCACCAAACGGACAAAAACATAAAACCATTCAATCACATCCTTCATTCAAAACACTCAGGACTCATGTGCCGTCCCTCCCATGTACACCGACCCCAAAGGAGAGCTGACAGACAAGATCAGATGTTTTTGTTTGGATTCACAACATTCCTGGGAGCTGCTCTGTCTGGAGCTGAGATGAGCCCTCTCATCCCACTGCACTTTTTGTAACTTTTCTACAGCTGTTTTTTTCCAGAGTTTATGAACAGTGTTGCCCTTCAGTTGTTATTGCAAGAATCGATGAATGTTCAGTATTGGCATTTTTAGTAGTTAAAGGTTTTGACACTAATGTTTTCTTAGTACTGAAGCGTTTTCATATATTGAGTAATATATTTAATAATCAACATTTATCTTTGATTTGATTAATGGCACAGATAACTGCCCAAAAGGTTTAATTTCTAAATTATTGCCACACTGCCATTTAGGCAACCTTTATTTTTTATCTTTCTTGTACTCCCTTTGAAAAGATTTTCTTAATCTAAGATCAATTATATCTTTTTGTTCTAGTTTTTTGGAACTAAAGCTGTTTGACTGCCTGATTTGTGATTTCATTATTTAAATTTATTGTTTTAAGAAGTTGATGCTAAAAGGCCTGTTTGTCTAATTTGTTTTCATAAATGTACAAGATATTTTTGTATGTTTTGTGTTTGCACAAGTTTTCTAATAAATATATTTGACTTGTAAATGTGTCCGCAACAGTGACATTTGAACGCGGACAGTAACAGGTTTCTCTGCTGATCTATGGCTGCAAACTGCAAGAATAATGACAAACATTTCTGCAGTTTCTTTCAGCTGAGGTCGCAGATGGAAGCGCTGATGGATTACCGGTGTTTGAGAGCTCTGGAATGTCACACGTAAGTACCACCTGCAACAATGAACTGTCACCAAGAAACCATGAACCATTTTCCCACCAAGTTTTACACTGTAGGTTCATTTCACTCATCTACATAACATTTTACAAAGTGGTTCAAATCTTATGAGTATGTGATACTACTAGAAAGACTGGAGCTGAATTATATATGTAATTCTGGAATCGTAATATATTTAATCCAAAACACAATAGTCCTACTTGACGACACAGTGGCTGAGTGGAAAGCACTCTCGCTTCTCAGGAAGAAGGTCCTCGGTTCGATTTCCGATCGGAACAGGGCCTTTTCTGAGTGGAGGTTGATTGAGGGCTTTGATGCGCCAGTGCGTCTCGCTTCCGTCATTACTACTTACTAGATACAATAACTCATTATTCACATTTGATAAGACTTGCTGCTGTGAGGGTCGGGAGTTTGAATTCAATCTTACTTTGGGGTCTCAGCTGAAAATGCTGGGAACCCAGTGGGACTGCCCTAGGTCGAATCATCCTCAACAGAATGTCATCCCATGTATTTCCGTCCGTAGTCCAGGGGTTACGGATGAAAATTAGCTAGTAGCTATGTCCGGTTTTTACATTACATTTAAGTATGTATACATTTCTTTAGTATTATTTATGATTTTGCTTAAATTGGTCATCAAAAATGGTTTGCGCCAGTCTTGTTTACATAAAAAAAACAATCTTGTCCATCACTTGCAGTCCCATCAGCGAGATGACGTGGGGACTGTTTATTTTACTTCATGTAGTTGTTTATTTCTTTCTGCATTTGATAAAACATCATGGTTTTGTATTTACATAATACAATGTTATTAGTTTTTCCACCAGCACTTAATATGGGCATGTTCAAGCACTTTGGTCTATATATGTACCTCTCTGTTTATTGTTTATACAAGCACTTTAATGGGACTGTGCAAAACTATGGGACATTCTTGTGTTGATATTGTGTAGATGAGGCCATTCTATATAAGTGACTGACTTTACTCCACGAGGCGTAAGTCAGAAGAAACAATAGCCCTAGAGTGTCAACTGAAGACTCCAAAAGGAAAACTAATAACAGGATGTTGTTGTTGATACTTTGTGATTTAAATAAAAATTAGATCACATTTACAGATCTTTTTAATGTTGAAATCTAGGTCTATAATGAGTCTGGTGTGTGTCTTAAAGGTTGGTGGTGGTAGGAGAGGCCTATGGCACATACTGGTTGCCTCGCTTCTGTCCGTGTGTCCCAGGGCAACTGTGGCTACAGTAGTGGTTTATCACCACTGTGTGTGGAGTGAAAGAATAATGACATGTGGAGCGTCTTACTTTGATAGTCCTGAAAAGCGCTGTATACAAACAATGCATTATTATTATTGTAAGCATTCAGTTGCACATACCTGAAACTTCATAAGAGACAGATAATAACTAAAATCAAAAATAGATCTTGATAAAGTTTGTGAGACGCCACATCACTGTCAAAAGTGTCCTGGATTCATCTGGCAATTCAGGTTTATACTTGAAGTTGGAGAGTGATTTTACAGATAGCACGTTTTCCAATCTTATTGAATAAGTATTACGCCAGTCCATGGAACATTAAAACCTTATTACCATGTTTGTGTACGCTTAAATTGAAAAGGAATTGGTCTGTTGCGACTCGCTTTGAGAGTCAAATGACATCTCTTCGGCCCTCTGGCGTCTGCTCCTGTTGTTTTCTCCCAAGCGTTTGGCCGCCTTCACGAGATGTCGTCTGAACGAGGATCCCACAAACGTGTAGAGGAGGGGGTTGATGCAGCAGTGAGTGAGGGCCAAGCACTTTGTCACTAGAGATGCACGGTCCATAGCTTTACTGGTCTCGCAATGAGTCACTATATTGTACACGGCGTCCAGAGTCCGATATACTTTCAGGAGATTGTATGGCAGCTGGGTCAGCACAAATACTGCTACTATTATCAGAAGGACATAGATGGCTTCCCACCTTTTGCTTTTGCTTTGAGTTGGAAGTTTCCCCAGAATAAATCCCACTTTACAGTAACAGACTACAATGATTAAAAGTGGAATTATAAACCCTAAGATTACCTCAAACATTTCCATTGTGGCTCTACTCGAGGACGAGGAGTATACTGGCATACAAAAAGTTAGATTACCAGACATACGCACTTGAGAAACTATTAAATCTAGAAGCCCAATGAGAAAAGCGCTCATCCAGATTACAATGCAAACTTTCCAACAGTTCTTCCTGTTGAAGAACCTTTGAAAGCATCTGAAGTTGTCACCGCCTTCCATTTTTGTCAAAGCACAAAACCTATCAATGCTAATGCAAGCTAGTAGCTGCATGCAACAACTGAAGTTCAAGATGTAGCAGAAGGACACCATTTTGCAAAGTGCCTCTCCAAGTATCCATCCTCGGGCCGCGTCCAAAGCCCAAAATGGCAGAGTGGACAAAAGCAACAAGTCTGCAGCAGCTAAATGGGTCAGAAAGACATCGGTCATAGTTTTGAGGCGTTTGTAATACATGTAGACGGCGATCACCAACGTGTTACCAGCCAGACCAAGGATGAGGCACAGCAAGTACACAATGGGGAGGAAGAGGCTAGCGAATGAACGCACGTCGGACTTTTCACACAGAGAAGGGTAGTCGTCATAGCTGATGTTGAAGGTGAAGTTTTCATGGTAGTAAAAGTAATCCGGACTCTCCGAAGTCTCCATCTTAGACCTATAAGGATGAGGGTGATGGATTACTGTTTGTCATGCATTAGTTGGTGGTTTTGAAAGGATCATGACCGCACACTACACAATTACTTTCTCACTCGTGGTACCTCAATCTCAGCTAATACCAAGAGAAACTGCTAAAGCGCTGTTCCTAAACCTACAGTATGTGAATGGCTGCTAACAAAACTTTGACGACCTTGTAACAGTTTTTTTTCACTTGAGTACTAGAATAGACGGTTGTTGTTTTGATATTTTGTTTTCATTCTGCAGATTAGGTCATCTCTGCAAGGCATACCTCATTTTACCTTTAAATGTCGGACTACAATAGCCATTCTTTGCTGATTCTGCTCATAACAACACTTTACAAATATTATGCTAAATATTTTATCTTTTATTCCAAATTCTGTACAGGACTATTAAGAGCACCAGTGTGTGTAAATATAACCCACACCAGCTATTTTTTTTGTCCACGTATAGGCCGCACTTGAATATAAGCCGCATGTTTTCAGGTTGTAAGTTTACATAAACCAACAGCTGATGGAGCCAAACAAAGACAACAGACATGATTTAAAGTATTTAAGGTTGACCGGTGATGATCAAAGCATTCTATTAAATCATTAATAAACTACAGACAATAAACAGCCTTTGCATCCCTACTAAAACTCGATGGAGTCAAGATAATGTAACAAGATTAATATAATCGAATCTAGTAAAAAAGAACTCTGAGCTAACAAAATCTCTATACATACAAGTCTACACCTACCTGTACACTTTACTTACAGCAAGTACTGTGTGTGTGAGTGTGTATATATAGATATAGATATATATAATATATCTATATCTAGAAAACAAATTTTTTACTTTCTACAAACAAAACATTGGCTACGTTTCCCTCTCCTTCTATTCTTCCCAGCCCCACAAATGCATCACATACAGAGCCTCAAAGATACTTTCTGGTCATTGAAAAAGTTTCACTTTTTGAAATGAATCCAACACATCGTTAGTAAATTAAAGCAATGAATCTTAAAGTATTATACATTTTCAGGAAAGAAAAGTCTTACCTTTTAGTTGTTTAGAATGTGATTTGTGTTTGATCCAGATTTCCCCTGAACTGAGACAGATCAAGAACTGGAAGGAGTGAGTCAGAGGGAGGAGGCGGGACGAGGGTCAAAACACAACGTGTTAAAAGTTAAAATAAAGGAGCTTTATTGGTTAGCAGTACTTGATTCTTGTTTGTTATCATTTTCTTCTGAGTTTGTGGTGATGAACTCATGGTAGCTACTTTATACCCGCTCCAGTAAAGTGTATTTTCATTCAGATAAAGATGTTGTCACTTTCGTTTTGTCATTTTAATTTGTGTTTGTAGAATGTTTGCAAACCTCAATCACAGATAAAAGCCTAATCATAAAGTGAAGAGGGAATAATAAAGTTAGCGTCACTATAAATCTGCTCAACCAAATATTTAGGTAGTCCTGGTCTTGTTCAATGACGTGTGAATCAAATCAAAGCTTCACGTTGATTAAGAAGTGAAACAACAGCGTTCTGGATATTTAGGTACAAGTCTCTCTTTCTTTTTTTTCCGGACGAGCTCAATTATACAGAAATGTGTCCAAACAGATCAATTGGATTTCTTCCCAGTTAGATTGTTTTCACCACTCCATGACTCATGAAATCCACCCAAATCATAGACTGTATTAGGATTACAGTCTGTGACGCCAATGAATAGGTAGCTCACTGACGCCATCTGATGGCATGAATATGGAACTGCAAATACGTGCTGCACTGCTCTACACTGTGCACTGACACGTGTGTGTAAACTCCGGGAGTTCTGCATGTAGAATTTAAATAACTTGAAAATGTGTGTTTTCACATTGAATTTGTTTATGTGCCTTATTTAATGTTCTACACATTCTGCTGTGTAATACCCCTTCATGTCATGATTTATTTTATCATGGAAATCATTCACAATTTTAGTTTTTGTTGAAATCACACTTTTGAGTGGTGCTTTCTGCAATTGCAGGCGTCTGTGTCACTAGAGTAAATCCTGGATCAGAAGTCTCCAGGCCCGGCCCCTCTGCTGCTGCTGGTGGACCCTGCTTCACCTCCCACACAATACTCAGGAGGTCAGACGACTACATTGGGATTTAAATTTGTTTGTTTTGCTGCAGGTAATGTTTTTGAAAACGACAACAGGAGGTTGGTTGAAATTACTTGGGAATTATCATTATTGTCTTATGTAGGAGATTTTTTCTTTTTTTTGCTGCATTTTGTCCTTATTGTTTATTTTATGTTTTGGTTATTTTACCTCCTGAAACTCTCTTTATTTATACAAGTTAAAGTAGCTGCTTGTGCTGAATGTTGTTCATTGTGATTCTCGTCACAGGTTTTATGATAAGGAATGATAATCTGTTGGTTGCTGTAAGTGGATTGGTGGATGTGAAAAGTGGCTTATCAGTTTAATGAGGCAGTCCCTGTGTAATGGTGTGAACAAAGAGTTTTCAGCTCAACTAATAGATTAAATTCTGTTATATTGATGAAAAATGTACTGAGTGGAACAGTTGTTAAAGCGGTTCTAATAGTATTGTGCTCGTGCAAATAATCTCATGTGAATGTGTTTGTCAATCAATGAGTCTACAAACACAAGTGCAGATGTAGACACCTTTTCCCCACGTTATAACTTGATAAATATGAATGGTTGTTTGTGATGTGTGCAGAGTCTTCAGTGCAGGCCATGGGTCGAAAGCTGGACCTGTCTGGACTGTCGGACCTGGAGGCGGCGCACGTTCTACAGGTCGTTCAAAGAGACATGAAGCTGCGCAAGAGGGAGGACAAGCGGCTGAGGTCTGCCAAAAACAAAACATTGCTCCTGACTTTGATGCACATTTGTAGGGAGTTCTCAAAAAGCAACAAAACACAGCTCAGAAAAATGTATTTAAAAAAGATTAGGTTGATAAAAGGGAATTATAAAAGCATTAGTAATGATTATATTGGCTAATATCTTCAGAAAGAAACTTCGAAAGGGTTGATACATTAACCAAATATGTTAAGAATTTGTGTAATGTCTTTAAAATTAGATTATTGGGCATTTGTATGTAGATCTACTTCATTCATCTGTTGAATCAGGAAGTCAGTAAATATTGTGCAATCTACTTGAACGAGATGAACTACACAAATACTAATTATTCTTGGATTTGATGCAAGGTTTTTCCAACAATACTCTGTGCTTTAATCCTGTATTGTCTCTGGACAGGACGGCCCAACCCTTTCCGGGGGTTGTCTCGTAAACATCCTCCAAACTCGTTCAGGAAATCAGACTTTAGCAGTGCGCTGATGGGGAGCAGATTTGTTTCAGTGCAAAAACAATAAACATAATGCAAGGAAGTTCTTTGTGCTTGTAATCTTGAATAATCTGCTTTACATAACTTTAGCAGGGATTAGAAACACCATGGGATAACAATTTAAAAAGCCATACTGCCGAATAATTCACAGATAATCTACTACTCATTACTTTCTATTATCCAACAGAAATGTATTAACATTTGCAAAAATAAACTAATACAAAAGTTGAAGTTTTAAATTAGAAACTTCTGACTCAATTTTAGGCTTTCTTGTGGAATTTCAGGATTATCTTTCACAGGTGAACTTGATATGTGCTTCTCAAAATGTTTCTATAGACTGTGTTTTGTACTTTTTTAAACAGATTTCAGCCTTTTCGGAATGTTTAATGGCAATTTTGAATGAAGGTGTATAACATGATGGACTTAAACATGCTTAGCAAACCTCTATGGGGGACCTTGTATTTTAAGTGTCATTATTTATTGGGGGCGTCCTAGTAATCGCATAACTACCATTAGCCTTCATGATCTGTCTACATCTAGATAACGGTTTGATGACTTTGCATTGACTTGGGTTAGTGTATATTATTCTTCTTTGATATGTGACTGCTGTTAAATGCAAATGCTATTTATAGATGATGTATGTACGATCAAGAATGCATCACTGGTTTATTTACCATATGCCACATGAGCAGTTGTGCATGAGTGCGCCTCGACTTCGTGAAAACAGCTTCCAGTGTTTCTAAATTATGTCAGATTTAATGATTTTTGTGTAAGTTCTCATCAAGCGACACCTATTTTTGGAGCACATAAAATCAGCTGGATGAATGACTTGAGAATACTAGATTAAACGGGACCTGTCTTGAACCAACTGGATTTCTGTAAAATGACATAATCCATGGACCGGCAAAGGTAACGAGGCTGAAAGTGGAGTCAAATTGCTCGTTTAGGTTTCTCTGTCAGAGCGGGGCTAGACTGAGCGTATTCAGAAGAGGTCCCACTGCAGTCAAGAAATGTTTTATTCAGTCCTTCCTCCTTTAACCTTTGGAGCAGCGCAGCAGGAACCAAATAAATCATATATGCACCTGATTAATATTGAATCACAGACTTGGTGAAAGTGTATTTAAAGGCACAGAGGATTCTTCTGCATCAGGCAGATACTACAAAGGTTAATGAAGAGGAACATTTTGTATTTGTTATTATCATACAAGCCTTGACAATATCTGAGACAGAGTGACTGTTTTGGCAATTATGTGTCACTGTTGTAGGAATAACAATGGAATAATAAATGTAATGCATGGAAATATTATAGACTGCTGTTAATATTAACTTGTCACTAGCTAGGGATGGGACAAAAACTAATATACCGTGATATTGAAAAAACACTGAGGTAACGGAGCTCTATATTCCAATGATTTTCTCAAATTTTTTACGTATTTTCATTATTAACTAGGGTGGAGCAGTCTGAAGCCTTTCAATCAGGCCATCAAATAATAGTTATAAAGTACTTTTCATAAAAAAAAAATGCTTTTGTCAATCCTGTTTTTAAGATTTATAATCTATGTCGGCTTATTGTTTTTCTCAGAACAACTCCACATGTTCACCAAATCTCTGCACAGTTGACGAACTTAGTATTCACTGTATTTATCGCAAAAAAGTGTGTTAGACTCTATAGTATACTCTTTCTAGATCTTCACTTGTATGATTTTGAAATGGGGCAGACAAATATAAGAAATGTATTCTTCTTTTCTGCTCTTTTCCTCATGTAAATGTTTGAAATATATTTTGCAACTATTATTATTACGTGGACAAAGCATTATCATGAAAAACAAATTCATAAATGCAATACAATACTTCTCAACTGTACTTTAAGATGTGGAAATGCCATTAAGACACATTGATTTACATATAATTAGTAAATTACATGATAACAAAACTGAGTGCATAATGTTTATGTCCTTGTCACAAATAAGACAACTTAACAATTTACAAGTGTGAAATAAAAATACATGGGACTCGACAAACGGCAAAAGCAATGTGCTCTTCTACTACTGAGGGCAATATTGATTTGTAGTGTTATATGTGTGGGTATACTGTTTGTTATGGGTATTTATTGTTATATGTACTTTATTGATCCCCGTAGGAGAAGTTCAGGTGTCCAGTAGCGGCAAAAACACATCTATACAAATAAATTGATCATTTAAAAAAGCTAACAATAGTAATAACAAGACAGAGCACTTCAGGTCAAGGCTGCACGGTGGCTGAGTGGGTAGCATTCTTGCTTCTCTCCCCGTGTCTGCGTAGGTTTCCTCCGGGTGCTCCGGTTTCCCTTACCACAAAAAACATGCACAGTAGGTATGATTGTAGTGAATGGATGGTGTTTGGTCGGAGGCTTTGATGGGTCAGTGTGTTCGGCGACTTGCTTCCATCATCACCGTGTGTGGAGAGATTGGAAAATCTGAACTCTGAGCATTGTAAAGCGCTTTGGGTGACCTTGGTCTGTAAAATGCGCTATATAAACAAACATTACTTACTTACTTACTAGCAGCAGAGATGGTGCAGCCTCTTTTATGTACTTTTTTAAATTTAACTAAGGCTCTGTGATGACGCTGAGTTGAAAGCGTGGAGGATACTGTTCCAGATGCGATAAGATACTCCAATGCATAAACGAAGTAGCAGTCAGGAAGTCTCACAATCACAGATGGTCAATAATGTTGTTTAGCAGCAGAGGTAATAAATAAATAACAGTAATGATAGCAGCAGCAGTTAAAGTGATTAGTGAATCGTCAGTACAGATGAGAGCCACATGTACAGACTAAGCAAATCTCGTTGTACAGTCTGACAGCAGCAGAAAGGAAAGACTTCTCCTTCAGAGCGAGGTTGGATCAGTCTGTCAATCCAGAGTGCCCTTTCAAATCCTTTCACTTGTTTATCTCTCCTCCCTCCCTCCTCCCTCTCGGTCCTGTAGTGAGCTGAAGCAGGAGTTGTCAGAGGAGGGCAGCCGCAGTCGCCTCTTGTCCCGTCAGTCCTGTTTTAACCAGCGCTGTTGCATCCGCTGCTGCGCTCCCTTCACGTTTCTGCTGAACTCGAAGCGTCGCTGTGGGGAGTGTGGATACAACGTGTGCCGGAGCTGCCGACTCTATTCCAACAAGAGCAAAGGCTGGCTCTGCTCCTCCTGCCAGAAACACAGGTACTTTTTATATAAAGAATGTTTTAAGGATAAATAATCATCTTCTTTTATTTCTTCTCTCATTTAAAAGGGATCAATGGATTACAACAAGTAATAATACAACATTATCTAAAAACCTTGTATGTATGAGCAATTTTAAAATCTTGACAATCTTGCGTTGTAATCATTATGTGGTTTAAACACAAGCATTTTATATTCCGTCAATATTTCTGCATATACTTGTTGGTATATGAGAATCTGTATAACGTGTCATCATCACTCCTATTACCCGTTAGCTAACACTAAAATTCATAATATACACAATTTAGTTATTTTTTGTTGTTATTATAATAAAATGTTGGATCTTTGAAAACATGTGACCTTTGATCTAATGTTGATAATGACTGAAGAAATAAGCTGCTACTACTACTACTAACTAGATACCGATTATATAATGGGTAGAGGAACCAAGCCAATATGTTGAGATGCCAATATGCCGTTTCCGTCATGTGCTCTCTCTCCTCCAGGTTGCTGAAGACCCAGTCCCTGGAGTGGTTCTACTCCAACGTGAAGAGCAGGTTTAAGCGTTTCGGCAGCGCTAAAGTGCTAAAGACTCTGTACAAGAAACACCTGACGGAGCACAGCATCCTCTCCGAGCTCACAGGTGCTGCACAAGTTTATTTGTATAGCACATTCCATACACAACCAAGGCAACTCAAAGTGCTCCAAATAATCATTCAAGGCATAAATAATGACTGTAGTGTTTTTAAAATGGATTTGAACATTGTCAGTAGCAGCCTGTCTCACATTTTAAGGAAGACTACACATAGGGAAGCAAGGAAAAAAACCCACCTTCGCACTGATTTGATGAGATAATTCAATTCAATTTTTTCTTGTATAGCCCTAAATCACAACAGTAGTTATCTTGAAGGACAACAAAACCATTGAATTCGCCAAAACAGATCAGAGAATCAAACCGTTCAAACACAAGAAATGCATTGATAGAAAACACATGGAGCTATTGGTCCATAAGGGGAAGATGATAAAAGTCCATAAATGTTGTGAAATGTTGAGGTTCCTGGATCATCACCACTAATTAAAACAGTTCTCGTCAAAACATTTCAGAAATTAGTATTGATGGTCATGAACAAGCTTCAACTAGAATTGTGTCCTTGTTGTAATATGAACTCCCTATTACGACACAGTAGCGCAGCTGTTAGCGCCTGTGCTTCATAGCAAGGAGGTCCAGGTGTCTGTGTGGAGTTTGCATGTTCTCCCCATGTCTGCATACTGTAGGTTTTCCTCCGGCTGCTCCAGTTTCCCCTACCACCAAAAACATGTACAATCGGAATGAGTGTAGTGAAAGAGTGAGTGGTTTGTTATGGCGGTTCGCTTCTGTCATCGTGTGGAGAGAATGGAAAATTACTGCTACGCAAAAATTGTACAGCGCTTTGTGTTGGACCTTGGTCTGTGAAATGTGCTATATAAATAAATTTACTACTTCAACTAGATTATTGCCAAAGTACAGTCATATTTGTTTTGAACTGTTTTTTTTGCTGGTCTCATTTTTGGTTGATAGCTAAGATAGGATAGATTTAAGAGAATGCTAAGCTGAGTTTTACTGAGTGGATTTCTCTTTTGGCAAATGGAAAAACTGAAAACATTCCAACAGACCAGCTCTAATTATCAAAAAATAGTAGAGGTCGTGGTAGTGGCAGCAGTATAAGAGCGATATTTGTTTTAGGATATTGGTGAGACCAGGTGTGGTGTGATGTCGGCCTGACAGACAGATCTGGGTCAGGCTGCAGCGAGCCAGGCACCGAAGGCACATTTTATTACAAGACACAGAAGCGACAGCATCAATATATTTATTTTATTCTAAACCAGAGATGTCACAATTGCTTTTTGTTTATTTGCTGTCAAGCATTAAACATTTTAAACTTGACTTTGTCCAGGTTAAACTTGTGTTCAACTGAGAAATAATACAATTTTAAGTCATCTCTTCCTGTGTATCAAAGGGAAACATTAAGATTAAGAGATCCTTTATTTGTTCCACAATGTCCCCACTGTGTCCCCCAATTTCAGTGTTGCATCACAAGTTATAGAACAGTGGAAAAGAGGAGCACACAACACAAGATATGTGAACAATAGCTGTACTAATTAAAATAGACTTAGATTTAGACAGACTTTATTGATCCACAAGGGGAATTGCATTGTAACTGTAGCTTGCATAGTATTTCACAATAAAAATAAAAAATTACATTAAAGTAGCAATCTAAAAATAATAATAATAATAACGTAACATTTAATAAAACCCAATCTCTGACTCTAGCATCAATAACAAATATAACATCTGTTAAAAAGAAGTGTAAAAGTTTAGTATAAAGTACTGATTACTCACATGATTTTGCTTTTATATAACTAGGGATGTAAAAAATAAATTGTGGATATTTTTAGGTCATTCCCAATTGAGTCCTTAAATCAAAAGTATAAATTGATCTATTTCTGCTTTAACTTATCACTTTTGCCTACTGTACATGTAAGTGTATATACCCACAAATACAAATTAACTGTTTCACCATCTCTCAACGTCTCTCTGCATTTATTTTATTTAGGGTCTTGTTGTATTTGTTGAATTAGTTTTACACTTGAGTGATTCTTCTAATCTTTCTAATCCTATTCTTTTACTACAGTTTTCAAACACGCCGCAGTGCTTTCATCTGACTTTCACCTTCGCACACGCTTCGCCTCCAGGAGCGCTCTGACCTATCGCTGTTTAGCTTGTAGCAATATCATTTCCTTTCGTCATACATCCAAATTGGGCCAAAACTGTCGCTGCGCATTAGCTGTTCCATCTGCCAGGGGTCAAACCACACTCAACTGGGCCAGAATATTACTGCCTGTGTCCGAATCTGCACTGGCCCTGGGAGGGATTACAACCATAGTGTCTCATAAACTAAATGCACATCTCTGTAATCTGGTCTGATCAGAGGAGCTGTGTCTTTGGCCCTAAAATGATTAGAAATGACCCCTAGTGGCTTACTGTACTTCACATCAGGCTCGTAATGCTAGACACGAGGCTGCACTAATGCACTTATATAATCACAAGTGACTGTTGTTTTGTGGATATTTCACTGGAGAGAAAATCGTGAAATACAGAAGTCCACTGTATATGGTCCTTGCTGTCTTAACTTGAGTACAGTGTTATGGTATTAAGCATGTACAAAGATTTAGGACGGTTTTCCACAGCTATTACAACATTTTCTTAGCATTTCATACTTTTATATATGCAGAACTTGCTGGATGATCCAGCACACATGTACATTTGAAAATAAAGTATTTTTTTAGTCACAGGCTTTTATATTGTGATGCCACACTTAATGCCAAGCAGTTAATAGATCTAAACAAAGCCGATAGACAACTCTTTTAACTGGACACATGATTTAATGTGTTTTTAAAGCAATGTTGACTTATTATGGACAAAGATAAAGGGAAATAACATGACAAACTCAGAAAAGACAAAGGAAAACTCACATTTGCACTCTTACCTTAACTGTTGGCTTTCATGTCGGGACTCATTCATCTCGATAAACATGTCCTACATTTACAGTCTATGGTCCTACACTACATCCATGGTAGTATAGGACACACGTTACGACTATACTACTGCTAAAACTTTGAGTCAAATGTATAAACTCAAGTCATGTGTATAAACTCTGCTTTGACAACAGCCCAACTCTACCACAACATTGAAGTACTTAGAGTAGATTAGATTAGTCTTTATTGTCTCCTGACAGAGAAATTTGTCATGAAAAGACAATGGGAGCAAGAACATGACAAAGCAAAGCAAAGCATGACAAATGCACAAAAGAAAAAAAAAGAAAAACTGAATTAGATACACACAAATACATGAAAATGTATTGACCAGTGTTACTCGGTGGTGTTAAAAGCCAAGGCTTACAAATACGTCTTCAAATTAGATCAGTCATTGGATGATTATTTGGCTTGTTTTTAGAGTTTGCGGGGTAGATGTAGCTATTGTGAGGCCCCTGTATTGCCCTATTTTTATTTTTTATCTTTATTGAACCTTAATTTAACCAGACCAAGTTAACAGTTTAAATATTGAAGAATCAGTTTTCTGATCCACTACGCCTGTCTCACCCCAATATAAGACACTCACTCAGAAAGAAAACTGTTGTCATCTTTGCTTGAATGAATTACTTATTGCTCCGTTTCTACAGATGGTAGTGGGTACGAGGAGAGTGTCTGCAACGATGGCAGCATTTGTGGGAGCGACTCCGCCTTCTACAAACAAACTGAAGGTGAATGAAAGCTCACTCACTCACTGTGTCACTCAGTTACTATCAGATAAGAACCTTTTATACGTCCCACTGTTTGGAAATGTAGGCCTCGTGGACTGGGCAAAGAAAGGCAATGCAAGAATATTTGCAACTCAAAGTGCTTCGCAAATCAAAGCCTTTACTGGTTTCATCGGTCGGACCCAAAGTAGGCTGCGAAACAATCTCTAGCAGGGGTTTCAAACCAGTTACAGAAAGGGCCATGTGGCTGCAGGTTTTACTTCCAACAGTTCCAAACTGAGTAGGAGCAAAGATGACTCCACCCATTTGCTCAAATCTTCAGGTTAAAACTAGACTCACCTGAGAAAATGTCATCTGTGCTCCTGCTCAGTTTGGAACTGTTGGAAGTAAAACCTGCAGCCGCATGGCCCTTTCTGGAACCAGTTTGAGACCCCTGATATAGTAACCCTCAAAATGTGTTTCTAACATGCACGCTTAATTGTTAATTTTGGACTAAAATAGTTTGGCCACCTCACTCGCAATAAAAGAAGTTGCTGGAATTATGTATGCAGTCAGAGCACAACATTACAGCTCTTCTATGGCACATGTATGGCCATAGAAAAATTGTTTTGTCTTGATTCAAATATCTAGTTTTGCTTGTATCCAGAACACAGCATGTCGGAGACGCTGACCGTGGCCCGGCGTGTGGCGGAGGAAACTATAGATGAAGCTATTTCCAAAGCTGAAGTCCACACGTACTCTCAGGTTTCAGTTTTAGATCACACACACACCTGACTAATCCACTGTCTATTTAACTGTCCGATTATAATGACTTTGTTTTTAGGCGAAGAAGAATGAGGCTCACTATCTTCGGCAACATCGAGCAGAGCTTATTGAAGAACTGGCAACAACCATAGTGGAAAAGGTATCAACTCAATTAGAAGCTGAAAGACATGCAAAATTGATATCATCATAGCTTATCATATCTCCTGCTTTATTAATCTACAATTTAAACATGAAAAACAAGACGTGGATAATAAGGATTTGGGTTCAGTAAGGTCTACTATACCAGGTTATTGTAAGATAGCAATGTTATTTTCCTCGACATGTTTTGACGGTTTATTTCAGTCTTCCTCAGCAGTCTCTCAAATTATTTATGGCATCTATTAAGCTCATGCCATGAATAATGAATACATTTTAACTGATACAAAAGTGCCTTGATTTTAATATATTGACAATCCTCATCACCATATACTGTAGCACCTCATCTACTGACTTCCATCTTCTTCTACCTTTTTTAGTTCTGGAATCAAACATTTATGGTTTAGAAACTGGATGTGGTCAGTGCAGCAGCTGTCCTTTTGCCTCGTCACTGGTTTACCCTCAGACCTCATGTAATCCTGTGTCCAGATCATCAGTCGCAGAAATACTTCGGCCCAGATCAAGAGTGAATACGACCAGGATTTGACCCACACGTATTACAACCACTTTGTGCCTCCACACCAGCAACAGCCTCCACTCTGGGTAACAGAATCATAGAGCACACTCTGGAATTCTCTGTTTTGGTTTCAATGCTGTAAATAGATGCTAATTTAAAGCAATAGCAGGTTGTAACAAAACGGCTGGTAAATGTTTGAAAAGTTTAATTCAATGTTTTTAATAAGAGTAGAAATAGTTTTCAAACTGGGGGATCCTTGGGTGATGGGGCACTGGAAATGTACCAGTTGATTAAATGTAAACCATGATATAATAATATATTTGATAAATGAAATGAGAGAATATGCATTTTCTGTAGTGTTTGAATGTGTTTTGCTTTTTTATATTCTTTTTAAAATTTTAACTTTTTCCCCATGTAATGTCTATCAAAATGTGTGTGTGCAGAGGTCCCACTCTCTCTCTCTGTTGGACACAGACTCTCCTGGTGTGAAGAGCCCACTCCAGAGTCTGAAGAAAGATCGTCCTGGTCCGTCTCTGTCGGCCTGGAAGAGCGTGGACCGACTGGACAACTCTGGTACTGCTTTTCTAAATGGCACATGTGATACTATTAGAGTGTGTGATGATATCGGCACACATACAGAACAATGACTTGGTTAATCAGACAATAAGTCATGTCATATATTCATTTAATATAAATTATTAAAATGAGTTCTTGATGTGTTGTTGGAGTGAGTTCCAGAGAATAGGGGCAGCTGTAGCGAAGGCTGTTCTGATAAAGTGCTGAACTTGGTGCTGCTCTTTGATTACTTTTCACGGCTTGGTCTACTCTAAGTACATGAAAAGGTTCTCCTGGTTGGCTTTATGGTTGCGCATCCATAATGTGAGAGGAAGCACAATCACCCCCTTAATTTTATCAATCATTTCATTTTTCCATACATTTGATGTGAAACATACTATAGGTGGAGCCCTGGAACTTTAATAGATATGTAGTACCTCTAAAATGAATAACATAAGGCATTTGTAAAGCACACTCAAGTCCCGGCGATCAAAGATGGCGGCGTATCAAAAGCTTGAGCTCAGTGGTGCATGAAGAGACCAAAGGTCTGAAAGATTAGCGGAGCCCACCCATATTTGGGCATGCGTCTGGTCCTGGTATTGCGTAGTGGACGACCTCCCATGGTGCTTTACCCCCAATAATACAAGCACACGTGTGTGACTCTCATGCACTGACACAGATGAGCTCAGCAGCGTTCTGACCAATCAGGCACTGCTGATCAGAAAAGAGCTAGAGCGGGAAGAAAACGAGCAGTTTGTTGCACTAAACTAAGTGTGCATTTAACAAGAAAAAGCCCTCAAGATGACAAGGGATACTAAAACCCCCGCAAAATCCGACCTTTATGAAAGCTTATAGATTCTCTGTCAGCTGAGAATAAGCCGTTTTATTTTACATTGAGTTCTATGGGGAAGATTTATGAGTAGCCCACGTGAGGGGTAGAAAATGGATGGATGGATTGTTCTTCAGCAATAAGCTAGTAATACTCTATGCAGATATTATAGATCCATGAGCACGCTTCAGACACATGGCAACTCACAATTATTAGAAACAATTATACACAGCATTAAACCATAAATAATTGCATAAATCAGAAACGTTGCCTCTCCATCTTTAGCCCTGACTCTGTGGACCAGACCAGTTCCCTCTTCGGCACCAACATGTCACAGATGTACTTTGGTGCGAGGTCACAAGCAGCGCTGCTTTAAATTCTATTCTGAGACACAGGAATAAAACACTGATAAAACACTGGTTTTATTTGTTACCATAGGCTCCCATTTGTGTTTTTATAATGTGCTATAGCGACTCTGTGTGCATTCAAGTCTGTGTTTTTTCCCAGTGCTCAAAAGTCCAGACGGAAACTGGCTCGTCCTTCAGAGCGGCCAGCTGTCCCGGCCGAGTCTCCTGACCAAGCGGAAGAGTCAGGTCTACAGCGCTCTGGAGCAAGAGTCCGGGGCCGTGTCCGCGTACGAGGCCATGGACTCCGACTGTGAGCCTGACAGCTCCTGGGGCGCCGTCCTCAAGGAGATCCACAAGAAGATGAATCACTCCGACCTGCTGGAAGACCTGGACTTGGACTATGTGGGAGAAAGGAGGGGGAGCAGGGACTATGTGGGAGAGAGGAGGGGGAGCAGGGACTCGGAGGGAAACTTCTGGAAATCTATCAAGGCGCTCATAAACAAGAAGGTGCCGGTGGAGATCAGGAAGCCCTCGTCTTCTCGGAGAACCAGTATCATTGACATGAACTTCAACGTGGAAATAGAAGAAGAAAGAGAGGACCAGTGCAGTGTGGAGCTGGAGGAGAGGAGAGTGAGGAGGTCACGGCGGAAGAGGAGAAGCAGAAGAGAGGCAGCTTTATACTTACAGGTGAGCTGCAGTTTACCAAGAAATGACTATCCCTATACAATTGTGCAGCAAAAATCTGGAACAGTCTTCCTGAATATTTGAGACATACTTCTACTCTGACAATGATTGAATCCAGGTTAAAACAATTCTGTTTAGCCGTGCATACAACTGAAGGATTGCATTTTCCCTCTTTTCAATGTACTGAGATTATTTACCACTTTGAGTTGGCTTGTAAACTATGCTACACAAATAATATTGCCTTACACATTCAGGTGATACTTAGGCCATATTTTGAAGATAATCAAGGAAAAGGCATTGCTACCTTTTTCCACTCAAGTTTTTTGACAATTGAAGGCTCCACACAACATTAACAATTTTTACTATCATAGTTTTATAATAAAAGCAAAAAAATATGCTTCTACCTGATCAGAAGTCTCCATCCCCCAGTTCTTAATAGCGTGCTTTTTCCTTTTAAAACTTATGAGAGCTTGTAGTTTTATGGTCATTGTGGATGTCGTCTTTTGTTTTCTCTGAGGATGAAGCTGTCTATTCTTGTTTGTAAGATGTTTACGCAAGCCTTTGGTATATGGGGTAAACAAGTTATTAAAAGTCAAACAAATTCCTAGTTTGTCACTTCATGTTTCTTACAATGGCAATAAAAACAATTTGGATTCTGATTCAAAAAACCTCCTTTTCCCATAAATTCCTGGGATGCCTTGCATGAACTGAACATTAGTCCGGTCCACAGATCAGATGTTATGAATTGAAAATGGAAAATTAGGCAAAGTGTGACACCACAACCACCAATGTTTGATGTCGTCCTTGATAATCTCCTAATTATGGCTAAATTATTGGCTAATGACATCTCCGGCTGTGTGTGTAAACGTTTAAGCACAACTGTAGATCAAAACACATTTTTACAGTTTTCTCTTATTTTCACAGGACCAAAAAAACACAGACACCCTCCCCACCTCCTCCTCTGACGCTGCTACACCTGAGACTTTAACCTCTGGAACATCCACCCCTGATTTTAACGTTGACCTGCCCGCACCAGGGGCCAACCAGGCCACCCAGGAGCTCACTAAACGACTGCAACAGCTCGTGGCACAAGTGACCATAAGCGACGACACCTCGACCAACGCACAAAACACCGGAGATTACATGGACCTGGACGAAGGACACACGGAGGATATCGAGCTCGACAATGACGCCAAGGACCGATTGTTCAGATTAGTGGCTGAGTCTAGGCTCTTATATCTATCCTCCACCGACGACGACTTGGACGAAACGGGCGTCGGCGAGGAAGAAGACGTGCAACCGAGCGAAGATCTCAAATTCAAGCTTTTCCGTCTCGAGCAGGAAGTAAAATCCACGCAGTTTTCTTCCACAGAGGACGAGCTCGATAGGAAAGGGCTGGACGAGGACTTGGGCCGCTCCGGAGAAGATGGAGAGACACCTGTTGAAGTGAGCAAACTATTCGGCCAAGTCGGAGTTGGCGCGACAGAGGAGGCCCCAGATGATGCAGAATTGTGGAAATTGCAAGCAGAAAGAGCGGAGAAAGTTAGAAGTTTAGCCGGTTTGGTTAGCTTATGCGAGTTTTCTTCCTCAGAGGATGAATTGGAAAGAGTGGGAGAGAGCAAAATAGCCCAGAACGACATGACTGGTTTGGATTTTGAGAGGAGGGAGTCTATGGGAGACTTGGATGTGAACATGTTTGAACTCGGAGAAGATCACAAGACTATAAACTATTTAGAAATGTCCAAAGCAGGGGACGTTGAGGCCTGCAATGCGAGAGATTTGGACCGGAGGGAGTCAATAGATTTTGATGAGAGTATGTTTGAATTTACAAATGTCAAAACACTCCAAAAGGCGAGTAACGGGGCCAGAATTGCGTGCTACAAAGCGGCTACAAGTATCGGTGGTTTAAATGTGAATGAGGCAAGCTTGCAAGAGTCGAAAAGTCAAAACGAAATGTTAGTTGTGGACGAGAGGCAAGAGGAGTCAGACAGCGAAGCGGACGAGGCTGAATTTAACAGAATCATTAACAGTATGTTGATGATGACGTTGGAGGATATGCAAGGAGGAGGGCAGCGTTTGGAAATATCAAATGAACAAGCTGAGGATGAACACGCAAGGAAAGGACCAGGAGAGTCGTACGAGAAGGTGGGAAGTCGAGATGACAGCAATGGAAATGGGTTAAAAGGACAACAAGGCCAAACTGATCCGGACGCAGAGGAAAAAACACATTTAGTGAACAAAGTGTGTGAAGACGTGATCGAGACGAAGATGGCAAGTTCAAATACAGACGTGGGACTCGAGTCAGACGAGGAGCAGAGCGAAACCTTCACATCTCCAGGCACTTTACTGTCCCCAGAGGAAATTCTGAAGGTAAATGTAAAACTAAATCAAAGGCTATAAATGATTATGTTGTTTACATTTTGAGGGGAGATTGTTTTATTCCAAATCTTTAGAGAAAAAGTCTTTACAGATCTTCTGCTATAGCATAGAGCAGGGATGGGCCACAGAGGGATATCATTATACTGTGGAGGGCCGCACCATGGACTGTATGTTGAGCTAAGGGGTTAGAATTGTGTCATCAATTAAGCCTAGTAGGGAAGTGCTCATAAATTTTGCTCCAACTCTTGATAAACACTAAAGAGGAGAGAGAAGTTTGTATACTGTAGGTCGTCTTTGTCTGTGTGACTTTGGCCATTATGGAAGTACTATTCTTCTTCTGCAAATAATTCATCTATTATAAAAAAAAAACATCTTTAACTAATGGTTTTTGTTTTTCTGTTTTTGATTTTGCTTGGATTTAACCAAAACCGTACCAAATGTTAAGAGGGCTGAGTACTGTAGACTTGTTTACTCATAAAGGTTTATTATAATTACTGCAAAGGTCCGGTGGGCCGCATGTGGCCTCCAGCCCCCAGTGTAGACTGTACATCACTTTAATCACACTACTCTGAAAAGTTGATTCTTAATTTGTCACTTTTATATGTAATATTTCCATGAATATCTTGTTCATACTACTATACATCACTAATATTTATTTTTTATTTGTTACGCTGCTTTTTTTTTGGATTCTGCAATTCAGGGCTGTGAGTTTGTTTTAACTCGGCTAAAGCAGGTGAGGAGGTGTTTGTGTGTGCTGTGAGCGTCATCCATGTAACAAACACACAGTTATTGTTTTGATTATCAGGAGTAGGTCATTCTATTATTCCAAAGGACATAAATAATACATCGTATACATATAGCTGTTTTTGGACACTCAAAGAGGAAATGCAAGTGGCCGCTTGTCTGTCCAGAAAAGGACCTTCATAATACAGCAGTGGTTGATATAATGGACAGCCACATTCAACTTCAACTGAAAATAGACTTATCTGTAGAGTGCACTTGCATTTATCATTATGTCTTTTGTCTTAGAACCTTCCAAGCCTTAAATATAAGGCTTAAAGTATGAATTAAGCTAATGTTGCTTTATTACCTGACATGTTTAGCATTCTACAACATGTATGGACATTTTCTTCTGTGTGTGCTTTATATTTTTCATGTGTTTTAACTGTTGATTCTCTGACCTGTGTTGGTGATTTCAATGGTTTTGTTAAGTCCTCTGAGATGACGTCTGTTGTGACCTAGGGCTACACACAGAATAAATTGTATTGTATGTTTTGGTGGCTCAGGTGACAGTAGCTCAGTTGGTAGAGCATTGGCCTTTGAGCCTGAAGGTCGTGGGTTCGAGCCCACCCTTAAGACCTACTTCATGACTCCCACTGATGACTGCTGTCGTTGTGTCCTTGGGCAAGACACTTAACCCCACTTTGCCTGAAGCCCCCACTGAAAGATCTCAGCTCCTGTGGACTCACCACCTGCAGGAGGATCAGTGAGGGGCTGGTGCTCTGTGAACTGGGTGGCATCTCCGGCCACCCCCCGACCCAGAAATGGATTAAGGGGAAGAAAATGGATGGATGGATGGATGGATGTTTTGGTGGTAGACTTCTGCCATCGTCGGAAGGAATCAGCAAATTAAAAAATGACTACAACCACAGTCACGCAATTTTTAAGAAATTTAAATTAATTTATTAAATTGCCAAAACTAGAGTGATGTCATAGTGATACAATGACATCAAACTGAAAAGCTCAAAAAAGTCTAAACCCATTCAACATATTAACCTTTTCTACTCTCTTAGTACAAAACAGACCCTATTTTTGAATGTGACTGAATGAACCTACAGCTCTGTATGTTCCCACAGAGGCGTTCGGCCAAGTCTCTCAGCAGCATCACCACAGAGGTCCTCAAAGTGCTCAACGCCACCGAGCGTCTGCTGGAGGAGACTCACAGAGAGGCTACTGCACCCGCTCCACCCGCTCCACCTGCTCCACCCGCTCCTGTGTCCCAGCACCACAGAGAACTGGACCAGCAGCTCTGTCAGCTCGAAGAACATGTGAGGTTCAGTGTATTCTGCTGTTGTGTTACTTCAGAGACACTTTGACATGTGGCGGGGCTACTGAGGCAGTTTCCAGTTTAGTCTCTGCATTGAAGACTAGGGTCTAAGTATTATTTGATTCAATTAATTCAGAGGGATCCACCCAGGACTTGGGCTGTGGATCCAGGACTTGGGCTGTGGATCCAGGACGGAGGCTGTAGATCCAGGACGGAGGCTGTAGATCCAGGACTGAGGCTGTAGATCCAGGACTGAGGCTGTAGATCCAGGACTGAGGCTGTAGATCCAGGACTGAGGCTGTAGATCCAGGACTGAGGCTGTAGATCCAGGACTGAGGCTGTAGATCCAGGACTGAGGCTGTAGATCCAGGACTGAGGCTGTAGATCCAGGACTGAGGCTGTAGATCCAGGACTGAGGCTGTAGATCCAGGACTCCGGCTGTAGATCATCTCAGTTTGCTTCTATCGCTAGTTTTCAAATTCATATATTTTTAGCAACCGTTGCTTTTTCAGACTGAAATGTGAATAAGAGAGCACCTTATTCACTCTAGTACCCAAAGGATCAAATGGTTTTAAATAATGTTGTGGTCTGACATGTATAATTGAAGGCACCTCACTTCATATTTATCAAAACATGAATTAAAGCAAAAACCAAGATAACGCATCCTTTTGCCCAGACTTCATTAAATCATGCAAAACAAAATCTATGTTTTGTTGATGTGAAGCTTTGACGGAATATTGTGTTTATTTAATCTATTGCCAATTTCTCAAATGTAATGTTGAGGTTAAATAATCGAGTTCTCAACCCTGTAATCCCACAGGTGTATTTAGCAGCTGGTTCAGTGTACAGTTTGGAGACGGAGCTGGGGGAGATGGAGGATTGCGCTCGGGCCGTGAGCAGCAGCACCAGCGTCTCCGAGCTCAGCTTCCTGGAGGAACAAGTGGCAACAGCTGCAGCCAAAGTCCAGCAGACAGACACACAGGTGAGACATTCACAACACATAAATGTTCCGATTTGAGATACTAATGAGTTATTCAGATTATTGTGTGTTCTCAACAAGGATTTTTGTTTTGTGTTTCTTATTAGTTTATGTAATTGTCAAAGCGTCCACTAGATGGCCCTCACGCAAACTGCGCACCAGTGGCGAAAGAGAAGGCCGTTTTTTTTTAAAGTTTTTTTTAAATTAAAAATATCAAACAACACAAACTCTCGTAGAGACAACCAATCACCAGGCAAGGTTTCAAGAAATAATAAAATAAAGATAAAAATAATTTAATGAAAACACAAATTCACACAATAGACACAAAAGCATCTTGAAATAGACAAACTATTCAATGTCTTAGCTTTTCAGCAGACTGGTAAATTTGATTAGCTTTCAGATTGGTTTCTATCAGTTTTTTTTCTAAGAGGACATTTTAAATATGTTATATTTGGCAGGTTCTTTCTCCATTTGCTTTTATGGATATAATATTTACCCATTATTAATATAGTATTAACAATTGTAGCATAGTTTTAGTAACATTACTTTTATATACGAGAATCTTCTTTTGTGAAGTGTGTTAAATTTTCAGTTATTATATATGACCAATTATAAATATTGTCCCATAATTGTTTTGATTGTTTTAGAGCAGGATACAAATAGATATTCAATAGTTTCTGGCTCCTGCTGAAGGCCGTTCGTTCGTTCGTCTTCAGTTCAAATATTGACTGTAAATATTAATTCATAAAAGTTTAATGCACAAAAGAAAAACATTAGTAACAATGTTTGTGGGTGTTAGGGCTACTAACACCCACAAACACGCTACTTATTTTATGTACTGCGTTTCTTTATCAAGTTTTCACAGTGAACATGAATATGGCGTTATGTCCATAAATATAATCACACCCGTCGAAACTTTCTCTTGCTTGTAGCCTTTGGGGTCAGCAATAGATTATTCTTTTGATTAATAGATTAGTAGTATAAAAACACCATATTCACTGACCTTTCAGGATTTTAACGTTTGACCAAATTGAAGCCCCTGAGGAACATCTTCATAGGATGAGCTGTTTGATTTGAAAATGCTTTGTAATCGCATTTTGATTTCATCTGGAGCCATTGGTCCATAGGGAGTGGGATGACCAATGTCTATTAATGTCCTGGATTATCACTGTCCTTAGACTCTCCTGCATCTACCAAAAAAATTTGTAAAAACAATGTGAGAAACCTTGTGGGGCCCGAAATCATCAAGCGTGTATTCCTAGTTTTTTTATTTGCCCTGAACTAGACCTATCCTAGATCTGGGCAAGGATGGATCTAACCCTTTCCGCCTTGATATTTTGGAGGTAAAAATGTTTCTTTAGGGGGAATGATGTTAGAAGATTTTTTAGAACCCGTGCTCCAGATTCCAATTTTTAATGACAGCTAAACAAAACTAGGTTCAACCAGAACGGGCAAGCACCATTATAGATGATATTCACTTTTTTTTTTTTTCATCCTGATTGTAGATTTCAGACATTTCAGCCAGAATCGCTGCTTTGAAGAGTGCAGGCCTCAACGTGTCCCTACAGCCGAGCTTGAGTAAATCCAGGACATCACCAGCAAAGGTACAGGGAGCAGACGTCACCTTTCAGCTCCTCGTTAAATGTATCAAATATTGGTGAACAAAGAGCTCCATGCCACTCAGACATTAACATCATATTATGCAGTTGTAATAACAATAATGCATTGCTTTTATACAGCTCTTTTCAGGACACTCAAAGACGCTTCACATTTCATTATACATTCAAGCAAGGCAACGAGTCTGTGCCATTGGCCCCTCCAACCACCACTAACACACACACACCAGACTCATTCTAGGCAATGTGGATGAAATTTCTTGCCCAAGGACACAATGACAGTTTGGCACTTTACAGCTACAGCCGCCCCACTGTGGCACCTGGTAATCCCAGAGGTCTCCCATTATCAAGCGTGTATTCCTAGTTATTTTATTTGCCCTGAACTAGACCTGTCCTAGATCTGCCATCAGGGTTAGTACTGTAATGAGACATCTGGCTCTCATTTAGGTTGCCAGTTTGTTGGAGCCAAACCAGCTAAATTTCACCTATTTATGTGTTCACATAAAACAAAAATAGCACCAAGAAGTGTGTTTAAATTAAAGTAAAGACAGAAATAAGTAGTCCTATGTAACACACTAAACTCCAGTAGGTGGATGGCATCAGTAATCAGTGCTTATGAGCTGAATGAGCTACGGCAAGATTCTGTGAAAAAAGTGTGGTTGTAAAGAGTTCATGTTGAATAATGTCCCTTTAACTTGTGTTTTCAGTCGGCGGCTCTGGATGTGTCGCGGCAGCAGAGACGCCTGCTCCCGGCGCCTCCCACTAAAGGTGCAATAGCTGTGTGCATATATTTGAATAAATGCAGTTGGTGAGCTTTAATCTGATTCCAGGTCAGAGCCCGGGTTGGGAGATAATATTAAAGCTCGGGGGCCTAACTTTCAATCTCGACAAACATGAATCTATATCTCTGATCCCTCTCACTCAAAACAATTCTATCTTTAGTTTTTGACTTTGACTCAAGGCTTTTTGTGTGCTCTTACAACTGTTTGTGTGCTGCAACATTGAAATTTCCTCACCGTGGAAAGATTAAAGTGATAGTCTGGACTTTGTCAGAAAAAAGAGAAAGAGGTGTTATATTTGAAAAAAAAAATCAATTTGCGACACCAAGCTTCCCTCGACTCTTCCTATCTGCATGCCTCTTTACCGTTGCTACGCTCACCATGGTCCACGGGCCCAGGGGTGTGCGGATGGGAGTTATCGCGAGGTACACGGTAGGCGACACGTTGGATTCTCGGCCGGTATGGGCATCTTCTGCTCTTGATGACCCGTGTGTCGTGATCCATGACACGCCGCCCCCTGGACTAATGGTGGATCGCTTTGATTCGAAGGCGGGCTCGGTGTAAAATACAAAGAGCTGCAGCACAGGGATCGTGGTGATTGACACGCCCTTGGCTACCCAACTTGATTGGTTTTAAAGTGGACGCCATCGATGGATTTTTCCAGCTTACAGGACAGTACCTGTAATATTTACTCATATTAAAAATGACTTATTTGGACTTTAAGGCCAAGGGGTCAATTTAATACAATTCTTAACATTTGTAATTAATTTAGAGTTTCCAGACTATCACTTTAAAGATTCTCTTATCCTTAAAGTTAAAATGTTTTCTAATAAAACAAAGACGGTCTGATTCATCCACATTTACTTTTTTGTATTTATTTATGAAAAAAATTTGGTACCTCAGCTTTAAAACATGATTCAATATTTTTTATCTTTTTTTATAATTCTATAGCGTTGTTCTTTGGGGATTATTACTGATTCAGGAATATGTTCTATTGAGATATTAGTGATTTTAAGATCCAATAGTTCAAGAGCTACTCCACGGAAGCTTGTTTTTAATCTTTATTTCTGTTGTTTTCAGAATCTTGACAGTGTTTTTCCTCCTCTCTCATCGAGACGAAGATGGCAAGTTCAAATACAGACGTGGGACTCGAGTCAGACGAGGAGCAGAGCGAAACCTTCACATCTCCAGGCACTTTACTGTCCCCAGAGGAAATTCTGAAGGTAAATGTAAAACTAAATCAAAGGCTATAAATGATTATGTTGTTTACATTTTGAGGGGAGATTGTTTTATTCCAAATCTTTAGAGAAAAAAGTCTTTACAGATCTTCTGCTATAGCATAGAGCAGGGATGGGCCACACAGGGATATCATTATACTGTGGAGGGCCGCACCATGGACTGTATGTTGAGCTAAGGGGTTAGAATTTTGTCATCAATTAAGCCTAGTAGGGAAGTGCTCATAAATTTTGCTCCAACTCTTGATAAACACTAAAGAGGAGAGAGAAGTTTGTATACTGTAGGTCGTCTTTGTCTGTGTGACTTTGGCCATTATGGAAGTACTATTCTTCTTCTGCAAATAATTCATCTATTATAAAAAAAAAACATCTTTAACTAATGGGTTTTGTTTTTCTGTTTTTGATTTTGCTTGGATTTAACCAAAACCGGACCAAATGTTAAGAGGGCTGAGTACTGTAGACTTGTTTACTCATAAAGGTTTATTATAATTACTGCAAAGGTCCGGTGGGCCGCATGTGGCCTCCAGCCCCCAGTGTAGACTGTACATCACTTTAATCACACTACTCTGAAAAGTTAAGAAAACTTTATTGTCCACCAAGGTGGAAAATTGCCTTTGGTTATCACCTTAAAATATATAAAAGACACACATCCAGCTCAATATCATGTGGCACTACATTCACAGAACAATTGGAAGAACAAACCAACAAGGCCACCTCCGGCCTAAAGACAAGAGTCAAGCTCAGGACTGCTCAAAGCTTAAGAGTGTTTACCGCTTTCACTGCTCTGGGCACAAAGGAGTTTTTAAAAATGTTTTTCTTAGCTGATATCACTCGAAAAGTTGATTCTTAATTTGTCACTTTTATATGTAATATCTCCATGAATATCTTGTTCATACTACTATACATCACTAATATTTATTTATTTTTGATTTGTTACGCTGCTTTTTTTTTGGATTCTGCAATTCAGGGCTGTGAGTTTGTTTTAACTCGGCTAAAGCAGGTGAGGAGGTGTTTGTGTGTGCTGTGAGCGTCATCCATGTAACAAACACACAGTTTGATTATCAGGAGTAGGTCATTCTATTATTCCAAAGGACATAAATAATACATCGTATACATATAGCTGTTTTTGGACACTCAAAGAGGAAATGCAAGTGGCCGCTTGTCTGTCCAGAAAAGGACCTTCATAATACAGCAGTGGTTGATATAATGGACAGCCACATTCAACTTCAACTAAAAATAGACTTATCTGTAGAGTGCACTTGCATTTATCATTATGTCTTTTGTCTTAGAACCTTCCAAGCCTTAAATATAAGGCTTAAAGTATGAATTAAGCTAATGTTGCTTTATTACCTGACATGTTTAGCATTCTACAACATGTATGGACATTTTCTTCTGTGTGTGCTTTATATTTTTCATGTGTTTTAACTGTTGATTCTCTGACCTGTGTTGGTGATTTCAATGGTTTTGTTAAGTCCTCTGAGATGACGTCTGTTGTGACCTAGGGCTACACAAGAATAAATTGTATTGTATGTTTTGGTGGCTCAGGTGACAGTAGCTCAGTTGGTAGAGCATTGGCCTTTGAGCCTGAAGGTCGTGGGTTCGAGCCCACCTTAAGACCTACTTCATGACTCCCACTGATGACTGCTGTCGTTGTGTCCTTGGGCAAGACACTTAACCCCACTTTGCCTGAAGCCCCCACTGAAAGATCTCAGCTCCTGTGGACTCACCACCTGCAGGAGGATCAGTGAGGGGCTGGTGCTCTGTGAACTGGGTGGCATCTCCGGCCACCCCCCGACCCAGAAATGGATTAAGGGGAAGAAAATGGATGGATGGATGGATGGATGTTTTGGTGGTAGACTTCTGCCATCGTCAGAAGGAATCAGCAAATTAAAAAATGACCTACTACAACCACAGTCACGCAATTTTTAAGAAATTTAAATTAATTTATTAAATTGCCAAAACTAGAGTGATGTCATAGTGATACAATGACATCAAACTGAAAAGCTCAAAAAAGTCTAAACCCATTCAACATATTAACCTTTTCTACTCTCTTAGTACAAAACAGACCCTATTTTTGAATGTGACTGAATGAACCTACAGCTCTGTATGTTCCCACAGAGGCGTTCGGCCAAGTCTCTCAGCAGCATCACCACAGAGGTCCTCAAAGTGCTCAACGCCACCGAGCGTCTGCTGGAGGAGACTCACAGAGAGGCTACTGCACCCGCTCCACCTGCTCCACCCGCTCCTGTGTCCCAGCACCACAGAGAACTGGACCAGCAGCTCTGTCAGCTCGAAGAACATGTGAGGTTCAGTGTATTCTGCTGTTGTGTTACTTCAGAGACACTTTGACATGTGGCGGGGCTACTGAGGCAGTTTCCAGTTTAGTCTCTGCATTGAAGACTAGGGTCTAAGTATTACTTGATTCAATTAATTCAGAGGGATCCACCCAGGACTTGGGCTGTGGATCCAGGACTTGGGCTGTGGATCCAGGACGGAGGCTGTAGATCCAGGACGGAGGCTGTAGATCCAGGATTGGGCTGTAGATCCAGGACTGAGGCTGTAGATCCAGGACTGAGGCTGTAGATCCAGGACTGAGGCTGTAGATCCAGGACTGAGGCTGTAGATCCAGGACTGAGGCTGTAGATCCAGGACTGAGGCTGTAGATCCAGGACTCCGGCTGTAGATCATCTCAGTTTGCTTCTATCGCTAGTTTTCAAATTCATATATTTTTAGCAACCGTTGCTTTTTCAGACTGAAATGTGAATAAGAGAGCACCTTATTCACTCTAGTACCCAAAGGATCAAATGGTTTTAAATAATGTTGTGGTCTGACATGTATAATTGAAGGCACCTCACTTCATATTTATCAAAACATGAATTAAAGCAAAAACCAAGATAACGCATCCTTTTGCCCAGACTTCATTAAATCATGCAAAACAAAATCTATGTTCTGTTGATGTGAAGCTTTGACGGAATATTGTGTTTATTTAATCTATTGCCAATTTCTCAAATGTAATGTTGAGGTTAAATAATCGAGTTCTCAACCCTGTAATCCCACAGGTGTATTTAGCAGCTGGTTCAGTGTACAGTTTGGAGACGGAGCTGGGGGAGATGGAGGATTGCGCTCGGGCCGTGAGCAGCAGCACCAGCGTCTCCGAGCTCAGCTTCCTGGAGGAACAAGTGGCAACAGCTGCAGCCAAAGTCCAGCAGACAGACACACAGGTGAGACATTCACAACACATAAATGTTCCGATTTGAGATACTAATGAGTTATTCAGATTGTGTGTTCTCAACAAGGATTTTTGTTTTGTGTTTCTTATTAGTTTATGTAATTGTCAAAGCGTCCACTAGATGGCCCTCACGCAAACTGCGCACCAGTGGCGAAAGAGAAGGCCGTTTTTTTTAAAAGTTTTTTTTAAATTAAAAATATCAAACAACACAAACTCTCGTAGAGACAACCAATCACCAGGCAAGGTTTCAAGAAATAATAAAATAAAGATACAAATAATTTAATGAAAACACAAATTCACACAATAGACACAAAAGCATCTTGAAATAGACAAACTATTCAATGTCTTAGCTTTTCAGCAGACTGGTAAATTTGATTAGCTTTCAGATTGGTTTCTATCAGTTTTTTTTCTAAGAGGACAAATACATTTTAAATATGTTATATTTGGCAGGTTCTTTCTCCATTTGCTTTTATGGATATAATATTTACCCATTATAATATAGTATTAACAATTGTAGTATAGTTTTAGTAACATTACTTTTATATACGAGAATCTTCTTTTGTGAAGTGTGTTAAATTTTCAGTTATTATATATGACCAATTATAAATATTGTCCCATAATTGTTTTGATTGTTTTAGAGCAGGATACAAATAGATGTTCAATAGTTTCTGGCTCCTGCTGAAGGCCGTTCGTTCGTTCGTCTTCAGTTCAAATATTGACTGTAAATATTAATTCATAAAAGTTTAATGCACAAAAGAAAAACATTAGTAACAATGTTTGTGGGTGTTAGGGCTACTAACACCCACAAACACGCTACTTATTTTATGTACTGCGTTACTTTATCAAGTTTTCACAGTGAACATGAATATGGCGTTATGTCCATAAATATAATCACACCCGTCGAAACTTTCTCTTGCTTGTAGCCTTTGGGGTCAGCAATAGATTATTCTTTTGATTAATAGATTAGTAGTATAAAAACACCATATTCACTGACCTTTCAGGATTTTAACGTTTGACCAAATTGAAGCCCCTGAGGAACATCTTCATAGGATGAGCTGTTTGATTTGAAAATGCTTTGTAATCGCATTTTGATTTCATCTGGAGCCATTGGTCCATAGGGAGTGGGATGACCAATGTCTATTAATGTCCTGGATTATCACTGTCCTTAGACTCTCCTGCATCTACCAAAAAAAATTTGTAAAAACAATGTGAGAAACCTTGTGGGGCCCGAAATCATCAAGCGTGTATTCCTAGTTTTTTTATTTGCCCTGAACTAGACCTATCCTAGATCTGGGCAAGGATGGATCTAACCCTTTCCGCCTTGATATTTTGGAGGTAAAAATGTTTCTTTAGGGGGAATGATGTTAGAAGATTTTTAGAACCCGTTCTCCAGATTCCAATTTTTAATGACAGCTAAACAAAACTAGGTTCAACCAGAACGGGCAAGCACCATTATAGATGATATTCACTTTTTTTTTTTTTCATCCTGATTGTAGATTTCAGACATTTCAGCGAGAATCGCTGCTTTGAAGAGTGCAGGCCTCAACGTGTCCCTACAGCCGAGCTTGAGTAAATCCAGGACATCACCAGCAAAGGTACAGGGAGCAGACGTCACCTTTCAGCTCCTCATTAAATGTATCAAATATTGGTGAACAAAGAGCTCCATGCCACTCAGACATTAACATCATATTATGCAGTTGTAATAACAATAATGCATTGCTTTTATACAGCTCTTTTCAGGACACTCAAAGACGCTTCACATTTCATTATACATTCAAGCAAGGCAACGAGTCTGTGCCATTGGCCCCTCCAACCACCACTAACACACACACACCAGACTCATTCTAGGCAATGTGGATGAAATTTCTTGCCCAAGGACACAATGACAGTTTGGCACTTTACAGCTACAGCCGCCCCACTGTGGCACCTGGTAATCCCAGAGGTCTCCCATTATCAAGCGTGTATTCCTAGTTATTTTATTTGCCCTGAACTAGACCTGTCCTAGATCTGCCATCAGGGTTAGTACTGTAATGAGACATCTGGCTCTCATTTAGGTTGCCAGTTTGTTGGAGCCAAACCAGCTAAATTTCACCTATTTATGTGTTCACATAAACAAAAATAGCACCAGAAGTGTGTTTAAATTAAAGTAAAGACAGAAATAAGTAGTCCTATGTAACACACTAAACTCCAGTAGGTGGATGGCATCAGTAATCAGTGCTTATGAGCTGAATGAGCTACGGCAAGATTCTGTGAAAAAAGTGTGGTTGTAAAGAGTTCATGTTGAATAATGTCCCTTTAACTGTGTTTTCAGTCGGCGGCTCTGGATGTGTCGCGGCAGCAGAGACGCCTGCTCCCGGCGCCTCCCACTAAAGGTGCAATAGCTGTGTGCAATATTTGAATAAATGCAGTTGGTGAGCTTTAATCTGATTCCAGGTCAGAGCCCGGGTTGGGAGATAATATTAAAGCTCGGGGGCCTAACTTTCAATCTCGACAAACATGAATCTATATCTCTGATCCCTCTCACTCAAAACAATTCTATCTTTAGTTTTTGACTTTGACTCAAGGCTTTTTGTGTGCTCTTACAACTGTTTGTGTGCTGCAACATTGAAATTTCCTCACCGTGGAAAGATTAAAGTGATAGTCTGGACTTTGTCAGAAAAAAGAGAAAGAGGTATAATTTGAAAAAAAAAAACAATTTCGACCCAAGCTCCCTCGCTCTTCCTTTCTGCATGCCTACTTTTCCGTGCACGCACCAGGTCCACGGGCCAGGGTGTGCGGATGGAGTTATCGGAGGTCGGAGGGACACGTGGAATGGGCATCTTCTGCTCTTGAGCCGAGTGTTGATCCATGCCCGCCGCCCTGGACTAATGGTGGACGCTTGATTCGAAGGCTCTGTGAAAACAAAGAACTGAGCACAGTGCTCGTGATGATTGACAGCCCTTGGCACCACTTGATTGGTTAAAGTGGACGGCATCGTGGATTTTTCAGCTTACAGGACTTACCTGTAATATTCTAACTCATAAAATGACTTATTTGACTTTAAGGCCAAGGGGTCAATTTAATACAATTCTTAACATTTGTAATTAATTTAGAGTTCCAGACTATCACTTTAAAGATTCTCTTATCCTTAAAGTTAAAATGTTTTCTAATAAAACAAAGACGGTCTGATTCATCCACATTTACTTTTTTGTATTATTTATGAAAAAAATTTGGTACCTCAGCTTTAAAACATGATTCAATATTTTTTATCTTTTTTATAATTCTATAGCGTTGTTCTTTGGGGATTATTACTGATTCAGGAATATGTTCTATTGAGATATTAGTGATTTAAGATCCAATAGTTCAAGAGCTACTCCACGGAAGCTTGTTTTTAATCTTTATTTCTGTTGTTTTCAGAATCTTGACGTGTTTTTCCTCCTCTCAGCGGTGCCTTCACTGTCACAACGGGCAGTTTGAATCTAAGACTGTTACAAATAAATGTTTTGTTCCAATGTTGATGAGTTTTTATTTATTAGACAGAAGCAAAACAACAAAGAATGTGTGCTGAAAGTGGCAATAATCCAGATCCCTGACTATTATTGAAACTGTGTTTCAGAAATCCTATAAAACCATTAAAAGAAGTATTGTAAAAGTATAAATGATACTTTGTATAATGGAATGGCCTGAAACTAAACCTGCATTATTGTTTTGTTGTGATCCAGTTTGCGCCGGTGCTGGAGGTGGGCCTGCAGTGAGGAATTCAGAGTTTTGAGATGAGGATATGACGCCCAAACACGAGATTCCTGATTTGAGGCTGAAAAGGAGAGACTTCTTTCAGACTCTTGCTGCCTGGACAATCAGCGGCGGCACAGGCATACCTTACTTTCAGTCCTTAAGAAAATGTCTTACACAGAGAGATATGGTCATAGCAGAAGAGTGAGTAGAAACGGTGAGAGGACAATGGCAAAAACTGCTTTAAAAGTGAAAACATTTAGATATCAGATCTATATTACTTCTGTGTTTAGGAAACGTTGCAAGGAACCTTCCCTTGCTTGTTTCAAAGGAATTGGGCCAAACTGTGAGATTGAAGCCAAACACTTGTGGATCTTCACAAAATAAAAACATTTTAATGGAATCATGCAGGTGAGGGAAAGGTCAACAGAAAAGATACATATTTCCCCAAAAGTACAGCTCTTTCTGTACAATATTCTCCCTCACAGAGGTTATTTAAGTTTCTTTATGAATGCTCTAGAACAGTGTGTCCACATTGTTTAGAAAGAAGGTCACTTTACTTTATCAGACTTGTCCTAGAGCTGACAACATTGTAAAATGGTTTTGATGCGGGCTGTTCTGAGTCCATGTTGATTCCACTGCTACTATGGACTTTAATGACAATAATCAAAATAAATGTGAGTACACTGCAAAAAGTGATGAAAATAAAAGACTCAAATTTGGCAAAATGTGTTCTGACTGCCTTAAAACAGGATTTGCCAATGGGACGAGAAAATATCTTGTTTTAAAAAAAGATACAAGATTTTGGTCCGATCTTGTTTTAAGATTGTCAGAATGTACTCCAATTAAGAAAAAAACACTTGATTTGAACATTTATTACCTCATATTTCATCACTTTTTGCAGTGTATATACAAATAAAGTCAACGACTGGATTCCAAAGGGTCTGAGCGTGTACAGCAAGTCTATATTGGTGAAGCTGAAGTTGGCTGGATGATACTGGCCACAACTGCTCCAGAGTAGTCCACATGATCAATAAGGCACAGACCAGTTTCAAAGAGCTCTAGCATTTGTCTGACAGGAAGCGCTCTCGTTGGTCTGAGACGACAAAGCCCTCCTTCTGCTCACTCTCTCGTCGGTCTGAGATGATGAAGACCTGTTTGGGGTCGATGACCACAGAAGTGTCCTGGTCGAGTCCCGCGTGCTCCACTTCTGCGTAAGAGGGCCGACCGGAGCCGCGCCGAAACCTCAGGATGGGCCATTGAGTGGGACGCCGCTGTGAGGAAGCAGAGATCAGAAACGCTCTCGTATAAATCATGTTTGAGTTCAGATGATATTATGAGCGATTCTGCAGTACAACACAGGCATTTTACCACACATGAACATCTGATGGGTTTGTACCTCCAAGAAGAACAGGCTGAGGCTCGAGGTCGGGTGCATGTATATGTATACAGCCAGAAGTACGGCTGTTGTTACGGCGACAGTCCCCACGGCCACGCCCACCACGAGACCCACCTGCACATTGCCTGGGACCTCGAGACCTGTGGAGAGAAATGTGTGTTTAACCAGAGACTGTAATGGAAAGGGCTAAGCCGCTAGCTTAATAAAGGAGAGAGGGATTCATGGGAGAAGTTTTGTTCCAACTCGTTTTGCGTTAAAAAACTCTTCTTACTGTCACCACATTTATCGCTGATCCTGTTTTTTTGTGTCCAGATATGAGACACAATGACAGACTAGACATGAGCATCCTCTCTCCTGATTGGCTTCTTCCTCCTCAGACACAATCGGTCTTTGTAAACGGACAGCTGTGAGTGCTTCTTGGCAACAGAAGCTTGTGTCCAGGATCTACAGCCTCTCCGTCTGGGGGAGTGGATTCCTACATCGATGCCTCCCCAAGGTTTGTCACTTTCCCACTGGGATGTTTTGAGTTGTTCCTTGCTGCTGCATTTATGGTCATTCCACCCCCTATGGCTCTAAGTGATCATTATATTTTCCTGTGTTCAAAAATGTAGATTCTGTGTTGGTGAATTGACAACTTTGTAACGTCCTCCGAGATCACTACTGTTGTGATTTAGCGCTATACTAAATTGACTCGTTAATACATGTTCTTGTACACATTATACATCTTGTAATACATTACTCTTGCCTTCAGCGGTGGATTGCTTGGCTGCAGCCCCCCTCATGACCATGCTGTTGAGGGAGGTGTTGGCTGCTCCCTGGCCGCTGTGGGGGTCTTCTGTGGCTGCGGACAGGACAGGGGTGGTGCTTTGCGTGGAGGGTAGGGCCTCAGAGGGGCCTGGAGCCTGGACACACCGTGGGTCACGCTTCTGCACAGTACAGGAAGGATTTTTTCATTATAAATACAGTGAAAATCTTGTCTTGTGTGTAGTGACATGTTACTGATTTGTGTGTGTATGTTTTCGTGCAGTAGACTAGAAATGCAAAAGGCTTCGTTTGGTGCATTCCTCATTCCTCTGTCTGTTCTGGAGGCGTCTGTGTTTGCTGCAGGATGATTTAGTGCAGATTCTGAAAGGTGCAAACCTCGTCCAGACAGCCGTGGTCCACCCAGTCCTGACGGCTTCGGTCAAAACCACTGGAACATCTGAAACGCAGTGTGAAAAGGACAGGGCCCAAGATATACAGTGGGTGACTTTTTCTACTAAAGCGACGTTCAGAGGACAAATGTATTTGAGTTTGTTTATTGTGTTCAATAATAGTTTTACCTCTGAAGTCGACTGCACCAGCTACAGTTGAATCCGATCTGAGACGAGACACAGGAACCACAGCTGGAGAACTGGAGGCAAGCTAATGAGACATGGTTTATTATTTTATGTGCATTAAATATGAGGAGTGTTAAAATAAATCTATTCTGCAGGAATTCCCCAAACGGTTCTTGTATACATTCTAAATCTCAAAAATTGTATCTTTGTTTACATTTTTTACTGATTTCGGTCATACATGTTCGATGCAGCATTTAACTTGTTCTGTCCTCACTCCTTCCTCACAGTGACAGACTCTAGAGCAGAGGTCTCAAACCGGTTCCAGAAAGGGTTCTAGCTGCAGGTTTTACTTCCAACAGTTCCAAACTGAGCAGGAGCACAGATGACTCCACCCATTTCCTCAGGTGAGTCTAGTTTTAACCCGAAGATTTGAGGAAATGGGTGGAGTCATCTGTGCTCCTACTCAGTTTGGAACTGTTGGAAGTAAAACCTGCAGCCACATGGCCCTTTCTGGAACTGGTTTGAGACCCCTGCTCTAGAGGAAGAGCGTCTCAGAATCAGAATCCTTTTATTGCCATGTGAGTAACAAGAAGTCACAAACTAGGAAATTGCTTTGGCTCTCGGTGCAAACAAGTAAAAGCACAATCTGGAGAACTACTTTGTTATTCATTTTTCCCAAAGCCAATTGCCGTGATGTCTTAGTATCATAATCTCGATCATATCTTGACCTGTGTATCGCGATGACAATAGTATCTCCAGACACACACATAATAAATATACAGTAACAAACGTCTCATAACGACTCATTGATGGCTCGGAAACTTACTGGGAAGAGGAAACATTTCGACGCCGGTGTGACTGGAGACCGAGGACTTGAGAATGTCCACTTTGTGATATTCATAAAAGGTTTTCCTCCGGACATCTACAGAATAAACATTCACTCAGGTGTTTTCACTTGTAACAAAAATAATTTTAAACGCTACAATAGTAATAAATATCTGTTATTTATTTGGAAGCATTGTTACTTACTTGGAATCTGCTCTATCTGGTGCTGCACCACAAAAGCATCAGACAAACCGACTCTTACTGGATGGTGCTCAGTGCTGATGAGGCTGACGTCCACCGGGACCTGAGCAGAGAAGCGGCTTTATGTACAGTATATAACACCGACTGTAGATAAAGGTTCTTCATGTACAGTACATAAAGAAATGACCTTTATCTACAGTAAAATGAATTGTTAGCAAATGTAACGTTGGCCTTTTCATATGATTTATAATGGTGATGTTGTTTGACTGTATTTAAAATAGTATATCATAGCTTCAGCAGAGACCTGTTTGTATGTGAACAGGATGCGGCCGTCTTGATGCAGCGCAACCTGGAAAGTGAAAGGTCCCAGTCTGGAGTTGTCCTGGAGGTAAAGGTGGCTCCACTGCACCACCAGAGCTGTGCCTGTGAGCAGAGGCCACACAAAGGATGAATGCAGGAACTATATCATTATTTATCTATTTCAAACCCGTAGTGGATCTTTTATGAGCCTCTTTGTGCAATCACCGTAATTTCTGGACTATTGGGCGCACCTGCATATAAGATACCATGAGTTTGTCCCACGGTGGAGAAATTTCAATGTAATCGTTGCGCACATTACAGCAGAATAAAAGTGGGAAATAAGATTGCACACATCAAACAGGATCTAAAGATAATAAAATGATACAAACTCTGGAGCTATAATTGCGCTTCGATCAGGGATAAGTCACTACACTGGAGTTCGATGCATCATGAGGCAAGGAAAAAGTTGCACCAGCAACGTTTTGAAAGAAAGTCAATGTTGTCCCCATATAGGCCGCTCTTGAATTTAAGCCGCAGGTTTTCATGTTGTAATGTAGCGGATGGACTTTTTAAACTGGTCACGATATGGTTTCATGACAAGGTATTTAACAGCATAACCGTTAGACTGGTGAATGAGGACCACCATGGAAGCTAAGTGCGGTTCTATAGCTACTAAAACTAGTAAAAAAAAATACATCCATAAACTGCTCTGACATCTCACCTCTACCACAACTAAAATACACATATTAGCCTCAATGCTATTTTGTCTTGGTATAAAACATGTCAACCAGCAATAAATAATGTCCTCTTCTGATCCCAGACCTCTGTCTCTTTTGTCACAATCAGTATTTTTGCCATTTGCAGTAAAACTACATTGGAATACGTGACAATACATACATTTTCACCATTGTGTACATATCTCTCTTCTTCAAAATAAACATGATCCAAGTTTCAAAAGCTGATTTCACTCATGGTTTCCTCACCGTTATCTCCGTAAAACACGAAGGAGTCGTGGGAGAGACTCGGGTCGAAGTCGGCCATCAGAGGAGCGATGTACTGCGTGGATGTGAGCGGCTGGTGCATCATTTCTCCAGTGTAAATAAAACCTACACATTTCAAACAGACCATGGATTATTCTGGATCGTTCAATGTAAAATGCAAACAGTGGAAAATATAGGGGATATTCTCAGCTCTCACCCCCAGAGGCAACGGTCACGGCCTTCAGGAGATGGCCGTAGAAGGGGAATTCAAAGGAAAGATACACTCGCTGTGACAAAAAAAAAAAAAAATACATGTTAAGATTTCAATGATTTCAACTATTGCTTCCAGACGTCCAACCTGTCAAATGGACGTAAAAGTGTTGGTGCCCAGTGTCAGGACTAAACATGAGGAGGCAGCGTTTCATATTCATGCAGCTAAAATCTTCCTGAAAATGTGGGACGTGCTTCTTCTCTGACAATGTTCTAATCCAGGTTAACAGCAATTCTTTTTAGCTGTGCATACGGATAAGGATTGAATCTTCACTCTTTTTCATGTACGGTGATTATTCATGTATATATTTATTTTTCTTGGTTTGTTTGAGATTGCTAGTCGCCCGGGGCGACTAGCTCAGTTGGTAGAGCATTGGCCTTCAGGCCTGAAGGTCGTGGGTTCAATTCCCACCTCTACACCTTCTCCACCGACTCCCACTGATGACTGCTGTTGTTGTGTCCTTGGGCAAGACACTTAACCCCACTTTGCCAAAAGCCCCCGCTGAAAGATCAAGGCTATGCTCACACTCAGAGAGCAGCCGTTCTCCTGTGGACTCACCACCTGCAGAGGGTCAGTGAGGGGCTGGTGCTATGAGACTTGGGTGGCATCTCTGACTGCCACCCCCCTGACCCAGAAATGGATTAAAGGGTAGAAAATGGATGGATGGATGGATGTTTGAGATTGAGCACTTTTAGTTTGTATATACAGATAAACCACAGATCTTTATCAGAAGAGAATGAAAATGTATTTTTTTCCCATTGTATGGGCTATACTGTATGTCGAGCTTAATGTCCCTTCAAATAAAGACTAAACGTAACTATATGCACGCACCACTTCCGCGTTTTAGTTATAACACCACTTGACTTCCTGTTCGCGGGAAATGGCTTGAGTTTCACCGGAGGTCAGCAGTGGTTTACACGAGTTTCACAAATAATGCTCAAACGGGAATTAAAATGTGAGGATACTGGGCATTTTTGGGACACAGCAGTGCTCTTTGATTGTGCTGTCATTGTGTTTTTATAAAGTTTAAAAATTTCTCTGAGTGGCCACAGTCAAAGCTCTACCTCAGAGTGAAAGCACAGCGACACTTTTGGGTCAGTCTCACAGCTGAGTGTTTCAATCTAATTACTAAAAACGTGACTAAACCCCACTAAAGCCATAGGATAGCATAGACAGGAAGTGAACGGGCTGTGCTTTGTTTAAAGGAAATGACGTGACGCCTCCCCGTGCAGCCCATTGGTCTTGAACAGTAAAGTGAAATAATGAATAACAATTATTGAGTTATTTCATAAGGGGAAACATGTTTGTGTGTCCAGACGGTGGCCTTCACTTTGGTTTTTGGTTTGACTTTTTATTACAAATGTTTAAAATGTGCCTTTATTTTTGTAGCAATAAAGTCCTTCTTCAAACAATGATACTTTCAAGACACTCTTCGTTGTTGAAAAGATACTAGGACACTTTGGAAATGTGGATATCACCTGAATGTGAAAGCCAGATCCTGTCAGGACCCTGAAGCTAAGCAGGACAGAGCCTGGTTAGTACTGTGATGGGAGACCTTTGGGAACTGTTGTTGTGTCCTTAGGCAAGACACCCACTTTGCCTAGAATTAGTCTGGTGTAAATGAATTGTTTATGGTGGTCATACTGGTTACCTCGCTTCTGTCAGTGTGCCCCTGGGCAACTGCGGCTAAAGTAGTAGTTTTATCACCGCTGTCCAAAAAGCGCTATATCATTATCAAATGGGCCAGGGTTTGCTGTCTAATTTGGTAAACAACTAAAATGTACAGACGCTGGTTGTAAAATCAGAGCTAAATAAATAAAGCCGGATTACGTCTCACGCGCAGCTCTCATCATGCGTCAAGTGTTTGGCAGATGTCAGAATGTGACGCATGAGCCAGGCGGGTGTTACCTGGACCTGTCGCTGCAGCTTTGGCAGCGAGCTGAGGTTCTTCCATGTTTCCTGAGTGAAGTTCACCCACAGCTCTGCGTCTGAGGGACTGAAGATCTTTGAGGTGTAATAGACGTGATCCACATCCTGAAGAAAGAAATGAACAGAATGTTGTAATTGTGTTATCAAAGTCTGTGACCTGTTAACTATCCAGTAAACAGGTCACCTTACAGCTGGCCCGCTATCTCCTGCCGTAACACAGAGTAGTCTTTGAGATCATACACATAAGATCACACAGTGTCATCCAGCCAACTTCAGCTTCACCAATATATGCATGCTTTACAGTGGTCCCTCGTTTATTGCGGTGGTTACCTCGTAAAAAAACACCTGTAACATGTGAAATCCACAAAGTTGCAGCTATATGTTTTAAGTTTGTAAAGCACCTCACTCTATACACTTTTCTAACCACCTGAACTCACGACTGTTGAAATGCGATCGCAGAGATACTGTAGCAAACCTGTTGGTGGTAGGTTTGAGCGGTAGCTGTCAAAAGCCGTGCATACACTGTAAAACACAGCTGCAGAGGACACCGCGCTGACATGCAGAAGCAGGACTGAGGGCTACAGGAAATAGATGGACTTTATTGATCTCACACTGGGGACCGCGGTAGTACTCTGAACTAATCCCTGCAGTGCAAACACAAATGTTTAAATAAAGGTAACTAACGTGTCATACACATGCTGCAAATGAGAATCACGCTGTAAAAAAGGACACAACAGTGCACAAACAGGATGGTAGGATGGTAATCCTAAAGACACATACTTAAAATTGCATTCCAAAAATTCTTACTATAATCTGTGTGCTGGTGTGGTTTTCCTCTTGCAGCAGGTCTCCCGTCAAATCCCAGTGTGTCCAAGGTGTGGGAGGCCCCTCAGATGCTGGGAAAAAAATCCAGTCATTTCTACTCTACCCACTGAGGAAAGCCAGTCTTTGGATGGAGGGGGCCCCACCTGAGGACTTTCCATGAATTTTTTCATCAGTCTCCAAACTCAAGTCTATGACTGTCGCCCCCTGCTGGACACTCTGTCTTGTTCCGTAGAGCAGCATCAGTGACAGACTGATACACCCTGATTGTGATGGAGAAGCTCCAGTCTTTCCTCTATTCTGCTGTGAGACTGTACGATGAACACCGCTAACTCTGTACATGTGCCTTTCATTTGACAGCAAGACTCATGTATCCCACTTTGACCAGAAAAACCTTGTTTTGCTACTACTGAAGGATTGTACTTTGATTATCTACAAGTTTAATGCCTTCTGTGATTGTTTCTATCTTGTTTTGTTAAGCACTTTGAGCTGCCCTGTGTCTGAACTGTGTCATACAAATAAACTTGCCGTGCTTATGAAGCCACCACAGATGATTTAACAGTTATTAAACGTATCTCCTGGCTTGACAACAACTTCTGCCTCTGCTGACACCCGGGGCTTCTTCCTCTTCGCACCCAGGGGTAAAAGCGCGCGTCACATTCCTCATGAGAGCACGTCCACCGCGGGACAGCGGCGTGACTCACAGCGGGGGTGATAAGTGTAGCACCATCTGAACAGACACGTCACGGAGATACCAGATACAATGTGGAAATGTCCCACGATATCGTCCACAAAAGGCCAGTGTCTTTGCATAGCACAGTTCATGGACAAGGGAACTCAAAGTGCTTAACAAAACAGGAAAATAAACATTAAATCGTAAACTATCACAGAACATTAGAAAAAGTGGAGTTATCCAAATTGGATCCAAGTTTTTAATTAAGATGACATTCCACAGCCATATTATGTATTATATTATATATACAATTAAATTAATAATACTAATATTAATAATATAATATAATAATATTATAATTATTATTATTGTCATTATTATTAACTAAATAATAAGAAAATAGCACTTACCACGTGCAGGTTGACCGTGCCTCACTTGGAACGAGGAAACGATGATACATCCCATAAACATATGAGAGGTCATTACAGCGGTTGCTATTAACAACAATAGTATAATCGCCCAAACTAAATTGACCTCCGTTTTCTGTGCGCATTTTCAAACTCTGCAGCTCAGACGTCATTTCTCTGCGGGTCAATGTGTGGGATGCAACAACAAAGGCGTGGTTCACGTTGACCCGTCCTCCGCGTCCAGCCTTCCGCGGAGTCGCCGTAATGAATTATTGACCTCGGGCGCATTAAATAACTCTTTATATCGGGTTCAATATTCGAGTGAACAACCCTGGAGATACCCCGTGTTGTGAAATATAGTTTAAGGACCAGGGAGCAGGTAATTTGTGTGGTTTTGGATGCACCCACATTTCCCTACGGCTGCACTGCATTTTTTCCCCACGAGATGTCACTGTCCGCAAACATACAGTGCCTTGCGAAAGTATTCGGCCCCCTTGAACCTTTCAACATTTCGCCACATTTCAGGCTTCAAACATAAAGATATAAAATTTTAATTTTTTGTCATGAATCAACAATAAGTGGGACACAATCGTGAAGTGGAATGAAATTTGTTGGATAATTTAAACTTTTTTAACAAATAAAAAACTGAAAAGTGGGGCGTGCAATATTAATGGGCCCCTTTACTTTCAGTGCAGCAAACTCAGTCCAGAAGTTCAGTGAGGATCTTTGAATGATCCAATGTTGTCCTAAATGACTGACGATGATAAATAGAATGCACCTGTGTGTAATCAAGTCTCCGTATAAATGCACCTGCTCTTTGATAGTCTCAGGGTTCTGTTTAAAGCGCAGAGAGAACCATGAAGACAAAGGAACACACCAGGCAGGTCCGAGATACTGTTGTGGAGAAGTTTAAAGCCGGATTTGGATACAAAAAGATTTCCCAAGCTTTAAACATCTCAAGGAGCACTGTGCAAGCAATTATATTGAAATGGAAGGAGTATCAGACCACTGCAAATCTACCAAGACCCGGCCGTCCCTCCAAACTTTCATCTCAAACAAGGAGAAGACTGATCAGAGATGCAGCCAAGAGGTCCATGATCACTCTGGATGAACTGCAGATAACTACAGCTGAGGTGGGGATGGTGTGTTCAGGGTGATGAGCTGTGTTGCTTTTACGCCAAACATATCGTTTTGCATTGTGGCCAAAAAGTTTGATTTTGGTTTCATCTGACCAGAGCACCTTCTTCCACATGTTTGGTGTGTCTCCCAGGTGGCTTGTGGCAAACTTTAAGAGACTTTAATTGGATATCTTTGAGAAATGGCCACTCTTCCATAAAGGCCAGATTTGTGCAGTGCACGACTGATTGTTGTCCTATGGACAGACTCTCCCACCTCAGCTGTAGTTATCTGCAGTTCATCCAGAGCGATCATGGGCCTCTTGGCTGCATCTCTGATCAGTCTTCTCCTTGTTTGAGATGAAAGTTTGGAGAGACGGCCGGATCTTGGTAGATTTGCAGTGGTCTGATACACCTTCCATTTCAATATAATTGCATGCACAGTGCTTCTTGAGATGTTTAAAGCTTGGGAAATCTTTTTGTATCCAAATCCGGCTTTAAACTTCTCCACAACAGTATCTCGGACCTGCCTGGTGTGTTCCTTTGTCTTCATGGTTCTCTCTGCGCTTTAAACAGAACCCTGAGACTATCAAAGAGCAGGTGCATTTATACGGAGACTTGATTACACACAGGTGCATTCTATTTATCATCATCAGTCATTTAGGACAACATTGGATCATTCAAAGATCCTCACTGAACTTCTGGACTGAGTTTGCTGCACTGAAAGTAAAGGGGCCGAATAATATTGCACGCCCCACTTTTCAGTTTTTTATTTGTTAAAGTTTAAATTATCCAATAAATTTTGTTCCACTTCACGATTGTGTCCCACTTGTTGTTGATTCATGACAAAGATATAAAATTTAATTTTTTTATGTTTGAAGACTGAAATGTGGCGAAAGGTTCAAGGGGGCCGAATACTTTCGCAAGGCACTGTATTTGATTCAAAGCAGATCAATGAGAATATCCATCAGTCCCAAAGAAAACCCTTGCTTTTTAAGTACATTTCTTCACACAACGGCACAAAGAATTTTTTCCCATATAATTTAAATCCCTGTTGTACATCCTGTTTGTAATTGTGTGTGAAATGTGTACGCTAAGCCCCGTTTCCACCTGTCCTCCTCGGCTTTGTTTATATTATGTTTTTGTAACTTGTACTGTATCCTAGCAACCTACCCGTAACAAACCAGTATGTGGGGAAATTCCTTGGTAACCATAGCTTCTAGCAGCACAATCACTGTGGTACCAGCTCAACATGGTTAGAACCAGGGCCAAGCAGGTACTAAAAATCCCGTTTCCAGGACTGGTAAAGGCCCAATCGGAGTAGAGTGGGCTAGTGAAAATGTGGCTTTATACGTTTTTGTCGTTGAAATTCTTAGAGAGATTCTTTAATAGTCGGATCTGATGCCGTATCACCCGTGTGGGTGTGATTGACGGCTGTTGTGTAATCCTCTGTGGGCGAAGTGAGATCTGCTCCAAACACAGAGCTATTAGAAGCACAGTGCTATGATTCAAGGAGCTGTTATGATGATCGGAAATCCAAGTACAGCATTTGTCCGTGTTACTGAAAGAACAGCGTCTCCGGATGTATTCAAGGACATTCTATTACCTTTATAATAGATTCCACACTGATTTCTTAACCTACAGAGCTTATGACGTTAATGTTCTAGGAATGTATACCCTCAGATGTAAACATACAAGTATTTGCACTAGAGTATATAAAGTTTATACCTTGTTTTGTTTAAGCTACAGATAAGATTGCATTTAACTGAAACAAAGCCAAGACATTCACAGATTAAGTCATTAAATAAAAACAATGGTCTGACTATAGAGAATATGCTTTGAATATATTTCCATGTCCTCTCGGATGTTTGTAATTGCCCCGGTTTCATTACCATTGCTGGTATTTCCCTCATGTAGTTTTGCATCCTTGTTAAATGTATATTGTCTGTATATGTCCTTAAAACACAATAATTGTTAAAAACCTGAACAGTAGATTTAAATGTGCCATTCGCTTTGATTTTGTACTTGAGTAATTTAGTAAGATAAGTTTTCCTCTTCCCACTCCTTTGAGTATCTGCAAGTGATTCTCTTGTGTGTATAATATTTGTAATATCCTATTATGTAAATGTAACAAGGTTGTTCATGCACAATGTTGATATTCTCCCATTGTTCCTTGTACACTTATTTGCTCGAAATTAACATGATTTTAAGAAGAATTGATAAATATTTGTGTGCTCCTCATCCCTACTGTTCTGAATAAAAGATCTTAAAAACCTTTGCGTCGTAACGAGGCTCAAATAAACTAATTGCAACTACTTTGTTTTTAGTCTCACTTCACAAATGATCCAAAGAATGACAGTATTGAAGATTTTATTCAAGAAGTGCAATACCCACATAAGACTTATGAAGTTTCAAAATGGCAAAAAAAAGATTGATAATGCAGAGTGATAAAGTCAAGAAGGCAAGGAATCTACCACAGGCACGCGTTTACAATAAATATAATGGAAAAGACATTTGTCAGTAGTCATTTTCAAGGATTCAGTATGCATAAAAAAAGCAGTAAAAAGGTCATAATTCAGACAACTTGCGTTTTATGCATTGTTAAAAACATTAGATGGCATTTAAACCTGTACTGAATCTTTCCAACACACGAGAATAGAAAAGTTAAGTATTTTCCAGCATATTTTTGGTTTTGTTTCAGGTGTACGAGCAAAAAGACAAGGTTAAGTAGTCTAACAAGTTCAAAACTCAAATCAATGATCACATTTCTAAAGCGTCTGGGGAACTGCCATGGCGTCGTTTACAATTGAGGAATATCTCATTGTGATTTAAAAATGGCGATTTACAACACAATATTAAGGTTTGTGCCAAAGATGTGGATGGAATGAGTATCCGTGGGGCATTTTATGAGCACTCGATGAGTTCCACCTCAAAGATGAGCACCGAGTTGGCCGGGATGACGGGGGGGTATCCACTGGCCCCATAGGCGTAGTCGGGCGAGCAGGTGAGCCTGGCAACTTCTCCAACAGACATCTGGATACACAGGAGAAAACAGGTGAGCAGCAGATTCCAAATGATTTCAGAACCAGCATTCAGTCCACCGCTCATCTTTTCAATGTGTGCGTTGTACAGTGCTGTCGGGCCTTTTGTGTACATACAAATAGGGGTGGGCGATATGGCCTAAAATTCATATTGCGGTATAATTTGGGTCACAGACGGTATATATTGCGGTATAATTTGGTGTGTGAATTTCAATATAGGTCTAGCAGGTTCTTGCATATATTAGTCAAGATTGTTACTTACACCTGATTTTCAAACTCAAAATATATATATTAGATTCTAATATTTATGTGAGACAAATGCTGTAACACACATTTATGTATGTTACAGTAAAGCCCATTTACTTTAAAAACAATAAAAAAAAGGAATACATTTATTTATTTAAAATATAAAACACTCAAATGTTGAAATCAAAGCCTGTAGCAGTTAGACATGGTCGTGACTCGTTATAGTGTCAGAGTTTAGTGCGTGTACATGGCTTCAGTAAAAGCTATTGTTCGTTTACAAAGCTGGTCTTGACATTTGTGGATGCTTTCCAAGTGCTTTTATCAGCACTTGCAGTGAACTGGCCGCTGTGACAACAATACAGAGACAGAAAGATGGTGTGAATGCCGTGCTGTTGTTCGCCGTTTCCAGTGGTGTCTGCTAGGCTAATGTGCTAGGCTAATGCTGCTGAATGTCGGTTGTTTTGGCGCTTTCTGCTGGCGTCAGAGCCTGCGCAATTTGATGACATAATGACCTATCACAATATGCCGGTAAAAACAGAAATCTCTACCGTTGGACAAATTTATCAAATTTTCGCCCAGCCCTACATACAAACACTAATTGTTATGTGGGTATGACATAAGCTTTCTTTGATGTACTAGTATGGTTAAAAAAATGGGCAGCATTTCCTCAAAGAGACAAATAATTTCTGAAAGTATCTGGTAGTGTTTAGTAGTGCTAAAAAAAATATACAAAATTGCGAATATTATTCCTACAAGGTTGATGTGTAAGCCCTAAAAAAGAAACTTAAATTAGTAGACATTAAGTCAAAGGTGTGAAGTGATTTGTGTGACCTGGGTCTGTGAAATGCAGTGTTTTTTAGAGCGCTGATGTTTCCATTCTCTTCACACACACTTATAACACTGGTGTCAAAGCCTCCGACCATCCCCATCCACTCTCCCTCATTCTAACGCATTGTAGGGGAAACAGCAAACCTACGCAGACACAGGGAGAACATGCAAACTCCACATAGTCTGGAGGCAGTCAAAGGTCGGACCTTCTTGCCGTGAAGCCCAAGTACTAACCATTGAGCCTCTAAATAAATGAAAAACAAGGTGATCACATTACTGAGGTGTGACTGTTTCTCCTCACCTGAGCCACGCCCTCGTCCCAGCCTTTGATCACTTGACCACGGCCGATGTTGAACACAAACGGCTTCCCGCGGTCTCTGGACGAATCAAACTTATTCCCATTTGTCAAAGTGCCTGAAAAGTCAGTTTAGTTAGCAAAAAACACCACTGGAAATATGGTTGTGCAGAAATTGCTTATCATTTATATTTGTTGTGTGGAGTTCTGATCAGACTTTGTTTTGGAAGTAGCCAGTAGAAACCGTCAGCCAGCAGCACCAGCATTTACATGTCGGAATATGTCAAAGTGGATTATTCATAACATTAAACCATTCTCCGAAATGTGATGGAGTAGTCCTTAATGGAACTACTAAAATAAATTACAAGTGTAGAAAACGTGGGAAATCTTGTGGTAAGCCAGGTCACTGCACACTGGTCTCCTTATGCAGCATTTAGTCTCATCACCACAAACTGATTCAATTATGCAAGTTTTCCACGTGTAAGTCATTAATTAAGAGTTTTTGTGCTCATTATTCTAAAGATAAGATTTTATACTCGTTTATTCATGCTCGAGTTTAAGCTGTTATGTATAGTGTGATCATACATTTATATTGTATGATCACACTATTTTATATTTCTGTTCTGTAACTGGTGATGAAACTGACATTTCCCCACTGTGGGAAGAATCAAGGACCTCTTCATCTTAATCTCATTTTAAAACTACATCACTTAGAAATTATGGATGATTATTGAATATGAACAATCAACAATTTATTGAAAAAACATTTGATTGCAATTAATGGTGAAAAGGTATTACTATCTTTAAATATAATGTTGAGTCCACCGCGTCACAACCTCATTGGTCCATGTTACATTGAAGAATTTACAGCTAGCCAAGAAACATAGACACTCATCGTACGTTTTGTGTGCTCTTGCTACTGTCCTGTATGTACGCTGCAACATTGAAATTTCCCCACTGTGGGACGAATAAAGGATCTCTTCTCATCTTATTCATAAACCCATTGAGGAACACCCACGTAACGCATCCAGGCGCTGAAGACGCGTGGGACTGCAATGCCTCTTCAGGGCCCCTATTTACCTATTTGTGGATTTCCCCTTGCACACATACAAAATGTATTTGGTTTAGTTTTTGATGAGACGTTGAGGTCCATCTCAAACACCTGTACCCATCTGCTTCTACACAAAAATATGGATACGGTTATTCGAATAAATTAAACACAGTATGCCGTGTACAATTGGTGGAATAGCACTGTCGCCGTGATTTCTCAGTCATCACATGCGGTTGCAATTAAAAGGTGTGAAAATAAAATATTTATTACCATTTTAATTTAGAAAAAAATACGATTGAAGCTTCTGTTCCATATGAAGGCTTTGGGTGTATCGTGGTCTGCTCAATAGACAAATGCAGCGCTAGCTCCTGATCATAAATTACGCATCATCAGTAGTTATGTAAAAGGTGGTCGAGGGGGAGAAGCCTTACATAACGAGAATCGGACTGAAGTTGCAGTAAAAGTGCAGAAAACACGCATTGGAACAGCAGATGGGGTTGGAGAGCGTAGGGCTGGGTGGTTCTTTTGTGTGTGCGCCTCGGCCCGACCATGCGCCAGGCCCAGAGTCTGTCACTTACCGGTGTAGTGCACTTTCACCGACTGCCCAGCCCGGGGGAAGGTTCGCCCTGAGTAAGACAAACGGAAACCGGTCAAATACACGCCTTGAGAGAGACAGTAGAGCGGGAATAGGTGCTTACCGTCTCCAGGTCTGATAGTTTCTTTATCAACTCCCATTTTACCACCGCAGGGTCCGCGCGCGCACCGATAGCTCTGCTCCCACACACTTCCGCTCGCACCGCCTCCGCCCCGGAAGTGGCCTTCTTCTTCTTCTTCTTCTTCTTCTTCTTCTTTTAATGTTTGTTGGCCGTTGGCAAACAACCTTGAGGTGCATTACCGCCACCTTCCGAAATGGAGTTTGGGCCAGGACGTCCCCTTCAGTCCTTCAGTCCTTCAAAGCAGTGGTTCTCAAACGTTTTAAGTACCACCTCAGAAAATTCTTGCCTCTCCAAGTACCACCACAAATGACCAACACTTCACAGTAGGGTGGTAAGCCTACGTATTCATCAAAAACAAGGCAGAGATTTCATTTCTAAAGAAATATATTTCACATTGTTAACCATTGTAAAATTTGACACAGTTTCAACAGTAAGACTGCGCTTCAATATAGGAAAAAACCGAAAAACTGCACCTAAATAATAATTAAATTAAAATGTTCAATTCATTACGAACTGCAAAGCCTTGACTCAAGACTGTGAATTATATTCTGGAGTGAGATGTCTTTGTCCACAGAAGGTTTGGACTCTGCTGAACTTTTGTTTATAAGGCTTGGTCTGCTGCCCTCTTACATCTTCCATTTACTCACCCAAAGAGATGTTGGTTTATATGGTTTGGATCAAATTATATTTTGTTGCTCTCTGTTCCTTTTGCATAAGACTGGGGAAAAAAAAGCTTTTTGCTTTTCCTTCTACATGGAACGTGTTGCAAAAACACTGGAGATTATCTGAACTTATTTCATTGAATATTTTTTGCTCCAGATTGAGACTGAGACATCCTTATTGAAATGTAACTTTTTTTATAATCCGTAATTTTATAAAATTGTATGTGACTGTTTTTATAATCTATATGTTTTATAATCTTTAATTGTATGTATTTTTTGTCCAGGGCTCCCTTAAAAAAGAGGTTCTTTATCTCAATGGGACTTCCCTGGTTCCCTGGTTTTTTATTTCAGTGATTCTTTGGCATACCACTAGAGGGAGCCCCGCGTACCACTAGTGGTACCACACTTTGAGAAACCCCAGTTACCTAATGTAACTAAGGTCCTATGAATATGTTGCGAAGCCCTTTAGGCTTCGCTAATGCATATCTCTTCGGAAGCATCGCTTCCCGCCCTGAGAAGATCAAACGATCTACCCTCCAATCACCTTCACGTCCTGGCGTAGGTCTGTCCCCTATAAATAGGGTCATGCACAACAGCTCTTCTCCTTTCGAACTCAGCCGAATAAGAGAGGGCAGGCCTGCTGGGCTCGAAGCTAAAGGGCTTCGCAACATATTCATAGAACCTTAGTTACATTAGGTAACTGGGGTTTCTATTTCATATGTTGCTTCGCCCTTTAGGCTTCGCTAATGCATAACATAGCGAAGCCCAGACCAATGTACTCCCAGCAGGCATGAACTCTGGTGATTGGAGCAAACTCGTGACCCTCCTGCTCATACCGCAACCAAGCGGTAGAAACGGAGGTCCTACGAGCCATAGAGAAAGGGATGCAGGGCTACCTCTCCCAAGAGTGCCCGCGCATTCCCCAACAGGAAAAAAATAAATAAATTCAGAACAAACCTGGGCAGGCAGCCTCTCCCAAGAGCACCTGAACCCCAGGAATGTAGAGCAGACTGCAGAAGGGTCTAGGCCGCCTCTCCCAAGAGCGCCTATCCCTACTGCAGAGGTGTCCAGGCCGCCTCTCCCAAGAGCGCCAACACCTCTCCACATAACCCTAGACGAAGGAGGAACTAGGGTCGCTCTGCACTCAAAACCGAATGAGCCACAGAGTCAGAGGCCACATCTAGTAGGTAAAACTGCACAAAGGTCGAGGAGGAGGACCAAGACGCCGCTCTGCAGATCTCCTCCACCGAAGTGCCACGGAACAAAGCCACCGAAGCGGCAACCCCGCGAGTGGAGTGAGCCCTCAACTGGGCCGGAGGCGGCAAGCCCTGAGCTTCATACGCCAAACGAATAGCAAGGCAAAGCCAGTGGGCCAAGCGCTGTGGAGACAAAGCAGCACCCTGACTCCTGGTGCCAAACCCTACAAACAACTGATTCGACCGTCTGAGGTCAGACGTGCGGTCCAAATAGCATCTCACAGCCCTGATCGGGCAGAGACTATGACGCCGCTCTTCCTCCTCCGAAGCATGCGGAGGAGGGAAAAACGGTCTCACCCTGATCACCCTAGATCTGAAAGATGACGTGACGACCTTGGGCTGGAATGCCGGGTTAGGCCACAACTCCATCATGCCCTCCCGATCGGGGAGGGACAAACAAGACGGCTGCATGGAAAGGGCGCACAGATCCCCAGACCTCTTGGCCGAAGCCAACGCCAACAACAATGCCGTTTTGTAGGACAAACAGGCAATGGTCGCATTGTCCAGGGGTTCAAATGGAGGCCCCGACAGACCAGCTAAGACCACCTGAAGGTCCCAAGACGGAGCCGACCGCCGGAAGGGAGGTCTGATCCTGCGGGCCCCTCGGAGAAAGCGCTTCACCAAGGGGTGGCTACGCGCAGAGTGGCTACCAAACCCCACGTGCCCTGTGGTAATGGCCGCCGCGAACACACCCAGAGTGGCGGCCGCCCTTCCCTTCTCCAGCAAAAACTGGAGAAAAGCCAAGACCTCCTGGATGGAACACGAGGTGGGGTCCAGGCCTCTGTCCACGCACCAAGAGGCGAAGAGTTTCCAGCGAACCTCATACGCTTTGGTGGTGGATGTAGCCCTCCCACCCTGAATAGTAGTGACCACTGAGGGAGGGAGACCAAGGCTCAACAGTTTCCCCCTTTCAGCCTCCAAACCATGAACCTGTGTCCCAGGACAGGGCGTGAGTAAAGGGCTCCCCCTGCCTGTCTCAGAGCATCGGGACGGTCCGGAATGGGCCAAGGCGGACCGAGCGCCATGCTCACCAGGTCCGGATACCACCTGGCTTTATTATTAATTTATTCTTCAATAACATCACAATCGTTACCTGTGCACACTGGGGATATACCAAAGACAATTCCTAGTTTGTGACTTCCTGTTACTTACAATGGAAATACAAAATTATGCTGATTTAATTGAATTAAAATGATTCACATTTTCTTGTATTTTAAGTTCTGCTCTATTTTTCCGGCCTGTTTAATTACTAATTACTAATTTAATTTATTCCGAAAGCCTGGATTATTATTTTATTGAGCAGAGCGTGAAAAAAAGAAAGTACAGGCAAAAAAGGCCTGCATCATGTAAAAATGTCATTCTCTGCACATAACAGAAGTTTAATAATAACATATTTTGTAGTGATATTTTAATAATTATTTGTTACCATTTATTTTTTCATTTGTTTAGTTTTGGCAGTTCCTCCTATTGGTCATAATATTACAGTGCGATAATAGTATTATGTATTATTTGACTTTCCATCAAAATGACGGATTAGGACCATGTGTGTTCTTTCAGGTTTTTACATCAGTGTGGAGCCAAATTCATCAGAAGTGGCTCAGCTCCTCACTCCGCTGCTTCCCGCGTCTGTAGAGATGTGTGTGCGCTTCTGGTGAGTCCACCTCACTAATAGCCTGGCTCTGCCAGACCCATGTAGTTCCGCCATAATCCACCAGAGGTGTTTTGGTTGCCAAACACCTCTGGTGGAGCATGGCAGAACTACATGGGTCTATCCAGGCTACCTCACTAAAGCTGGGAACCTAACTTTAAACCACTGAAATAGACCTGCGTTATAACATACATTTTTACTTTTGAATTTGCTGGAAACGGCACCAGTCCTAAGTAGCTCTGAAACAGTTGTTGTTTTGTGCTTTGCAATTTTTAAAAACATTTCTACCTGAGATGTTGCTGCAGTACAGTGTTCATGGTTTTACACTGGTTCAGACCAGAGCAGAGAGGATTCATGGGCCGAACCAAGCGGATCAGCCGAAAATCCACTGGAGGAATGCGACTATTTTGCTAAATGCTAATGAAGCATTTAGCATTTTATTTTGGGCTTAAGCAGGGAAAATGGTCCGAACTAAGCGTCTACTCCACCTTGTGACCTGTCCCCTACCCCCAGAGGCCACTTCACCTCTGTGACCTGAGGCTGTTGCTGATTATTACTATTGTTAGCTTTTTTGAATGTTCAATACATACGGGGATGAATAAAGTTTCTATCTATCTATCTATCTATCTATCTATCTATCTATCTATCTATCTCAGCCAATCAGATCCCAGCCCAAACAGTCAAATAGATGACACGTTTTCTAATAAGATGAAGACAACATGAAAACAGCACTCAATTCTTGTTACTTTTCACTTGTACAAGACTGTTTCTATTGGGACATACACAGAAGGGGTCTACAATCTTTTATCACAGTGAAAGCCAGATCCTGTCAGAGCTCTGACGCTAAGCAGGGTTAGCACTGTGATGGGAGACCTCTGGGAACACCAGGTGTCACAGTGGGGAGGCTGCGGCTCCAGCTGTAAAGTGCCAAACTGTGGTTGTGTCCGAGACACTTAACCAACATTGCCCAGAATGAGTCTGGTGTGTGTGAGAATGATTGGAGGTGGTTAGAGGGGTCGATGGCACATACCGGTTGCCTCGCTTCTGTCAGTGTGCCCCAGGGCAGCTGTGGCTACTGTAGAAATTCATCACCAATGTGTTTGGAATGAATGAATAATGTGGAGCGTCTTTGAGAGTCCAAAAACCGTTGCTTAAAACAGATGCATTATTATTGTTATTATACAACCCAATATCATGATCACAATTTCAATATTTTTATTATATATTAAACTTTTCTCCACCATAAAACATCTTCACAAACCTCAGTTGCGTTCCCATCACACCCCAACAGTAACGAATTGCAATAACTTCCTTGATTTTTTCACTTCCAAAATTGACAACATCCGTTCCACCCTCACAGCTACACAAGATTCTACCCTAGGCATTTCAAAATCCCCCTCATCATATAGTCTCTCTCATTTCACACCCATGACGCAGCAGGAGGTCGAGAAGATCATTCATACCTGAAAACCATCCACCTGCTCCTTGGACCCACTCCCTACCCCTCTGCTCAAAACCTACTCCAAATTCATCAGTCCCACAATAACCAAAATTATCAATCTCTCCCTTGGCACTGGCACCATTCCACCCTCCCTCAAAACAGCTCTCATAAAACCATTACTTAAAAAACCCACTCTTGACCCTGTGCCCCTCTCCCATTACCGTCCTGTCTCAAACCTTCCATTCGTTTCCAAAATCCTCAAAAGAGCAGTCTCCACTCAACTCCATAATCATCTCAAATCAAATAGTCTTTATGAAAAATTCCAATCTGGTTTTCGCCCCTCCCACAGCACAGAAACAGCGCTCATCAGAGTGACCAATGACCTTCTTATGGCCTCTGACTCCGGTTCCACTTCCATCCTCATTCTTCTCGACCTCACTGCTGCGTTCGACACCATTGACCATAACATCCTTTTACATCTTCTCCAGCACCACATTGGCCTCTCCCACACTGCCCTCACTGACCGAATCGAGCATGTAGTTCTGGGGGACGCTAAATCTCGCCCCCACTCTGTCATCTGTGGGGTCTCCCAGGGCTCCGTGCTCGGTCCCACCCTCTTCACCAGGTACATGCTTCCCCTCGGGTGTGTCGTCAGCAGGCATGGAATTCACTTCCATTGCTATGCGGACGACACACAACTTTATCTCAAAGTCACTCCATCCGCCCCTCCCTCTGCATCTCTCTGGATGAGGGGCATGGATGAGGCAAAACTTCCTGCAGCTGAATGGCCTCAATCTCTCTCTTTGGCCACAGCATTCCCCTCTCTCCCTCTGTAACCAATCTCGGGGTCAAGTTTGACCCCCACCTTTCCTTTGGAAATCACATACATCACATCTGCAAAACTTCCTTCTTCCACCTCCGTAATATTTCAAAACTCCGCTCTTCTCTCTCTCTCCCGGCTGCAGAGAAGCTCGCCCATGCCTTTGTCTCCTCCAGGTTGGATTACTGCAACGCACTCCTCATCAGGATCCCTCCAGTACGTACAAAACAGCGCGGCCAGGGTCCTGATGAGGGTACGGAAGCATGAGCACATCACCCCCTCACACACACCCTCCACTGGCTCCCCGTTCACCTCCGTATGGAATACAAGATCCTCCTGCACACCCACCACTGTCTCCACGGTGATGCCCCCATCTACCTCACTGACCTCCTCACTCCACACTCCTCAGGCAGAACCCGGTTAGGCCAACAGCACCGTCTGCTCCCGCCCAGGACACGGCTCAAGAAAATGGGGGACCGGGCCTTTGAGGCCGCTGCTCCCCGTCTGTGGAACGCCCTCCCGGACCACCTCAGGGCCCCACAGACGGTGGAAGCTTTTAAAAAGGGACTCAAAACCCTTCTTTTTACTAAAGCGTACTGCTAATTTTTTTATAGTCTTTTATCTGATTTTATGTGTTTGCTTTTATTTATGCTGCTGTCTGTAGCACTTTGATATTTGGTGTCAAATGTAAAGTGCATTATAAATAAAATGTATTATTATTATTATTAATATTTTAATGAAATTTGTCGATGAAATCGATTCTGTTTTCTGTATGTTTTCAATTAATTTTGCATTCATTTTCCCCAGGTACCAGTTGCCTGCAGAGTCCTTTAAATCTCTTGCTGTCCATCTGCTCTGGAGTGGAGACTTGCATGAAAAGCTTTGGGAATCTTCTAACACGACGTCTCTGAACTGGGAGGTGGCTGAAGTCTCTGTGTGGGCCCCTGCCGAGTTTCATGTAAGGCTTGAGTTATCATGCAGATGTCTGAATGTTAAATGTAAATGTCTTCAAGAACTAAACTTGGGCACCTGCAGTTTAGCACCAGGATTGACACACAAGGCCCATTATGTATGTTTATGTAATGCATGAGTATTGTTTGACACCCGACCACTAAATGTCTCTGTGAGAAAGTGCGAGAGGGTTGGGGCTTTAGGTCCTCAGAAGTGATCCTCTGTCAAAGCAGCAGAGGCCTGGAACTGGGAAAGTTTAAGCTCAGCCTAAAGTTGTGGCTCAAAGATAATCAAGTGTGCAGGCATTAAGCATATTGTAAATAATTGCGTCTGGTTGGGTAAGGGTGCTACAGTTTACCTGAATTATAACTGCTAACTAGTCTGTTATATTGCCTCTGCCCTGGGACTATGCTCGGTCTAAACAAAACGTCTATTTTTCAATGTCCCTGTCAAATAAATACAAAAATATAATGTACAAATGTAGTATTCCGGATGAGTAGGTAATCATGTGTCTCTTTTGTAAGATTTCAATGGAAGATGTTAAGAGTATGCTACTATTTCTGCACTTTTCTGGGTAACAATACTGTTGTTTTAAAAATAAAAATAAAAAGCAGCCTAAACATTAAGAGGTCAAACATACTGCTTTTATTATTTTACACCACTAATATCAATCCACGTCCCTGTTTTTAGGTGGTATTCAAAGCAATTAACGTACCAGGAATGACCTCTACCGTGAAGGTCGATGATGTCTCTATAAACAGGGGAGCTTGCGGTCCAAGAGGAAGCTGTGATTTTGAGTCGGGACCTTGCTCTTGGGTCAATCATCCCACTGCAGGAGGACACGACTGGGTTTCATCCTCTGGAGGAGCCGTGGGCCCACCAACGGACCACACTATTCAGACGTCTGATGGTACTGTACTTAAAAAAACAATACAGTTGACCAAAGAGCTGAACACACATATAAAAACAAAATATAATCTAGAAACACACACAAGAGAATACAAATTGCACAGAAAGTCAACCCACTGAGTAAAAAGCCAAAGTAAAAAGATGAGAAGTGACTTAAAAACAGGAAGTGAGTCCGCCAGTCTAATATGCAGAGGCAGACCAAAAGGACAATCACCTTTTGAGGCCACCAACCACACTGTGAACAACACCAAGGTTGCGACAGTAGCTCAGTTGGTAGAGCATTGGCCTTTGAGCCACAGGGTCGTGGGTTTGAGTCCGACTTTCACTATTGACTCCCACTGTCTGCTGTCGTTGCGTCATTGGGCAAGACACTTAACCTCTGGGAACACCAGCCACAGTGGGGCGGCTGCGGCTGTAAAGTGCCAAACTGCTGTTGTGTACTTACTGTGTACTTAGTCAAGACACTTAAACCCCATTGCCTACAATGACTCTGGTGTGTGTGAATGGTTGGTGGAGGGGCCAATGGCACATACTGGTTGCCTCGCTTCTGTCAGTGTGTCCCAGGGCAGCTGTGGCAGTAGTTTATCACCACCGTGTATGGAGTGAATGAATATTGACACATGTAAAGCGTCTTTGAGTGTCCAAAAAAGTGACGCATTATTATTATTATTATAAGATCAGTGACATGCTAATAAGTTAGGAGTGGTTAGACCTGCACTCTACTCGAGCGCTCAGCAGACAATAGGTCTGTGACATGCTACTGAGTTAGGATCGTTAGCCCTAGCAGGGGCATTAGTTCTGCTCCCTACCACATCTTAGCAGACTTTAGTTTGTTAATGAGTTAGCCTTAGGATCAGGGGGTGCCTAACCACACTCATAGGTTATAAATCTCCAACTCACGACTGGGCTTTAATTCCCTTGAGTAAATTCTTTGGATTAAGAACGAAACATTGGGAAAACCTGCTAACTGAAGTACAGATGATGAGTGAGCAAACTTCCTTTGTTTTGAATAATCCCTGCACGGCTGAGAGACTACACAAACTTAAGGTTTTATAGCATTAAGTTGGATGTATAAAATTATTCGCTACATAGAATTATTTGTAATAATTTTCTCAAAGGACTGCTTTCATTTCAGTGATAAATTAAACTGTTTTCACTTCTAGGTGTTTTTCTGTTGAGCTCCCAACAGCACCTGAGCCACAACAGCAGAGCTCAAGTATTTTCTGAGTGGATTCTTCCCCAGGACACTCCCTCCTGTCTTTCCCTGTGGTCCTACAAGAAGAGGTAATTAGAGTTTAACTTCAAGAGCTTTCTTTAGGTTGATTCCTCCTCGAGAGGAACTTATGTTACCACCCAGCGCATGTTTCACCTCTGCTGCTGTGACCTAAAGTGCTGTTGCATTTTATTACTATTGTTAGTTTGTGTAAGCCCTCAGTCGTACAGGGATTAGTCAAAGCAAAGGAAGGTTTCTCACCCATCATCTGTACTTCTTAGCAAGTTTTCCCGACGTTTCGTCCTCAACCTGGGGACTTCTTCAGGGAATGAATTCTCGGACCGCGCGTTGGAGATTTATAACCTATGGGTGTGGTAAGCCACACCCTAATCCTGATACTAACTCGTAAACAATCTCAGGTCTGCTTGATGTAGAAGGGAGCAGGTCTAACGACCCTGCTGAGGCTAACGACCCTAACTCCTTGCATCCTTGCATCCTCGCATCTATGCCTCGCATCTATGACGACATCCTAAAAACAACGCCCTAACTTGGGACAAGGTCAGTGACATGCTAATGAGTTAGGAGGGGTGAAACCTGCACTCCACTTGATGATCCCAGCAGACAATAGGTCTGTGACATGCTAAGGAGTTAGGGTCGTTAGCCTCAGCAGGGTCGTTAGACCTGCTCCCTTCTACATCAAGCAGACCTGAGATTGTTTACGAGTTAGTATCAGGGTTAGGGTGTGGCTTACCACACCCATAGGTTATAAATCTCCAACGCGCGGTCCGAGAATTCATTCCCTGAAGAAGTCCCCAGGTTGAGGACGAAACGTCAGGAAAACTTGCTAAGAAGTACAGATGATGGGTGAGAAACCTTCCTTTGCTATTACTATTGTTAGCGACTTTTAGAATTATGTATTTAATTGTTTTGTTTGCATGGATGGGTGTGTTTCTGCTGCTACTGGACAACTGAATTTCTCCTTCAGGATCAATAAAATATCTATCTATGTTACATCTTTAGATATCTACTCTGCATACATATGGACCAGGTCAGCAGAATCCCCCATAATGTTTCACAAACATACAGTAGGTCTATGCAACACAGAGGATGTGCTCTATCCTGTCCACGGGTCTCCATTTCCTCACCCACTTCCTTCTAAAACTCTGCACTAAAGCCGTTCAGCCATGAATCACCTGCTGCTCTTTGTGCAACCACAATCTGTGATAAGGGTCAGAGAAAGCTGACTGAGAGAAAGCTCACTTTGCTCACATGTTGCAACAAGTTTTCTCAAAGGAACTAATGAGTTTAATACTATAGTCAAGTTATGAAAAAACACACAGCTGAAGTTATAGTGGCCATATTTGTTCATCAAAATCTATGTTGGTCACATCTGTGGAAGATAAGCACATTGATAGGAGACCCCTGAGAAAAAGCTGTGGCCATAGTTATTGTAACAACTATATAGTTGCAAATCATCTTTTGCAGCCACTGCCCCAGAAGATAGAAAGATAGATAGATACAGCAGATATGTAGCACCTTTCTGTCCTAGTTTTGACTTTGTATGTTGACTTTGGTTTTGTCCTGTACTAGTTCTATTTCACTATTGCTTCAAACGTAGACGTGTTTAAGATAAGATAAGATAGACTTTATTGATCTCACACTGGAGAAATTTACATGTCCCTTTGGCATAGATTGGATCACTCAGATTGTGCAAAAGGCAGAAGTGTGAAAACATGTTAAAGGCAAAGAATATAGTCTGTTCAGGATATGTTATGTACAATCACTAAGTCCTATTTTTTATCTGGTATCTGGCAGTTGCGAACATACCGTAACAGAGTGTTTCATTCTGATTCGTTCTTTTGACAGTGATTTTGAGACATTACGGTTACAAATTCACTCAGGACTTGGGGAGGAGGATATTACGCTCAACATTACCACCAGGGCTGCAGAATGGACCAGATTTACTCATGAACTCATGACCAGCAAACCTTTCCGGGTAAAACAAATAAAAACATGTAATAGTGTAAATGCAATGTTTTTTGTGACATGTAAATTTCTCCTATGTGAGATAAATAAAGCAAATCTTATCTTATCTTATCTTATCTTGGATGTTTGACTCATACGTTTTGTTCGTTAGTTGCTGATTGAGGCAGAAACAAAACCAGCAGGATACATCGCACTTGATGACATTAGCATCAGTCCTGGTTTATGTCAAGGTACAAAGTATAAAGAGTATAGCAGAAATATGATATTGTGATGAGTTGATTGTGGTTTAAATACATTTTATTTGCAGCTAATGAGAGTAGCACTGAGTTTTTGGGCTGCGATTTTGAAACCGACTCCTGCGGTTGGAAAGACGACAGCGATGGACAGGCTAAATGGATCAGAGGCAGAAATGGGACCAACAATTTGGGTAAACACATACATTACCTATACAGTTGTATCTTCTGTGTATGTCCATTCATTCAAAAACAGATAACAAGAAATGTAAATAAACATAAAAACAAATAGCGTTTTTAGTTTTTTAGTTTTTTTCCCAACACAGTACAACAATACTCAAACCTCAAACCCAGCTCAAACAAAGCTCAAACCCAGACTAAAATCCGTATTACCAACACTAGCGATAGAGAGCTGAGCGGTCTCCTTGAGTGTGATGTTGTTTCAAACCTCTCTGAACGTCAACACATTAAAAAAAAAATTGCTGGACTATAAGCTGCTACTTTTTAAAGAACTTTTAACCCTGCGGTCTACATAGCAATGTGGCCAGTGTATGTATGTCTGTATTTTTTATGTTTTATTTATTAGACAAACAGCATATATCAATGAATATATATGGTTGAACATATTGGCGACATGTAAGATAATAAGATTGTATCCAAAGACAAATTTTCATCTGTTTTGTTATAGAGTTAAGTTGATGTCAGAGCAGAGTTTATAGAATTAATATTTTGACTCCCTCAAGTTTTTTGGACTTAGGGGATACTGTTTATTCTAACGATAGACTGTTGAATGAGTTTAGTCACTGATAACTCACACATATGAACTCGTGCTTGCTTGTGTAATTTAACATGCGCATTTTGTCGTGTTATTTTTTACAAAGCTTTGCAAAGACATGCTCATCTCTTATCTTTATTTTGCTGTTGGTTAAGTTATTAAAACGTGAATACCCGAGACCTATTCACTTTCTTTTCAAATGTAGCTGGTGCGGCTTATATACAGGTGTTCGTAGTCCAGCAAGTACTGTAATTACTCATTAGATTTCCTGCACCTATGGATTTTTGTCTCGTTAACTAAAAAGAAAGCCGACAGTTCATGTTTGACACATTTTTGTATTGCTTTTAGCAAAAAGACCTTGTAATTAACCCAAATATAAAAACTATAAGCCAGATCCTTACATTGGAAAATCTAATTCTAGCGTACAATTTCCACTTAGCTACATTACACCTCATTTTTACCCTTTCATATTTTCCCGCCAGGTTGGTGCATGTTGGTGACGGAGACGCGAGCAGAGATCGAGAGTCCGGCCGTGCTCCTCAGTCCTTTGATGCAACAGACCTCTGCTGAATGCACTTTACAATTTAACTACAGCATGTATGAACAGGGTAGGTTTACAAACACTTTCTTGACTTTTCTCCATCTTACTTTCATATGATTTGAGAAAAGAAGTTGCTGAACATAAGCCAAACAGCAAAAAGAGGTTGACTCACTATACAACTACAAATTTTTTTACAGATCATTAAAAGGCATGAGCTGCAAATATACACTAGAATCAATAAAGAAACAATCCTGGGCTTGTCACTATATAGAAAAGTCCCCAAAGATAGTTAAATTGTTGATTATGCTGTCAAACAACGCATCAACTTCAAAATACTCCTCACCACTTTCAAAGCACTTCACAACCTGGCCCCTCCGTACATATCTGACCTCCTCCACCCTGCCACTCCTGCCCACACACTCTGCTCCTCCTCCACCCTCACACTCTCCATTCCCCAGCCAGACTCATCACCGTGGGACACAGAGCCTTCAGCCACTCTGCCCCCAGCTCTGGAACTCTCTCCCCCCTGACCTCCGTACCATTGACTCTCTCCCACTCTTCAAATCCAGACTCAAAACCAATCTGTTCAGACTGCCCTACCCCACCTAACACACACGCACCCACCATTCCATATTGTACTTTACTGTTTTATTCTGTTGCTTCTGTTTTTATTGTTTTTATTATGCATGTACAGTGTCCTTGGGTGTTTTGAAAGGCGCTTTTAAATAGATGCATAGGTGTACAATACTAATGTGGCAATAGTAATCAATGTTTGAATAATCTTTTTGAATTCTATATATGAAGAAAAAAGAGGGAACAAATATACAGATGCAATTATAAGTATCAACAACTTTGTAATGTTCTCCAAGGCGGCTCCTGCTGTGATTTAGGGCTACACAAAAATGCATTGAATTGAAATGAATCGTTACATGTCAATCACAATATTACAGTCATGAGTTTTGATTTTTTTATCCAGCAGTTCAAATACTACGCCAACCACAAATTACAACTTGTGTAAAATGGCTGAGGGCTCAAAAACTTAACAGTGTAATAAAAGTTTACAGTTCATAAAGAAAAAGTATTTAACCAATCAGTTTTACTCATTAAGGTATGAATAGGGGATAATTTTTCTGCGTTTTAAATCTATCTATTTGGTTTTTGATGAGCACCTGATTTTTGACCAGTTGATGCTCGTGTGTTGTCCTTTGAAAAGTACTAATAGAAAACATCACAGAAAACTATAAAAAACACACAACAACTTCTTCCTGGTTACAAGAACTGTAAACCACTTTATGGTCCCAACACACAGGTTTCCATGACCTCAATAAAAAGTGCATTCTACTAAATTGCGACCTTTCTGAACATTGTTGCGGTTGCGTTTGTCAATATCCTGTATGTTCAAAAAGTCAAATTTGGTTCAGACTAAAAGTAACAACTTCAAAAGAGTTCCATTTAAAAAAAAAAAATTGTGTAAGTCATGAATTTGTTAGGTTAATTTTCCGTTTTGTTTTGTAATTATTTAACCCCTGTCTCTTCTTTAGTTCCACTTCCTGTTGATTCTCTGTTTAAACCCTGTGTTGTCCTTTACTCCCTATTCTATTTGCTACGTCTCTTTTAGTTAATCCCCTGTTTGGTTAAGATTCGGTTTTTTTACCTGTGATTTGGTTTTTGCATTTAGTTTTTTATAAAAGATGCAGTCAGTGATTTTTTCCAAACGCGTTTTTAAAATATTGTGGAAAAATTAAACCCTGAAGTAGTCAAGTTATCATGTGTTTTCAAATAGTAATGGAATTGACCAGATGCCTATAGTCTCCAAAAATTAATAAAAAATATTTTGGACCGGATCGATTAAAATAAACCAATGGGATGCGTTTACCCCCTTCACCCCTTTCCTGTTTCTTGCGAGTGCACCTGAGTTATCGGATTTTCTAAAACCTAAAAGGGCTGAACAGAAAATGCCAATTTCACGTTTGCCACCCACTCTCCCTGTTGTTACAAAAAAAAAAAAACAAATGTTGGATGTTTGGTTTGGTGGAGAGGCGAGGGGAGGGGGGAGTGGTTTCCAGTTGGTGCTACGGCTAAGCTAACAACATCGCTTACTGCACCTTTAAATTACTTTTTTTGCGGTCCTGCATTTTGGGTTCATTTCCTTTTAATATGTGACAGTTCTTATCTTTAGTGCAACAGATTTTGACAGTTACTGATTAACAGGCAAACTCTTGAAACCTTTTTATGATATAGAGTCATTTCTTGCAAAGTGACATATGCCTTTATTAGTTATAATGTTGATGATTATGGCTTTACGTCCATTTTCACAATATTCATATGTTTCTTTGGGGGTTTTTACAGCTGTGAGCCAGTTATCAACATAATAACTTAAATATATTTACTGTATATCACTTTGCGTGTATGGTATAGAGGCTGTATATACGTTTCACCAAGTTAGTCCCATTACAAAAGTAAATGGACATATGAACAATCTTTTAATTTTCTGAGTTTCACAAATGTATTAATTACGAATGAGATGAAATGCTTCCTTTTGAAAACATACTCCAATCAATAGAAATGTTCCCAATTGAAGCTATTTCTTTGGACTGTATTCGTAACAGAGAGGGGTGAGCTGAGCGTGTTTCTTCAGTCTGCTCCTGGGACCTCAAGCCTTCTGTGGTGGGGGTCTGGTCTCCATGGAGATGAGTGGCGCAGCGCTGAGGTTATGACTGGTCGAGTCCCGCACAACTTCTTGATCCGTTTTGAAGCCAGAACCTCCTCCGGACCCGGACACATCGCTATCGACGACATACAATTCTCCAGATGTTCTCTGCCAGGTTCACTTGACTTTTCACTATCTCCATAACAGCTAAAGAAGACTGAAGTGAGAAATACATTAAATCAATGTAAAATAACATGATTTATGGTGGTCAAATGTATAAATTATTTACTAGAAAGATTTTCAACTATGGAAACATGTAGCGAAAGTATTACTATGTTGTTTGGAACAGAGAGAGAATAAACATGTGGCAGACCCTGAACCAGCAAAGTTGCACCTTTAAAGCTGGGCTACCTAAAATGTGTACCAATATCTAGTCCAATATAGAGATGCGACTAATATGTATAATATTATTGTGGTAGAGTTTTCAGAGCAGAGTTTATGGACTCTTGTCTATGGTCAAAAAAAGAGTGGTGAATGAGTACTGGCATGGAAAATCATAGCCTGGCCCTAGCAATCCGTACACTCCAGTCAATCATCATTTCCCTGCATGCAATTTGTACTATGGTGTGGTACGACCAGTCTAGGAAAATCATGGTGAAGCTGTTAAATACCTTGTCACGGTGTGTCCAGTTAAATCGATCTGCTACATTACAACATGAAAACCTGCAGCTTCTATTCAAGTGAGGTCTATATATGGACAATATGTACTTTGTTGTATAATGTTGCTGGCGCGGCTTATATACAGGTGCACCTTATAGTCCAGAAAGTTCTGTCCCTTGTTTTCACATCATGTATGTTGGCCTCTGTCACATCTTAAGGTTATTCAGACAGAACAATTTAAAAGAGAGGACCAGCCTCACTCAGCCAATCATCTCTCAGCCCAAAGAGTCAAATATTGACTCACAGGGCTTTTCACAGGGATGATTAGAGGAGACAGCATGTTGTGGTCGGACACATTCACAAGTTTTCACTCTTTTCTACTTAACAACAATATTGATTATATGAAAAGACAGTCAGGTACTCCAACTTTTAAGGTTCAGTTTTTTTTTCATTTTTTTTTCCAGCATCTTCAATTTCAGGATTATAACTGTGTTGTTTCCTGTTTCAGAGCCAGAGCCTGAGTGTGCAGAGAATATGTTTAGGTGCAAAAGCCAGGCGTGTGTGGAGCTCAGCAGAGTTTGTGACTTCAGTGATGACTGTGGAGATCGGTCCGATGAAAGCGACTGTGGTGAGACACTTTGCTGAACCACCTTTGACTGTGTACTTTGAAGCACATGTGTCTGGTGCGTGCACTCGGATCCTGTTTTCTTGGCAGTGCAAATTGTTTAATTGTTAGAGGTAATTGTCCCAGCTTCATCACCCATTTTACGCTAAACATGAAAAACTCACTTAGTATTAATTGATAGAAAAACAACATTCAAAAACGATGCTCAGTTTGCAGTACTAAATCACCTTTCCCTTGGGTCAAATTCTGTTTCAATCCAATTGTTTGAATGAATAAAATCAAACTCATGTTCAATAAGCTTTGTTGAAAATACCTCCAAAATACAAAAAGGTCAAATACAAACATTTGATTGCTGGAGATATTTCAACATCTTCTGCCAGTATGACTAGAACGCCATGTTCCAGCTTCTTCCCTCTGGCGGAAAATATTGTTCGCTGAGACGCAGGACACCACGATATGCTAACAGCTTCCTTCCTAAAGCTATTATCAAGCGCTTTAATGATTTTGCACTTGTTATATAAACTGTTTTGGTTGATTGGTTTCACAGTGACAATTGTTTCTTGTACTTCTTAGCTTGTTTTATTTATGTACATATCTGGTGCACACTGGGGTATTACTTTTGCACATGTATTCCAGTGTGGTTTTTCTGCAAATGGTGAATAAATTGAATCTCCATCTCAATCTGAATCAGCACCAGTTCACTCTCTTTTAGCCGACTAAACCAAAGCACTACACACAACTATACTGGCCTATGACAAGGTTTTAAGTACAGGGAATTATGAATCTCTTGATTTTTTGCCAACAGAAAAGCAGGGTGTGACTGAGCGCTGTAGTTTTGAAAATGGTCGGTGCTATTGGTCAAATGGTGCGGCCGAACAGCCTGTGGCAAAGTGGACTCTCCTCACGGGACAGAGGGGCTGGCCCGAGCTCGGACCTCCACGGGACCACACCAAAAACTCTGCAGCAGGTCCGGCATGTGCACGCAGTTTGACCCTTGTGCTCTCCTGGGGTCATATTGACTCACCACAGATGATTAAAAGTAAAAGAAAAATGCCCTAGATCAGGGTCTCAAATGGTATAAATGACCCAGAGCTGGTCAAGTTACGAAAAAGCATCAAACCTTTTTAATCCTGTGGCGGATCAATTTGACCCCATGATAGCACGAGGTTTAAACAGCTGATGATCTGTTTGTTTATAATGTTTGTGTGTGATTATAGGACATTATTTGACCCCCAGTCAGAGGAAAGACCAGGCATCAGAGATGCTCTCCAGAACATTACTGCCAAGCTCCAACTGCACTGTGAGTTCACCAAATATTTAGACTTGTGTGGATGTGTCTGTTTTACATTGTACGTTTGAAGTTAAACTCGAGTGCCTCACTTGTTTTTTTAACAAATCAGCCAACATCTTTTTCTTCTTACTCTTCATCTTATTAGATACTTATTAGATTAGTAAAACATGTTATATTTTACATACATCTGATTGGCTTCGAGAGGGCTGGAAATGTTGAATTTTTGTCTATTACCTGCTCTGTTGCTTTTTTGAAGAAATATTACATGAATTAAATAAATTACACAAGAACATGCAGTCGGAGGTCACATATCATTGTAAATTGTAAATTTTTCCTTCGTCAGATCAATAGCTAATTTTATCTTTTCTTAACCCGCCAACACAAAGAATCATTGCACAAATCACACCCCATCTACACACAACAATACCTCCTGGAGATATTCTCAATCCTGCCTGCAAACACACACACGCATGGAGATGATTGCAATAAAGTATTAGTTGCCACCATGAATGTTGGATTTCTTCGGCCCCAGGTGCGGTTCTTTTACCACAGTCTGTCCGCTGCTGGAGGGAGTCTCACACTTCGATCCAGGACTCAAAGGAGCGCTGCAGGCGATGTTGTTGTGTGGAGTAGAAAAAAACATCACAGCTACAACTGGCAAAGAGCAGAGGCCACATTCTCACCCTCAGCCAAGAGCAAGGTCAGTCATCTACAACATCATGTATCATAGAATATTAACTTTAAACTGATTTTACACCAAAACTGAAACCATTTCTTTCAAAGCAAAATTCTATATAATTTTTTTCCCATACAAAATTAGTTTTGTCTTTTTTTTGTCCTTGTTTTGTGATTTTATGTTTGTATTGCAGCATAGATGTGGTTTACTACTTGAATTTTCTAGAATAAAAAACCATGCTCTAATATATATATATATAGACCACAGTCTGGCCAACGACCTGAACAGGTTTTTCAGCTGCTTCGACGCTGCCCCGGACACCTCCCCCATTACTCTAATGACCCACCCATCAGCTCTGCCCCCACCCTGACAATAGCCTCTAAATCCATCAAACAACTCTTCTTGAGGCTGCACCCCCAAAAAGCTCCTGGCCCGGACCACGTGTCTCCAGCCACTCTGAGACACTGCGCTAGTGAGCTAACTCCTGTGTTCACTGACATTTTCAACTCCTCTCTGCAGTCCTGCCATGTCCCAGCCTGCTTCAAATCCTCCATAATTGTCCCCGTCCCGAAGAAGCCCAGGATCACAGGACTCAATGACTACAGACATGTAGCAATTACGTCTGTCGTCATGAAGTCATTTGAGCGCCTGGTCCTTCCCCTCCCCCCTCCTGGACCCCCTGCAGTTCGCCTACAGAGCCAACAGATCTGTAGACGACGCCATTAACCTGGCCCTCCACCACATCCTACAGCATCTGGACTCCCCGGGGACCTACTCCAGGGTCCTGTTCGCGGACTTCAGCTCTGCTTTCAACACCATCCTGCTATCCCTGCTCCAGCACAAGCTCTCCCAGCTCAACGTGCCCGATTCCGCCTGCAGGTGGATCACTGACTTCCTGACAGACAGGGAGCAGCGAGTGCGTCTGGGGAAGAATGTCTCGGACTCTGGGATTATAAATACAGTACAGGAGCCCCACAGGGCTGTGTTCTTTCTCCCCTGCTCTTCTCCCTGTACACCAACCACTGCATCTGCAGCCACGACTCCGTGAAGCTGCTCAAGTTCGCGGATGACACCACCCTCATTGGTCTCATCTCCAACAACGATGAGTCCGCCTACAGGAGGGAGGTGGACCGGCTGGTGTCCTGGTGCAGTGGCAACAACCTGGAGCTGAACGCCCAGAAGACAGTAGATCAGAGGTCTCCAACCTGTGGCTCGGGAGCTACCAGTAGCTCGCCAGCCCCTTTCAGGTAGCTCGCCAAAGGATTTAGAATTGAATAAATGATCTTGAATTAATACATTTTGAGTAATTACATTAAGTATAAATAGGTTTATACAGTATCATGGTGTGTATTATCCATGTTTTGTCGTAATTCTTGCATAGATTTTTTATTATAAGTAGCTCTCTGCCTCTTTTTTGTATAAAAGTAGCTCTCCGATTGAATAAGGTTGGAGACCCCTGCAGTAGATGATTGTGGACTTCAGAAAGAGCACTGTCCCCTCGCCCCCACCCTCCGTGATGGACTCCCCCATCACCTCTGTGGAGTCCTTCCGTTTCCTGGGCACCACCATCACCCAGTAGATCAAGTGGGAGCCGACCATCAGCTCCCTCATCAAGAAGGCCCAGCAGAGGATGTACTTCCTGCGGCAGCTCAGGAAAGCCAAGCTGCCTGCACAGATGTTGGTGCAGTTCTAAACGGCCATCATCGAGTCCATCCTCACCTCCTCCATCACCGTGTGGTTCGCTGGAGCCAGAGTCAGGGACAAACAGAGACTACAGCGCATCGTGCGCTCTGCAGAGAAGGTGATCGGCCCCAGACTTCCATCGCTGTTGTACCTGTATGTCGCCCGAGCTCGAGGCCGGGCTGGTCGTATCACAGCCGACCCCTCTCACCCTGCACATGGACTATTCCAACCACTCCCCTCAGGCAGGAGACTGCAGTCCATCAGGACCAGAACCTCCCGCCACAAGAACAGTTTCTTCCCCTCTGCTGTTGGACTCTTGAACACTTCTTAACCTCACTGCCCTCTAGAAGTCCCCTACTGCTCTTTATAAAGTCACTTTACTGCCCTTTTTAATGTCACTTTACTGCGCATCATACGTCACTTTACCTCACTGTACTGCTGTCACCTTACATTGTGTGCACCATGTGCTCTGTATATTGTTTTTAGTAATTGTAACTCTATTTTTATTTTAATTTTAAATGTATTCCTTAAAAGTGTTTTTTATTCTTTATTTTTTATTCTCTCTTTCTGACTGTTGCACTGAGCCGAAGCAATTTCCAAGTCTGTGACCTCCTGTTACTTACGTGGTAATAAAAATGATTCTGTGTATATATATATATATATATATATGTATGAAAATTGTCCACTCACCTTTGGCCTTCCGCGGGCGGTTATCCCTCTCTAAGCTCGGGTCCTCTACCAGAGGCCAGGGAGCTTGAGGGTTCTGCGCAGTATCTTTGCTGTTCCTAGCACTGCACATTTCTGGACCGAGATGTCCGAGGTTGTTCCGGGGATCCGCTGTAACCACTCATCTAGCTTCGGGGTCACTGCCCCGAGTGCACCGATCACCACGGGCACTACTGTCACCTTTACCCTCCAGGCCCTCTCCAGCTCCTCTCTGAGACCTTGGTATTTCTCAAGCTTTTCATGTTCTTTTTTCCGGATGTTACCATCGCTTGGAATTGCCACGTCCACCACCACGGCTGTCCTCTGCCCTTTGTCTACCACCACGATATCAGGTTGGTTTGCCATTACCATTCGGTCGGTCTGTATCTGGAAGTCCCACAGGATCTTCGCACGCTCATTCTCCACCACCTTTGGAGGAGTTTCCCACTTAGACCTTGGGGTTTCCAGCCCATACTCTCCACAGATGTTTCTGTACACTATGCCAGCCACTTGGTTATGGCGTTCCATGTAGGCCTTCCCTGCCAGCATCTTGCACCCTGCAGTTATGTGTTGGATCGTCTCAGGTGCCTCTTTGCACAACCGACACCTTGGGTCTTGTCTGGTGTGGTATATCTGGGCCTCTATCGCTCTGGTGCTCAGTGCCTGTTCCTGTGCAGCCATGATGAGTGCCTCTGTGCTGTCCTGTAGGCCAGCCCTTTCTAGCCATTGGTAGGACTTCTTGAGATCAGCCACTTCTGTTATGCTCCGGTGGTACATGCCGTGTAGGGGCTTGTTCTCCCATGATGGGCTCTCCTCCAGCACCTCCTCATCTCGCCACTGCCTGAGACATTCACTGAGTACGTCATCCGTTTTGGCCTTCTCCATGATGTAGTTATGGAGTTTGGATGTTTCGTCCTGGACAGTGGCTCTCACACTCACTAGTCCTCGGCCTCCTTCTTTACGGCTTACGTACAGTCTCAGGGTGCTGGATTTGGGATGGAACCCGCCATGCATGGTAAGGAGCTTTCGAGTTTTAACATCCGTGGTCTGAATCTCTTCCTTTGGCCACCTGATTATTCCTGCAGGGTATCTGATCACTGGCAGGGCGTAGCTGTTAATTGCCCGGGCCTTGTTCTTGCCATTGAGCCGGCTTCTTAGGACCTGCCTTACTCGCTGGAGGTATTTGGCAGTTGCCGCTTTCCTCGTCACCTGTTCGAGGTTGCCATTTGCCTGTGGTATACCGAGATACTTGTAACTGTCCTCAACGTCTGCTATTGTTCCCTCTGGGAGTGAGATCCCTTCTGTGTGGACTACCTTGCCTCTCCGAGTCACCATCCTGCTACATTTCTCGAGCCCGAATGACATCCCGATGTCATGGCTGTAGATGCTGGTTGTTTGGATCAGAGAGTCGATGTCTCTCTCGCTCTTGGCGTACAGCTTGTTGTCATCCATGTAGAGGAGGTGACTGATCTTTGCTCCGTTCCTGAGGCGGTATCCATAGCCAGTCTGGTCAATTACTTGGCTTAGAGGGTTGAGGCCTATGCAGAACAGTAGTGGGGACAGAGCATCTCCTTGGTAGATACCACATTTGATGGTCACTTGTGCGAGCGGCTTGCCATTTGCCTCAAGGGTGGTCTTCCACATTCCCATCGAGTTTGCAACAAAGTCCCTTAGAGCCCTGTTGATATTGTACAACGTCAAGCATTCCATGATCCATGTGTGTGGCATTGAGTCGTAGGCTTTCTGGTAATCAATCCAGGCTGTGCACAGGTTGGTGTGTCGTGACCAGCAGTCTTGGGCGACTGTTCTGTCAACCAGGAGCTGGTGTTTGGCTCCTCTGGTGTCCCTACCAATGCCCTTCTGTGCTGTGCTCATGAATTGTTCCATATGCCCACTTATCTTAGCCGCAATGATGCCTGACATGAGCTTCCATGTTGTGGAGAGACAGGTTATTGGCCGGTAGTTGGAGGGGACTGCACCCTTGACAGGGTCCTTCATGATCAGGACCGTTCGCCCTTCGGTTAGCCATTCTGGGTGAGTCCCATCTCTCAGCAGCTGGTTCATTTGTGCTGCTAGGCGCTCATGGAGTGATGTGAGTGTCCTGTGAGTGTCCAGTAGGCATGGACCATATCAGGGCCAGGTTCATACCTGAGACTCTTTCTCGGATGTCTGCCTCTGTGATGGTAACTGAGTTCTGTTCTGGGAGGTGGCTGTGCTCCTCTCTCAGGGACACCAGCCATTGTGCACTTCTGTTATGTGCTGCATCCTTCTCCCATATGTTCCTCCAGAACTGTTCAGTTTCCAGCCTCGGTGGATCTGCTCCCCTGTTGTTACCCTGCCACTGAGCGTACACCTTCGCAGGTTGTGTTGCGAATAGCCTGTTCACCCTTCTGGCTTCATTCTCTTTAGTGTACCTCTGTAGGCGGCTGGCCAGGGCTTGGAGCCTTTGTTTCGAGTGCTTCAGGTATGGTCATCTGGCTGTACTTTCTGGGTACTGGTCTTTTCATTGCACCTCTCTGGGCCTCTGTTAATTGACTCACTTCTCTCCGAGCCGCCTTGATCTTAGCCTCCAACCGTCTTTTCCATGGTGGGTATTGTCCATGGCTCCCATGGTTGCTCTTATAGCCAAGCATCTCTAGGATCACTGCTGCTGAAGTGTATATCAGCTCATTGGTTTCAGTGATTGTGGTGGTAGGTATTGCCCTCACTGCTGCATTCACGCTTTCTATGAGATCCTTAGGTGGTACTTCACACAACCGCTGTAACCGGTGTCTTTGCCCTGTGCCCATTCTAGCCATGATCTTAGCTTTCAGGTCAGTCGCTGCCTCGTTCAGCGTTATCGGTTCCATTGGGGCTATGTACCCAATATCTGGTTGGGGAGTTGCAGTTGGTGGGATCTCCCCTCTGACCTCAGCAACTGTGGCATCATACATATGTTGTACTTCATCAATCTCAAGCTGTGATAGCAGTTGCCGTTTGTGGATGTTGGAGCATTGAGCTACCAGTTGTTTCGGGGTCAACTGTGACTGTGGGTTTCGAAGTAACCATTCAGCCCACATTCTCTGCATATAACCTCTTTGGCCAGAGGTTATATGCAGAGATCAAAAGGCCAGCGGGGAGGTGGTTAGTGCTGTGATCTTGCTCTAACAGTAGTGTCTGTGTGGTGTACTCTTTACTTTTTGGGCCGGTAGCTGGGACCATAACAGTTGTGCCTGCAGGGATCAAGAGTGGTCCAGTAGATTGTACCCGCAGTTGACCAGCAGTCCCATCTCCAGTTTCCAGCAGGTGGCACTGTTGAAGAGCTTCTCTCCAGCCAGGAACTGCTTGTGCGACCTCAGGGATGGTGAACATTGCAACGCCATGCTCCCTGTAGAGGTTGTCATAGAGTCTCTGAATAATGTTCATGCCAAGAAGTCCTGGGACATGCCGCTTTTGTCTTGAGAAAGCAGTAAGTCCGTGTGGATCCTTAACAATTAGTATTCCACATGCTGGTAGAGTCCTTCCCAGGACAGTCACGTCCACCTCTACATAGCCATGGTAAGGAATGGCGAGTCCATTTGCAGCTGTCAAATTAAGCCACCTACAGTTATTGATAGCATGCTTACTTGGAAACTGTGTGTGATAGTAGTCACATTTGAACCTGTGTCTAATAGCGCTGGTACTTTCACACCATTTATTGCCAGGTCCACAACTGAGCAGGGGCCCACCAGTTGCTGTAGAAGTTTAGGAGGCACTGGTGTAGAGCCAAGGTCAACTCCTTCTGATGTCTGGCTCAAAACAACAGAAGGTGAGAGTTTTCCGACGACTCTGAGCGAATTGATTGCACTACCGGCCTTTCCTGATGTGAATCACTTGGCAGTGGCTGTCTGCAGTAACGGGCAATGTGGCCCACTTTGTCACACCTGAGAATTTTTTTAGCTGTTGACCATTTTGAAGGATTCGGTTTTAAACTGGTTTGCAATGATTGAAGCTGCTCAGTTAATGTAGCGATTTGAGTCTGTTGCTGTTTTAAGAGCTCAGCAATAGTCTGGATCTCTGTGGATGGTTTTTGCGCTATAGGGGCAGCAGGTCTCACATAACTACTAGCCTCATTACAGTCATAGGATAACTGTGTGTGAGCATCTCCATCAATATTTTCCGACCATCTAATGGCTTCTTCACGAACCTCTATCGATGACATTCTTGGGTCCTGTTTTACCACATCCTTCAGATGGCGTCGTAGCATTCCATTCTTACATGCTCCACAAACTGGTCCCTAAGCATCGTTTGTTGATTAGGAACGGCGTCAGGATTGCTGTCGAGGACACAGTCCATCAAAGTCATTAAAACATGTGAGAATTTCCTGAGTGACTCTCCGTGCTGTTGTTTACGATCGTAAAACTGTTTTAAAAGCACTACCAAAGGTTTTTAACCACTATATAATTATTTAAGAATGGCCACAATTCTAATGGGATTCTCTCTATCACAAAATGGACGGTGCCTAATCTTATTACGTGGCTCCCCACCCAGGTGGTCCAACATAAATACAGATTTCTCCTTGTCTGAGAGGTGTCTGCCTTCAAGACAAGCATCCACTTCCTCAATCCAGTCTTCCAAACGGACACTATCTGGAGAGTCTTTAAAACCATAGAATTTAGGGCACCTTCTTTCACGAGGTATATACACAGTTCTGTCCACTCTAGGGCTGGCAGTGGCCATAGACCTTTTGAACTGGTCATTCTTAGCTTGCAAAGTTTTTAGTTGGTGGTGTATGGCTTGTAATTTGTCGTCAAAGCCAGGCATCCTTTTTTGTTTTATAGGCCAAGCTGTGTTTAAATAACAATCCTTTTAGATTGTAGCTTCTTCTGGAGCTCGTCTGTAGGTTGGGAGGAGTAGGTCTCTCCAAACTTCTGTGCTGATTGCCGTTTACATGAAACTAAACTACTCTGGGATAAAAGAGTAAAAAAAAAAGAATCAATATAATGACCACACTCTGACTGCTCAATCCTGCGAGCAACGCCAAATGTAACACTGTAGTGTTGTAGAATGCAGGTGAGCTTCAATAACAAAGCCAGACAGTCAGTGTGGGTCCAACAGCCCTATGGCAGCTTTTATTTACATTACATAAGTATATTAAAAACAGCAAATGGGACTATTGAACTAAAGCAGTGAAACTTGAAGCTGGGGTGAGGAGCAGTCTATATGAAAAGCAAACACAAAAGTAAACAGAAATCCATCCCCACAACAGAAATCACCATAAACATACATGTGCCACCTACACCAAAACTACAAACAAAGCCACCACTTAAAGTGAGCCCTGTCACCCCAGCTATCAACAAAGTAACTCTACACAAACTAAAATAAGCAAAATATAAATATAAAGTAAACGGCAACCAGCACTGGGCCTATGAATAAAACCCAGTGCAATTAATACAATTAATTATAAAATACAAACAAGATTTATAAAAGCATACCTCAACAAGACAGGACTGTTGTAACCCTTAAAAAACATTAACAAAGTATTTTTAAAATATACAATCAATACAAATATAAAAACACTCTAAACACTTTCAGCTCACCAGAGTCTGATTGTGAACAGGCTGGCTCAGGAAGAGGAAGTGAGCCCTGGTTGCCTGTCTTTTAAAGCCTTGGTCATGTGACCAGGCCACACCCATGACCACACCTACACCTGCCACATATATATATACCTTTTTTTTTAGGTGGTCTTTCATTATGAACATGCAGAAGAGCCTAATGGCCTTGTGGCTGTGGACGACGTCTCTTTCTCTGGGGCGTGTCTGTTTGATCCGGTGAATTCCGAGCTGCCGGACGCTCTGACCACTTCAGCTCCTCTTCCCTCCAGCAGCATGACTCCTGCCACCACCGCCCCTGTGCGCCCATGCCAGGTGAAGATCAGGGCATTACACTTTGCATTTAGATCTATTAAATTAAGATGAATATTTGATTCTGTTGCAGGAAAATGAGTTTTTCTGTTTGTTGTCCGCTGGTACAGTTTGTGTGAATGCAAGTGCACAGTGTGACTATCACAAAGACTGTCCACAAGGAGAGGATGAGCGCGGGTGTGGTGAGTCTGACTAAACAAAGCCTTTGCAGTAGTCCCTGATGAAGTCTGTGAAGTAGCATCTGTATATTTTGAGGCTGAAAAACCCCTAACCACACGCTTTCTAACCACCTGAACTGAGGACTGCTGAGGTGCGATCACAGCAAAATCAAATCTGTTGGTTGTTGATCTGAGTGCTGCTGTATCTTTCAAAAGCCGTGCATATAATGGAAAATAAAGCTGCTGAGGACACAGGAGCAGGGACTGAGGGCTACAGGAAAACCACAGTATTCCTCTGAACCAATCACAGCAGTGCCACAAAATTGCCTTCTGACTTTAAATGATCAATTATAGGATAGGCTATAGGATATTGGACATGATGTTGTTGGAGTATACACACAGCACGTGAAAAAAGCATGCAACATTGCACACACAAAACTCTTAAAAATAGTGTTGCTGCTAAATGGGTGAGAGACCAGTGCATATGGTGCTCATAACACATAGCACCTTCTTAACACGCTGCCTCTTTATCTTTAGTCATGACTCTGGGCACCAGCAGGAGGTCAGTCCCTGTGCTCCCCAGAGTCCAAGCAAGAGGCCAGTCCCTGTGTTCCCCAGAGTCCAAGCAAGAGGCCAGTCCCTCGGACTCCAGATCCTCAAGAGTCCAAGTTGGTTTATATGGCACTAACATGTCACAGATGTTCTTTGTTGCGAGGCCATGGAGAAACTTGTAAACAAGCAGAGCTGTTTTAAAGTCTTTTCTCTGAGCCAGTCTTTTAGTCACAGGATCAATCCATCGCAATCATGTGTAGGGAATCAACAAATTATGCAATACACATTACGTAACGCTGAGCATTCAGAATAATCAAATGAAGAGCAACAGATTCAACTTAGGCAACTGTGATCAAAATTTGACATCCTTCTGTCAGTGCTGTTCATGAGTAATATTGAAATGGTCTTATTTCTAGGCCCATGTACATTTGAAAGTGATGAATGCGGTTGGACTGACATTACTGAAGGACCAACCAAATGGAGGAGGGTTAAGTCCAGTGAGACCTTGGTGCCCTCAACCGATCACACCACTGGAACAGGTGACATTTCTTTTATCTTTAAACAAGAAGCATTATGTTATTCTTGAGGCCAAACTCTGCACCTACTGCAGTTTGCTAATCCAACATTGAAATTGCATTGTCTCCTCTTTTCCCAGGCTTCTACATAAAAGTGGATTTCAGTGAGTCTCCATCACAAACAGAAGTCCGTTTACAAAGTCCCTCTCTTTCTCCTGGATCTGCATATTGTCAGCTGCGGTGAGACATACAACATATTTATGGTGGAAAACATATCCAGGACATATTGCATCATAAACCGTCATTTATAACCAGGGAAAAATCACAAATGCTCTTTGAAACCCAAAATCTTTGGGCAACAACAACATTTGGAGGATAGGAATGTCTATTGAAATTTACTGAAGCACTTGCTATGAATCCCAAATTTGATTAATTAATTAACTAAATTTATTTTTAACAAGTCGAGCATTTGAAACGGGCATCTCTAACACCAAATGTGCCATTGAGATCATAAACACTTTAGCTCCACCAATACAGACATGCTGTTCCTCATTGTGAAGCTCAAAACCTCCAGTTAATAACTTTATTTGTATAAACTGACAATTGTCTTTTAAGAGATTAAGACATCTTTATTTGTCCCGTAGTGGGGACATTTCAGTGTTGCATCACCAGTTACAGGACAGTAGGAATGTGGAGCACACAACAATAACTCTAATAACTCTAATAAAATAAAATCTCTGACTTTAGTAAAATAAAGCAGCAAGAATAACATCTGTAGCTTTAACATAATAAGGAAGCAACTATATCATGTGTATACGTTTACATGGACACATGTTGATTAATGTGCACTATCCCATTCAAATAACCAAATCAATATTCCAGAGGTAGAAATATGGAGTTGTATGTAAACATCTGTACATGTTAGAAGCAAGTGACTCAGTACGGTGACATTGGACACATGTGGTTCTATATTGCACGGATGCACAACATTTTGACTTTGTCCCAATTATTTCAATTTGATAATGTATATAATATATATAACTATAGCTCACCCTTGACAAGTCGGGTGTCTACTACAAAGTTTGAGCACACCTGTTTTAAAATGAATGAATAGTTATTCTGTATATCTGATTATAAGCACGTGCTTCCATTGACACAGGTTTATCTGCATACAATTGCGGACAATCTCGATTACATTTAATTACTAGCACAGCTCTACCGTCTCGGTTTCATGGTGTTAATGTAAGAAGTAGGGCTGTATTCCTCTTAAACTTTCTATTGCTCAATGCTCATCCAAAAACCATGCAACTTACTTCTCAAACAACACACTCAACTCCGGCTCTTCCTTCCTTGTTTTCCTTGTCAGGTTTCACTTCTTCATATCGGCTGAGGCTTCTGGGTCACTAAACGTGCTTACGCAGCAACAAGAAGGTGAAGCAATCCTGTGGTCACGCAATCACAGCACCAGAGCACAGTGGACGACTGAAAATCTCATGCTCGGACCACAGCAAAGCAGCTATAAGGTGGATACTCTTGAACGCAATCAAGACACAGTAACAATCAGGGAAGAGTGGAATGAGTCCTACAGGAGAAACTCGGAAAATCAGAATACGGTTCAAAAGTTCATATATTTCTGCAATTCTACAAACCATATTATGTTATAGACTCTCTCTGTAAAGTGATATAAGCCGAGTATCTGATATTTTGATGTAGGGATTTAAATCGGTGACTGTTTCACTGGTGGTTGACCGTGGCAGCGTTAGCCGGTCAAAGCTGTTGGTTAAAAAAAGATGTATTATTGCATTTAACCGATAAATTACGTTTTAATATACTAGAAAATATGTCTATAGGAAATTAACAATAAAGTCCCAAAAACACTGGCCTTCTACGAAGGAGGCACAAATTAATGTGTAAAAAAAAGAAAAATTGCCGTCCTGCGCTCGAGCCTTAGTCAAATTACCTGGTCGGATAGTTTGGATGCTTTCTAGGCAATCCTGGACGTGCCATGTGCAGGCAGGTTTGGGTCCGCCCAGCACAGAAGGGGGGGAAGATTGAAAAAAGCAGCTATCTCTGCGCAAAGGTGCCGAAGCTGTTTCAGGTTTTGTTCTGGTGTCTCGGCTCTGATCCAGCACATATGGCTGCAACATATAACCATCAACATCTCACCTCAAATATAATTACAAGTGACATCCGTGTCCAAATTTGTTTGTTTATGAACTTTTATAGCAATTCACGGACTTTATGTCAGCCATATTGGTTTGTTTTGGCTGCCGTCAGAAGCACATGCGCAGGTTTGCATTATATCATAAACAGCTGTGTATCTCGGCAAGTCAGTGCAAACCGACGTTACATCGGGCAACGTCACTGATTTTGTCAAAGTGCTATCCATATAAGAGTACTTACTTAGTTATATTATGCAGGTACAGTATTTTGCTACAAACATTTTCAGAACACAGCATTGGCTAAGATAAACAAACGCATTATTATTGTATGTTTTGGCAGTTTGTGAAATTCCAACATTCAACATTCCTCAGAAAACAGGCACACTGTTGTCATTTTAATCTTTTTCCCCTTCTTTTTACAGCTCTGGTTCAGCAGCGGAAATGATGGAACCATACATAAAGATTTAGTTGTAGCTTTGGATGATCTTTCCTTCATCAACTGTGAGAAGTCTTACCAACCACCAGGTAAGTGTCTTTTTCTGTGAACTCCCCCAGAGCCATAGTGTCCTTTTAGTTTTCCTGTGCTATTGGAAGCCATTAGTAGGATGGATTGTCTCAGCAAAGAACAAGAGCTCACTGTAACGCATTGAGACTAGCTTTGTGAACATTGAATTATCGGCCCTCTAATGAGCACAATGTATATGCAGTTTTATATATTTAGGTTGAAAGAACGTGTCCATATTTGTGTGTGTCGTTAGATTAACTTTATTACATTTGAAACTACCTGATTTCAATGTTTTTTGTTATTTTATTTTTTTCCCATAGCTTTGCCTTCACTTGGCTGCTCATTCGAAGACGGCCTTTGCACATGGTCACAAGGAGCTGAGGATAATTTGGACTGGACTCTTGGCTCTGGTCCGACTGGAACTCCTAACACTGGGCCCACTGGGGACCACACCACTGGAAAAGGTTTCAATTAAAAACAAGGGGAAAATATGTGTTAATCTGCTGCAAATGGCTGAAAATATTTATTTACATACAGGGAAATATCTTTACATGAAGACATCATCAGCAGATCAGAAAGGGAGCAAGGCACAGCTGAAGTCTACAGGGCTGCCCTCTGCTGCTGATGAGGGGTATTGCTTTAGCTTCTGGTACCACATGTTTGGGCCAACAGTGGGCTCCTTGAAGATGTTCTTACAAAACACAGACCCAATGGAGAAAACGCTGGTAAAGCACTGTCATAACTGGTATATTTAGTTTTTTAAGCATTTAGTATTTGTAAAATTATAGATTTCAATAATCAAGGTCCGTCCCACTTTGCCACCATTATCTACTATAGTACACTATTATCATAGATAGCAATTATGTTATATACTATCATCTGTTAAATAATGTGTCATCTTCAGTTTGTATTTTACAATTCATCTTGATAGAACTCTTGCCAAATAACGCACAGGTTAGCTCTTTTCACTTTGGAACAACTTCCTTTTGGGACTGTATAAGCAATTGAGAAACACAGGGCTCCTCTGTCCTTTTATAATTTCATAATTGTGAAACCCTCGTTGCTTAAGACGCATCCGACTCACATCCTCATTGTGTCGAGTGAAACAGCCTCCTGTGCTTCCTGTAGGTGTGGCAGAAGTCCGGGAACCATGGCGACCAGTGGTTGCTCATGCAAAGTCATGTGACGGCGAGGAAGCAACATCAGGTGGTGCTGGAGGCGACCGTAGGAGGCGCAGCGGGAGACGTAGCCATAGACGACCTCTCCTTTACACCTGGGCCGTGCCCTGACTATGGTATTAAACATTATCTTCTTCATAAGGGATTTCTGAAGTTCAAATATAGTTCATGCAATCTGTAGTTTTATGCAAAGTACAAAGTATGCAATTGTCTGTCTTTATCATATGTTTGAGAAGTTTCACATGACTCAAACTGGGACCAAAGGAGAACTGTGTGTTCAATCCACTCAGAACTCAGAGGGGAGCGTGGGGAGAATGTGGGAACCAGCAAGTTTTATTTATTCATTATTTATTTGTTTGATTGGGCCATTGCACAATAAATGTGTAGTAGAGACCGGACAGAGATACAAGCTAATTATCATCCATAGTCCCAAGACAAAGTCACAGGAGGCAAAGTGACAAGTCACAGTCTCCTCTTGATTACAATGGCACAAGACAACAATAACAGTCTGTGTTAATTCTATTCTATTTGGTTCATGCCATTAATATTTGAAGATGGGGACCAAATGTATACTCATTGATATTCTTTATGTAGTTCTTCATATTCTCCATGTCGAGGTGAGCCATCTGCAGTGTCTTCTGTGCCTGTTTTGGCGCCTCCTGTACGTCTTTGTATGAGCACTTCCTACAGGCCTGGGGACACCTCCTGATTCCCCTGGAGGAGTTGGAGATGTGTGTGGAGAGGGATGTCTGGATTTCTCCACTTACTGTATCTTAGGGTGTCTTGCTACTCACAGCTGGAATTTTTTTCAGATTGTAGGAGACATTCAACATTCAAGCATGTATATACTATAAAATTCACTTCATACAGTTGTCAGTAGTAACTCTTGTTTTCCCATCTGTAACAACGGAAATGATCGCGCCGTGAAGGCATGGCAAAACAAAGGTAGAAACAGAGATACAATCCTTTAGTTGTATGCACAGCTACATTAACCTGGATTTGAACATTGTCAGAGTAGAAGCCTGTCTCACATTTTCAGTAAGGCTGTTCCAGATTTTGTCTGCATACATCTAAAATGCTCCATCCCCATGTTTAGTCCTGACTCTGGGCACCAGCAGGAGGCCAGTCCTTGTGTCCCTGTGAGTCCGAGGTGAACGGGTGTATTGAATGAATACAACTGAAGGTACACGACGACAAACAATAATATGCTAAAATAAACCGCACTAACAATAAAAATGAAACAATTTATTTTTTACTAATATAGTAAAAGTATATCATAGTAAATATAGTAGTATAGTATACCAGAATAAACTAATACTACTCACTATACAGTACTTTTGTTGGTGTAGTAATTGCTAGATATACGGACAGTGCCACACGTGTGAGATATGTGTTTTGTGCTGTAGATGTGTGTGACTTTGAGGAGGACAGTTGTGGCTGGGCAGGGGACAGCGCTGGTGACTTTACGTGGATCAGACAAAATGGCTCCTCACAAAACTCTGGCCCCAACAGCGACCACACGACCAACACTCCCATGGGACATTACTACTACCTCTCCCCTACATGGGGCGATCAAACAGGACACACCGCTTCAATCTCGTCTCCTCTGTATCCGCCCGGTGAGAACTGCTCCAATTACACACTTTCTCGTCTCTATTGAGATATATGTTTTCGCATATTGACAGGGCAATAAGTGAATGAAAGAGGAACTAGCCATCCGGTGAAGCTCTCAGGCAACATCTGCATGGAACTAAACAACTCTAAACTATTTTTTTTAAGTCTCTCATTGAGCATTCCATAATTTACAGTTCTTTAGTGCAGTCTCCATAAATATTCTCATGTAATTTTTGTTTAAAATTAAAAAGAAAAATGGCATGACATATTGGGGTTACCGTTTAGCAGGTACCAGTATGAACAACATCAAGGATTGAGGATTGTAAACCAAATGTGCTGATGAATACAATCTTTATTTTCTCTTTCATTTGTTTTCCTCTCAGATGCCGGCTCTTGTCTGCAGCTCTGGTACCACATGTTTGGAAAAGACGTTGGGACTCTGAATATTTACCAGAGGAGTGCAGACGAGGCTAAATCCGTGCTACTGTTCTCCCAGACCGGAGACCATGGCTCAATGTGGAGATCTGCTCAGGCCGCTCTGCTGCCCCGAGTCCAGCCCTACAGGGTGAGGAGGGGGTGGAGGAAGGGGATCGGTTGTATTGTGTAACATATTGGTCAGAATTACCGATTTAAACAAGGTAATACATCTAACTTGTCTTTCAAAAGAACCACAAAAAGTATTTCAACTCAAGACAAAATTAACCTTTTTGAATGACCAATTCTCGTTGGTTTTTAATTAAACACACAACCACAGCACCTGCTTCTATTCACTTCGACAAAATGCCTGAGTATTGTAGCGCCACTTGCATCTGAAAGCCTGATCCTGTCAGACCTCAGAAGCTAAGAAGTTAGTATTCGTGATGGGCACCGGTGTTACTGTAGCTGTGGCTGTAAAAAATCAAACTGTTGTTGTGGCCAATTATATCCTCCACATTATCTAATTTGCTGCTATAACCAATATAGATTGAAAACACAATCATTTTTAGATTGTCTGTTATAACTAATAGATCATTTTGACACAAAACTACATTCTAAACAAACCAGAAAAAACTGTAGACTGTATCGTACAACAGGAAAACTAATTTAAATGGCATATACACTAAACACCAAAAACAACTGTCCGGTCTTTTTCATGGTAAACACATTGAAACCTCTGACCCGTATGCCCCTCATGTGAATGCTGCTGTGAGTGAGTTGTGCTATTGTGCGTCAGATTGTGGTGGAGGGCATTGCACTGGGACCATCTCACAACGGTGGTATCGCCTTTGATGACGTACATTTGACGGACACTCACTGTCCACCTCCGGGACACTGCGACTTTGAGACCAGCCTCTGCAGCTGGACTAACGTGGGGCAGATAGACCAGACCGACTGGCTCAGAGGCACAGGAGCAGGACCGGACTCTACGGGACCACCTGTAGATCACACCACCAACTCCTCCAGTGGTCAGTACTCATGCAAGTGCTGGTACAGAAGTAAAGTATTAATTTTAAATATGTAATTTTTTATTATTTATTATTATTATTTGACTGACTAAAGTGTCATGTACTGTTTATGCTTTATATTTTTAAACATAATATTTTTTACAAATAGAAATCACAGTCATAGGAAGAACCTGAAAGCCTGTATCCACCTCAGCATCTTTCTCTCTAGTAGAAGATTCCCTTATGAACAAATTGAATATCTTGCTTTTTTTGTAGAGACTTTCCGTCAGGAATATGAAGCATCTCTTGAATCATTGATGAGCTGCTGTTCATTACAGGTCATTACGTGTACACTGACAGCTCTGTGGGACATTGGGGAGATCAGGCTTTTCTCATCAGTGAAGTGTTTCAGCCGTCCACCAGAGGGCACTGCATCACATTCTGGTACCACATGTACAGAGAACATGTTGGCACGCTCAGGCTTCACATCAATGACAGGTAACTTTTGGAAATCATCTTAAAACAAAGGCTTACACATAAGTGTAGCAGATTTGGATATTTTACATCCAAATCCACATTTTTGTTAGGCTTCTGGTATGGCAAGTTTATTTGTATAGCACAGTTCATACACAAGTCAACTCAAAGGTGCTTAACAAAGCAATCACAATGCATTACAATCATAAATCACCGCAGTACATTATAAAGAGTGTTGTATGCACAGCTAAACATAACTGTTTTGTCTTAGCCATCTGTAAACTCCAGTCAATAATTATTTTCCAATGAAATGTGTACGATTGTGTGGTAAGAACAGGCTAGGATAAATCTGTGTTTATTTTCATTAGCTATAGACTGTCTATTTTATTGTATTTTTTCCTATGCTTAATATTTGTAGGTTTCCTCACTAAAAACACGTTCAAAGAGGGGTCGCCTCCTGAATGGCGACCCCGCTTCCATCTCTCTGTGTGGAGTGAAAAATAAAAAAACAATTGTAAACCGCTTTGTGACTCTGGTCTGTGAAAGGCACTTTATGAATAAAGACTTACTTACTTAATATTCACTTATCTTGTGTAATAATAATGAAAATACATCTTGTTCCTAAATACTCAAGGCCGCCTTACATAGCAAATAAAATGGTGCGGGGGCTGACTCTAATAATGTAATACTACATGTAATTCTTCTCTTGTTTGTTTTGGTAGAACAACTCATGAGGCTGGAAATGTGGAGGGTTTGTTGAAGTGGGAGGAGAGCGCGAGCGAGGGACAGCGCTGGAAAGAGGCCAGTGTGACCATCAAACACCAGGATCCATTCTGGGTGAGACTACTCTCATTACAACTTATTATTCAATTTGGAGAGACGAGAAACGAAAATGGTTATGAGTATTTATTGAGGTGGTTTGGCGCCCTAGGCCCCGGTGCGGCCTTCAGATCGGAGAGGCTCCTGCGATGGAGCGCGTACAATCCCCCGGGACCTAGGCACTGGTGGCGGCATTTTGGCGGCATTTTGGCAGATTGGAGGCAGATTGGAGGCAGATTGGAGGCAGATTGGAGGCAGATTGGAGGCAGATTGGAGGCAGATTGGAGGCAGATTGGAGGCAGATTGGAGGCAGGGTGAAGAGGAGGAGGAGGGGAGGCGGTGGTTGCGAGGCTTCGAGAAGGCCGAGAGTGGGAGTTGCTCCGCTTTTAAGCGGCTGCCTGTCCAGCACGGATGATTGGAAGGGGGCGTTTGCTGAGCGATAGGCTGGGGAAGCGAACCGGCCTGGAGGGGGTAGCTTTTGGCTGACGTCTACCAAATTGAATTTTCGCGAGCTACATTTCAATTTGGAGAGACGAGAAACGAAAATGGTTATGAGTATTTATTGAGGTGGTTTGGCGCCCTAGGCCCCGGTGCGGCCTTCAGATCGGAGAGGCTCCTGCGATGGAGCGCGTACAATCCCCAAAAAGGCTGTGTGTGTTGATGGAGTTTTGCAGCCTGGTTTGCAGGGAACAGACGTCGTGGCTACTCTATGCTGTGACCGCTATCGCTATGCTGTGACCGCTATCGCTATGCTGTGACCGCTATCGCTATGCTGTGACCGCTATCGCTATGCTGTGACCGCTATCTCTATGCTGTGAACCGTTTTGCGCTAACCATTTTTCGCTATGCTGTGACCGCTAACACTAACGCTATGACCGCTACCACTGACGCTATGACCGCTATCACTGACGCTATGACCGCTATCACTGACGCTATGACCGCTATCACTGACGCTATGACCGCTATCACTGACGCTATGACCGCTATCACTGACGCTATGACCGCTATCACTATGTGCTGTGACCGTTATATGCGGTTATCTTTGAGTGCCGGGACGTGAGCACTCGCATCACGATCAACCGGACGCTGCGGCAGGGTTATCTTTGAGCGCTGGGACGTGAGCGCTCGCATCACGATCAACCAGACGCTGCGGCAGGGTTATCTTTGCGCGCTGGGAACGTGAGCGCTCGCATTACGTTCCGTCAGACGCTGCGGCAGCGGAGAGTGTTTGAGAGAAATGCGTGCCGCCACCAGAATCTTATTGGTTCACTTACTTTGTTTGAGATGAAGGTTGAAAGGGTCAGGGGACATAATGTTGGGTGAAAGAGAGCGACCTTTGTGTAAGCTTCCACTACGTCGAGATTATCACACATGACCGAGATCCTCTTTCTCCGCCACGCGTGATTCCACAGCGCGCAGGCCACGACCACTGGGAATATCTCGTGTAGGGCAGAGGAGATGCTCCGGTGGAAAGTAGCGGCCACGGCCCGGCAACCCAATGGTCCTGGAAGAATCCCCCAAAACCCACGGAAGGGGCAGCGTCCGTGTAGAAGCGGAGACCTGGAGGGGCAGAGACATGTCGGAGAGGGCCATTGATGTTGCAGGCGCCCTTACGCTTAGGATCTTGGGTTGGAGAGTAGGTAATCAGGACAGTAGGAAGGTCGGTAAAAGCCGTGTCTCGGACCGCACGAAGGTTGAGTGAGCAGTAGTAAAACGCTTATGCAGAGAAGCCATGGAAGGCGAGCAGGAAGATGCTGCGAGGAGGGCAGACATGTACTTGGAAGATGAGCCGAAGTTCAGTGCCGCTGCAGGATGGGCAGCATGATTGGGAGCCTGCGATCAGAAGAGTGAAGAACACAGGTATGGATGCCTTTGATTAGGAGTCCGATTGACGGCTCAGCGCAGCTACTCGGCCAGCTGCATCTGATAGAATCGGAAGATTAAGTAGAGAGATGAAGCATGACCGCCGAAGCGACCCTGGGAGCACAGGTGCGAGTCCAGTGCAGCGCGGCATACTCTGCCGGGCTGCCTCCATTAGAAGCAGGATAAGCTTCTGAGAGAGTGGGTTGCAGCAGTAGCAGTAGCAGCAGCGGCAGCGGCAGTAACCTCAGATAATAACGGCAACGACCTGTATCAGCCGCGGCAGCAGCAGCTGCAGCATCCGTAGATAATAACGGCAAAAACCCTGTATCAAAGCCACGGCAGTAGAATATGTTGTAGCTGTTTAGTGTTTCAGTAAGAGAAGCGAAGTGAAGAGAGATGACGAAGTACAGGAAGCAGCAGCAGCACGGCAGTAGTAGCAGTATGAAGCAGCAGCGGCAGCAGTAGCAGCAGTAGCGGTAGCAGTATGAAGCAGCAGAAGCAGCATCAGCGGGAGCAGCAGCACCACGAAGCGATTCATACGAACAGACAGACGTGTCGCGCCAGTGTGCGCTGCTTGTCTCCATGAGCCAGGTTACATACGTGTCTGGAAGAGCCGAGCCACAGAGACAGGTGCAGCCTGGGAGCCTGCAGAACGGCAGCGGCACATGTAGTAGTAGAGCAGCAGGAACAGGCAGCAGGGACAGACGGCAGCAGGAGCGGCAGCAGGAACAGGCAGCGGCAGGAGCGGCAGCAGGAACGGCGGCGGCGGGATCGGCATCAGTAGGAACGGCAGCGGGGACCGGCAGCAGCGGCGGTCAGAGAACCAACCCACGGTTGTTTAACAGCCTGAGGAAATAAATCAACCCGAATCCGAAACATTCCCATGCGAATAACAGACGTCCCCTGGAGCCATCTTCTGCTTTGGTTATGGCAGATGCGCATGAACGATCACTGATCCATGCGTTCATAGCTCCAACACTACTTCACACCCATTGCAGATTCACGTTCGGCCCTTTTTCTTCCTGCTGCACTTTCAAAATGCAACACTGCAGTTAGTTACCTAATTTAATACCAGCGACCTAGCTATTTAATGCATGGTTTTACTGCAAGTGGCAGAACATGATCTGAATTAATGCACATAGCTCCTCGTATATCCCTCAGACGATAGAGATTGATGCCATTTAATATGCATTGCCCCTCAGTTAGCTCAAACACATGTGAAACGGAGCCTGCAGACCAAGCACGGGGCGAAAAAACTGGCGCCTGCAGTCAAGTGCGTAGGGCAAAAACCAATCGCCTGCAGCCCAGAACTCCGGGATTAATCTGTCCGCGGTCAGCACGCTCACTGTACTCACATGCCAGGAGACTTGGGAAAAGCAACGGGACGACGCGGCACCGCCAGACCTTCTGCGTGCGGCAGCAGACCACGAGGAACGAGCCGCACAGAAACCCGCGGAGGGCCCCGCGGAGCAGCCCGCAGAAAGAGCCCGCAGAGGAGGAGAGCAGTGGGGATATGCGAACCACGCAGTGCAGGGACGTGGAAGAGGAGCAGACCAGTGCAGGGACGCGGAGGAGGAGCAGACCAGTGCAGGGACGCGGAGGAGGAGCAGACCACAAGCAGCCAGACGGAGGACGCCAGGGACGCGCCGAGTAGCGTGAGTAGACGAAAACGATTCCTCCAGACGATTCTCTGCAAGGCTTCAGGAGCATGCGAGGCTTCGAGAAGGCCGAGAGTGGGAGTTGCTCCGCTTTTAAGCGGCTGCCTGTCCGGCACGGATGATTGGAAGGGGGCGTTTGCTGAGCGATAGGCTGGGGAAGCGAACCGGCCTGGAGGGGGTAGCTTTTGGCTGACGTCTACCAAATTGAATTTTCGCGAGCTACATTTGTGTTGACACAAACATTAAACACACTGCATGAAATATCAATTTTACAATAAAAGATGCAATAGACGGCACCACCTGCATGTGAAAGCCAGATCCTGTCAGACTTCTGAAGCTAAGCAGGGCAGGGCCTGGATAGTACTGTGATGGGAGACCTGTGGGAACACCAGGTTCCGCAGTGGGGCGACTGTGGCTGTAAAGTGCCAAACACTGGTTGCCTCGTTTCTATCAGTGTGCACAAGGGCAGCTGTGGAGTGAATGAATAATGACATATTTAGCTTCTTTGAGCATTAAAAATATATAAAACCAATGAATTATTATTATTATTGTTATCATTACTTGGGGGGAAACGCAAACCTTTGTAATTTAACATACAATGTGAAACTAATATGATAGACTCATTACTCATTAGTGAGATATATCAAGTATTCATTTGTTATAGTGTTGGCCTCACAGCTTGAAGAAAATAAATAAAAATGTGTATCTTTTGATTGTGTTTTGATGTGGACTTCTCATTCCACGTGGAGTATGGACCAATGGTTTCTAAGTGTTTGTCATTATCTCATTTCTTGTGTTCAAACAAGAAACTGCTGCTTTGAATTAGGGCTGCACAAAAATGAATTGAATCAAACTTTCTTACTGGACCTGGGATTGGGTCTTGTGTGGACATGTTGATTTCCACCGGACTCTGGTGCAGTGGACTAAGATTGTGTTTATAAATGTCACGTACTGCTTGGTTGTTTCTGCAGCACTTTCCCCTTGTGGACAATACAGTTTATCGTATCTAATATTAATTCCTGTGCTGTATTTGCAGTTTGTGTTTGTATATCAAAAGGGGAAAAGCTCAGAGGGAGACGTTGCTCTGGATGACATCAGTATTTTTCCTTTTCCTTGTTACTCTGAGCCTGAAGTCCACCCTGACGACAATGGTAACATCTGAATCTATTATATTACACTATTACTATATTGTTTAAAAGTTTCCTTCCAAAACACTTATCAAAACGCACTTTTTTCCCCAGGAGCCTTGACCATTGGCCTTGCAGTTTGTTTCACACTATTGGCCGGAATCATCATCTTCGCCGTTCTATTTATTATAACACGGAAAAGATCATTAAAGTAAATCTCAAAGCTTTATCCCACTATAACTTTAAACCTTGGACCATGATGAGTTACCATAGTGACCACCTCGACTCGTATGAATGTACTGTCTCGTCATGCACAGCTGACATATGGGAAACTAGCAGAAAAATGTGTTGAAGTACAGCATAAGATTAAAGCTGGGGTACCTAACTTTCAAACCACAACAACTGGAATTATGTAATAAGTCCATCTAACTAAGTCCTTGCTCTCAAAACAGTTCCCTACTATCTCTAGCTTCTACAGGCTTTTGGCCTCTGTCCCATCTTTAGATCAGCTTTTTCAGGCAAAAAAGTGACAACGAAAGAACCATACTCACTCAGCCAATCAGCTCTCATCCCAAAAGAGCTCTTTCTTACGAGTATGAAAACGATAACATGTCTTCTACTGTAATAAGAACTTTCTGTTGGGACAAACAACATTATATTACTCGTACTGACCAATCAGATGCCTTAATTTGCATGTGAAACTGTAGCTTGCCTTAGCAACCGTCTTAGCAACATGTCTGCCCCTGTTACAGCGTGAAGATAAGACAGTCCTTTATTCGTCCCAAAGTGGGGAAGGTTCAATGTCATTGTTGCACACATTATAGCGAAATAAAAAGAGGAAGTAATACAAATCAGAATCCGAATCAGAATATTTTTTATTGCCACGTAAGTAACAGGAAGTCACAGACTTGGAAATTGCTTTGGCTCAGTGCAACAGTCAGAAAGAGATAATAAAAATAAAGAATAATAAATTTCAGAACACTTCTAAGGAATACATTTAAATTTAAAATAGAGTTACAGTTACTATTTACAATATACAAGTGCACTAGGTGCACACAATGTAAGGTGACAGCAGTACAGTGAAATAAAGTGACGTATGATGGGCAGTAAAGTGACTTTATAAAGGGCGGGGGGACAGGTTAAGAAGTGTTCAAGAGTCCAACAGCATAGGGGAAGAAACTGTTCTTGTGGCGGGAGGTTCTAGTCCTGATGGACCGCAGTCTCCTGCCTGAGGGGAGTGGTTGGAATAGTCCATGTGCAGGGTGAGAGGGGTCGGCTGTGATACGACCAGCCCGGCCTCTAGCTCGGGCGACGTATAGGTCCTGCAGCGATGGAAGGCTGCGGCCGATCACTTCCTCTGCAGAGCGCACAATGCGCTGTAGTCTCTGTTTGTCCCTGACTGTGGCTCCAGCGAACCACACGGTGATGGAGGAGGTGAGGATGGACTCTCATGGCCGTGTAGAACTGCACCAGCATCTGTGCAGGCAGCTTGGCTTTCCTGAGCTGCCGCAGGAAGTAATAACAATAATAAGATGATGATAAAAATTAGCCTGGCCTTAGCCATCTGTAAACTCAGGTCAATTATTGTTTCCCTTCATGTATGTCTGGGTCTGGTCTTAGTGGCTGCGATCCCTAATATCAAGAAATTTAATTCAGAGCAAGTAGAATATTCAGCAAATTATAGTAAAGTAAATTGCTGGCAAAGATGTTGTGGCTCTCCTCCCTACATGCTCTGTTGGAGGCAAAGGATATGGCTAGGCTAAATGCTAGCTCACTCGAGCGCATTACATACGCCACAGTAAACTCAGATCCATCCATCCATTCTCTTACCCTTAATCCATTTCTCGGTCGGGGGTGTCAGTCAGATCCTCCTGCAGGTGGTGAGTCCACAGGAGCCTTGATCTTTCAGCAAAGAGGGGTTTATTGTCTTGCCCAAGGACACAACGACAGCAGAAATCAGTAGGAGTCATCAAGTAGGTCTCGAGGTGGGGTTGAACCAACGACCTTCAGGGTTAAAGTCCAATGCTCTGCCAATTGAGCCACTGTTGCCCCGTAAACTTAGATCCAATCGTTTCAATCTGCAAAACGATTGGAACGGAGCTCAATGGAGCAAATCCAGACCTTTGTATGAAATGAAATGAGTGCGATATGGTGTTGGTAAGACTAGGCTATGATAATGATAGGCGCTATAATTGCACTTGGTTCAATGAGAGTACTCTAGTGGAGTATACTCTGTAGTCAGCAGGAGGTGCTTACAGAAGCGTAATCAGAACATCATCCTGATAGAATGCATGAAACTCACTGTCTTCTTTTATAGGGGGACTGCTCAAAATTCAACAATGGCTCTTTCAGACTCAAACGAGGACGTAAGTGTGTACGTTATTATGAATACTGCGAACACTGAACTAATAGTTTCTTTGTTTTATCTTAGAATATCCAGTTTGGGTTTTTCAACAAACTATACGACTCATCGCCGCAAGAACCAACTGCATCTGATGCTTAGAAAACATTAATGTAAAATAAGAAAGACTAAATGAATTGTAGATAAAAAAAACAGTATATTTTGTTTACATAGATAGATAGTTTATTGATCCCGTAGGAGAAATTCAGGTGTCCAGCAGAACACTCATACAGGTCTGTTGTACAGTCTGACAGCCAAATGATAAGATATAAGATAAGAGATCCTTTATTTGTCCAGCAGTGGGGAGCACATACAGGATAGCAGTAAGCCCTGCTATCATGCTGCAAAAAGCCAATTGATTTCATACACTGCATGTAAAAATAAGTTACAAAAATGGCAGAAATATGCAAAAACTAAACATAAACAGAGCCCAAGTACAAACAACCTGACTGAACTAAATTAAATAAGAGTTAATCAAACACAGAGGAAATCAAAAAGCTGCTATCCTTCACCCGACAGCAAGATTATGAATATGCAAATAAACCAAGTTGAATAGCACCATACCAACTTAAGTCGGAGCAAGCTGAACGTACTATAAAAACGATATGCTCTGTCAGTGGAGAATTAACACATGTAAACAAAATAATAAAAAGTAATTTCCTTAATTTCTATACACAATTATACACAACACAAAACCCACGGGATTTAGAAATCAAGAACTTCCTGAACCCCTCCCCCCGACCACCCAACAGACCCACCCCAAACCACATATATTATTAAGAACCCACGCACGCGCAGACGCACACACAAACACACACGTACACACACTCACACACATGCACGCACGTACACACGTAAAACTGTAAAACCATGAAGAGAGAGACTTGGCAGGGTGCAGATGAATCCAGCTGAAGAAGCGTCATCCAAGGAGCCGTCTGCACCAGGAGCAGAGAGCCGACCAAAGCCACAGGACCCAGAGGAGACACAAAGCCGACACTCCAGGCCCCCACCAGGTCCAGGAGTCTGACCCCCACAGCCACAGCCGACCACCGCTCCTAGTGCAGAGGGCTCCTTCAGAGGAAACACTGGGGATACTAAAAACAATACAATAATTAAGTAAAACATTAAAATGTGAGACTAAAAGGAAACTATCACGATACATATTAATATTAGTAATAACAATAATAAATTAAAGCCGCAAGCAGGCATTTACTTTGCACAATAGCGCCCCTTACAAATTCAATTTTATTTATTTATGTATTTATTTATTGTTTATTTGGTTGGGACAGTACATGTTAGTGAACACATCACTCCGGATTGTCGCCATGGGCTAATTTGCATCCGTTGTCCCACATTTGCACTCACAAACACACACTCATTCACCCTTAACTAAACATAGTCTTGTTCCAAAGAAAACCAAAATAATACGTTTCATGCCAGAAAAAAACTTTTGAAAAAAAAATTTGAGTTTTTGTACATGTTCAGTGGGTCAAAGAAGAGATCAAACAACAGAAAAGCTAAATACCTGTTTCCCATGTAAAACTTTGACTCAGCCTGTAGATGGCGCTAATGGGCAAATTTAATTGTTCACACTTTCAGGCGACCTGGGCCCAGGAGTTGAACAACCGAGTCAAGTTTAGTGCAAATCAGAGTTTGTAAATGTGCTCCTGTTTGTACATACAATCTGTGAGTGTGTCCATACAGTCTCCATTGGATAACATGGGAACTTCACGCCTCTCTATGAAAATAACCACAATTTGGGAGTCTGTCACGCGCAGAAAGTTTAACTAATTCAAATTCTGCGATCAACTATTAATGGTTCATGTGTTGAGATGATGTGGAGCGATTTTCAGCCAAATTAGTGAAACGGCTGTGGCTGGTTTGATGTTTGAGCGAGGTGTACAGAGCGAGGTGTCAGAGATTTAACGATTTTGCCATAGACACAGAATGGTGAGCATTTGTTGTTGCCACGGCAACAGGGTAAAAAAATAAGTCTTGGTTGTCATTGACTTTTTGAATCAAGAGGTCAAAACTGAATTATGTGTAAAATTTCAAACATTTTGAAAAAACTAAATTGCATTCTGCATTGCATATAAAACTTTGACCATGGTTTGAAGGGGGCGCTAGTGAGCCAATTTAAATTATTTCACTTTCAAAAGACCTAGACCCTGTAGTTGAACAATGGATTAAAATGTTGTGCAAATCAGACTTTGTAATTGCAAATGGGAGCAAAGTTCCTATTGTCCAAAATAAAAATGAAAAAATCACATTTTACGCTCCTCTGATCAAAATTCTATGAACAACTATTGATGGTACATGTGTTTAGAGTTAGACGATGTGGAGGGATTTTGAGGCAAATTGGTGAAACGACCAAGGAGGATTCGTTTTCCAACTGACATGTCCAAAAAAGATCAATTTTCATTTTTCCATTTTCCATTGACATTAATCAGCGCCCTGTTTGTCAGGGGGCATGGCCATACTACCCTTTTATTCATGATTTGAGTTGAGGAACATGTGTACCGAATTTCATGGCTCTACAACAAACTTGACCTCGGACCCCCTCCCATAGGCGCAATGTAAACTGACTTTTGTAGGGGGCGCTGTTCTGGCTTTTTTTTTTTTTGTCACTTAAAAATCAACACCAAAACAATTTTTTCGCCAGTTCTGAATTTTGGGCAAATTTTGGCAAGTTTTCCTGCATGTTCAGGGGGTCAAATTAAGGTTCAAAGCACAGAAGAAAACAATACATAAAAACAATATAGGATTGTTTGTTTTTTTTAATTAAAGAAAAGTGGAACACTACTGTTCATTTCATCCATTCATCTAACATCTTTCTGTGAGTGCATTAAATTGCATTCCTAATGATTGAATGTTCATATTTAACACCCACCTGTGTGTAAACTGTTTAATTAAGAAAAAAGAATCAGTCACTTAAAGCTGCACTAACTGACTTTGGGATTTTGAAGCAGCGGACTCGCTGGCCTCGCTCTTTCTCCTCCCCTCCCCACACCCACGAAGCTATCGCCCCCCCGCTACCGCACACCCACTGTTGTTGGGTGCGTACCGATGTTCCCCGGGTCCGATGTTCCCCGGGTCCGATGGTCCCCGGGTCCGATGTTCCCCCACTTCTATAGGCGGGGGAACATCGGACCCGGGGAACATCGGTACTTCGCGTATTAAAAAGTCCCGATGTTCCCCGGGTCCGATGTTCCCCCGCCAATAGAAGTGGGGGAACATCGGGACTTCAACAACGAGACTAGTGCCGCTGTTCCCCGCGTGCGCGCTTTGATGTTTGATGTTTCCTCCTCCACGAAAGATGGCATATGATCCGCGCCAACTTTTGTGAGAGAAAAAATACTAACTAGCCTAAGCCTATTTACTTTTCTTTTTCCCTCTCGCTCTTTGTGTGCTCATATTTCAGCTGATCGCAGCTTGAGTCTATGCAGGATATTTTTGGGCAGTTTATGGGCATGTTATCTCCCCTTGCTCTCCCATGGGCATCTATATTTGACAAGTCTGACTGAATAAAATGAGGACGATTGAAACTAGAGCTACTACATCTGTTAGCCTATAGTTTTTACAAGTATACGTGGTTTTGCTGAGGGCACTGTGCTTTTACGCATAATGGACACGCATATGACGTAGTTTTTGTTGTAAAACTTGAATATGTTCTTTTAGTTTTAGAGATATTAATACATATTATTCTATTCAGAATGCGTGCGTCATTGTGCATTGTTGTCCCGCCTTACGTGTCACTCACAGTTAAAATGTAAATAACCAATTCAAACATAGCATTTTTACAACTTGAACTTTAACACTAGCAAACCCATGGAGGTGCCATTTGGCACTTCTACCTAAAAAGCCCACCACGGTGCCAAATGACTCCAAGGATTTTAGCTAACAAACTAAATCACCTGTGAACGGCCAACTTTGTTATGTAAATAAGGCCATTATCACAGGCTGAGCTGAAGTTGCTCAACCACTTTACTTTGTCTTCTTCGGGAGAGGGAGGATCTGATTTGTTAAAATGAGTTAAATCTAGTGTCATGCTGACTTTAGTTAAAAAATAATAATGAAAATAATAAAGTGAATTGAAAGAAAACAAACGAGCAACGTCATTCAATGTATACATTTACATTGTTTACAAAATAAATATGCTACTTGTTTTTCTCAGTGTCTTTGGTGCATTTATCACATAATTCTTCACATTTGCACGACAGTTAGTGCCTTTATCAGAACAATTAGTACAAACTGCAAAACCTTGGGGATAACCTGCAAAAGTGCATCACCTTCTCAAAATGAAAATTTTATTCCTCAAAAGCAAGTCTTCATGTCGAGGAAACTGTCTGTCTCAAAATAATAAGTCTTAACAACATGGAGTATGAACAACACAGTCAAATGACTTCGTCACGTTTTCATTGTGACACTTTACTCTCTGTGTTTTCAAAGCAAAAAATCTGATCTTGATCTGATGAGCACTGTACAGCTGAAAACTACAGTAAAGTTACACACAACTGTATTTAGTGAGAGTAAAAGAACATTTATACTGTATGTACTGTATGTGTGTGTGTGTTTGTGCATGTATGTATTTACTGTGTGTGTGTGTTTGTGCATGTATGTGTTTCGATGTATGTCTGTGTACTGTATGTCTTTCACATATTTACTGCATATGCTCTTTTCTACAGCATTGTGCAACAGAAATACAGTCACATACATAGAGCAAACATACAAAATATCATTATGGTAGAACTGTGACAAATGTAAACAATAAAACACACACCTCGTCATGAGTGAAGCTGAAATTCGAAATTAGGAAAGATTTTCTGGATATAAAAAGATAAAGTAATGTATGAAATTAGTTTGACAGATTTTGGTTTTGAACAGTTTTGTATGTGATGACCAAAGCGATGAAATGAGGACTACTGGTTTTATAGAAACTGTTCAGTCGTGATAAGTATGTTTCATTCTGATTGACAAGACAGAAGCAAATGTTAATGTTATAAAACAGCAGAGAACTGTATGAAAGTAACTGATACATGTCCAAAAGCATTTGTAAAGTGTTCAAAGGAGAAACTGCCGCGATGATGTCACACACGACTCAA